TCCCCAGAGCCCAGGGAGACTTCTTGGGAGACTCAAAGAAGAATTAATTTTAGTAAATAATTTTAAATAAAAAAAAACTCTTTTTTTCTAGAATCTGCACCCAGTTTATTCCTTTTCAACACACACACATCAGAATTATAAAGACCTCCACACAAATCAGTCTATTTTTCATTTCTCTTTGTTTTCATATTTTCTAGTTCTACCTATATTCCTATTATTTCATTCCATCATTTGTCCCCTCTGGGTAATAATTAGGTGATATTTATCCTCTTTTTACTAATATTGCACTGTTGCCTTTCAGAAAGAAATGGCTCACTAAATTTTTATTGAGTATTTAAAATTCACCTGCAGGAAAAAATGATGATTGCCTAAGAACTGTTTATTTTCCTTTTAACATTATTTTCTCCTTTGTCTGTATTTCTGTTTCCTATTAAAACCTAATGGTGACTGGCCAGGGAAATTTCTCTTATTATTAGCAATGAAGCTTGTCTTTTGTAAATTCAGAGTTGGCAAACACATTCACTCTGAAGACACTGAGGATGATCTTAAATATTTCTCTTAGGAATGTGAAAAATATTAAGAGCAAAGAGTTCACCTAGCAGATGTGATAAAGTAGAGTGTTTAATTCTAGCTAATAGGTGTTCATTTAGGGAAGTAATGAAGGAACTAGAAGACTTAGAGAAAAGAGGAGAATAGAAAAAAAACAGCACGTGGGCAATGAGAAAAGACAGTTCTTTCTGTAGCTGTTAGCCACAAACTAAGAAAAATAGGCAAATAATGCCATTATTTTGTGATATAATTTTAATAAGGAACTGGGAGGGAGGAGAAAAAGTGTCTGCCTCTCGGTTGTGCTTGGTTTGATCAAGCAATCAAATCAACACCAGGCATATTTGTAGTGAAACCAGTCCCAGAGAATTAATAGCTCACTCCAAACATTTAAAACCAGCAAACTCTTCTGGGCAGAGGCTGTGGAGAATGAATAGAATGTTTACTTCTTCTGTTCCTTCCTTGCAAAAGCTTATTACAAGGAAGGCAGCCAGCCGCCTGTGTTCTGAAACAGAAATCTTTGTCCCCATCTGAAGATGTCTCAAAGGACCAGCCCATAAGGGGAGTTGTTGATTATCCTGACTCCTCCTGGTCTGCAACTGGCCTCTTACATTTTATTTATTTATTTTTAAAATTGTCTATTGTAGTCTAGGTAACTAGGTAACTATGCCTTACAATAGTGTTAATGATAATATTGCTGTACGAAATTACACCTTCACCATCAACCAAAAAATCAACTAAGACACTCCAACCCTGTCCTTCAGTCATTTTTAATTCACCCTTTTCTTCCCCCCACCACCCTTTCAAAAACTAGACTTCTCTGTTTTTTTTTTTCCCAACATAAACTAAACTTTTTGTGCTGGTGCAGGCAAGATGGTTCCCGAGAAGAAGAACCCAGCATCACCCCATCTGCAGACTTGTTGCTAATAAAGTTTGATTGTCACTTTGTCTCTCAATAGAACTGAGCCTCTCAAGTGACAGGAAAACTGGATCATCCAGGTGAAAGCAGGAGAAAAGAACAAATTTAGGGGTTGAAGAGATAATACAGTGGGTAGACACTCACCTTGTACTCAGTCAACTTGGGGTCAATCCCTGGCACCCTGTAGGGTTCCCCGAGCACCACCAAGAGTTATCCTTGAGAAAAGAGTCAAGAGTCAAGAGTAATTCCTGAACACCACCAGGTGTGGCCCAAACCCTCCCTACACCAAAAAAAAAAAGTGAATAAATTTAATTATATATAATTATATGGACAATCTACATAGAAATGAATTCTAAAGCTAACTGCACAAAGTTGGGGTGTAATACTGTGTCAGGGAATGGGGCTTCCAGAAGAGATGTAGAGGACTCATATGCCCAAGTAAGTGGGACTCAGATGATGAAAACCTAAAGATTTGGAAGTCAGAGCTAGTAGGACACTTGTCTTGCACAACCTTTCCCCTACCCATTTGATTCCAGTACCCCTTATGGTCTCCGAGCTTGCCAGGAGTAATCTCTGAGAAGCATCATTCAGTGTATGAACCAACAACATTGTCCTCCTCCCCCTCCAAACAAAAAAAAAAAGAAGAAAACTAATTTTATAATTAGGTGTTAGATGTCTGCCTTGCCATATAAGATGTTTATTTCTATTGTTTTGTTTTGGGGCCATCCCCATTAATGCTCAGGGTTTATTCCCTGCTCTCTGCTCAAGGACCAATCCTGGCCAGGCTCAGGAAACCAGATATATGTGGGAATGTGGAATTCGATTTGGATCTACCAAATGTAGGGTAAGTGTCTTAGCCTTTGTATTGTCTTTTGGGTAGAGAGGCTTTTCTGTTTGTTTATTTTTTTCTACTTCTTCCTAATAGTCTCTTTCAGGCGAAAATATCAAACTTGGGTAATGCCTTCAATTTCCATTCTTCTAGAACCTAGATTTTACGTGATAAGAGAGTGCTGAAAGTTTTTCTTGCATCTTTAAGGCCTTGTTTGAACTCGGCTTGAAATAATTACCAGACTAAAGCTATACCTCTTAGGAAGGCTTATCCTTTAAATATTTTCTTCATTTTTCCCTCTTAAAATTCTACGGGTTTGGAGAGATAGTACAGCAGGTAGGGTGGTGTGCCTTGCACATGACCCACCTCGGTTCTATCCCCTGCATCCCATATGATGCCCTAAAGTCCTGCCAGGAGTAATTTCTGAGTGCAGAGCCAGAAGTAATCCCTGAGCACCACCAGGTGTGGCCCCAAACCAAAATTAATTAAATTTTAAAATATTCTGAAGGCAATAGTATGTACGTATTTGATGGCAAGTTCTTATTTAAAAAAGAAAATTCAAAGCTCTCAGTATTTGGAAGGATAGGGGTTGGGGACCAAGCAGTGCTCAACTAGTTGAAGGTTCACTCCCTCCAATACTTTGCCAGTTGAACAGATTGGTGGGAAGATTCAATGGTTCGGAGGAGCAATGGTGTTTGTCCCTGCCTATGCCACACTTGGCAGTGCCCTCAGGGTCAGGCAGTGCCCTGGTTCTGGCAAGTGTGGAGTCATCTCCCTGCTCCTGCCATGCACATTTTTAAGACTGAACTAACCTTTGAGTCTGCAAGAAGATACAATCTTTAAGCAGACATCAGACTAGTATATAATAGAGGATGAAAAACTCAATGTACTGTAAGCAACACGCCTAATAGATACAAGATATTCCTTCCTAATTTTGATGTTACACCATAAAGCTCTTTTTAAAAAGCCAAAATGAGAACCAGTTGTGTTGCAAAAGATTACTAAATTTATCATGGTTTGTTAATACTTAGTATTATTTACAAAGGTCCATCCAATGCTTTGGGAGCAATGCATAGTAAAAGAATGCTTACTTTAACTGCTATTCAAATTATGTACTTTAAAATCTATGATGTAAAAAAAAAGTGGCAAAAAAAAAAATAAAATCTATGATGAGGGGCCTGCAGGTTGGGCGTTTGCCTTGCAAGTGACCAACCTAGGTTTAAATCCTGGCATCTCAGTGCAGAGCTAGAAGTATAACCACTGAGCATCGCTGAGTGTGACTGAGTGCAGAGCAGGTATTTCCTGGATGCAGAGCCAGGAGTAACCCCTGAGCATCTCCTAGTGTCACCAAAAAAGCAAATAAAATAAAATAATTAAAAAAAATCTATCACTGTAACTAGCCCAAAATAGGGCTGGAACGAAAGCAGAGCGGGTACGGCGTTTGCCTTGCACACAGCTGACCTGACAGACCTGGGTTCAATTCCTCCGCCCCTCTCAGAGAGCCTGGCAAGCTACCGAGAGTATCCCGTCCGCACCACAGAGCCTGGCAAGCTCCCCGGGAGGTATTCAATATGCCAAACAGAGTAACAATTGTCACAATCGAGACGTTACTGGGCCCGCTCGAGCAAATCCATGAACAACGGGAAGACAGTGACAGTCCAAAATAAATTATTTAATTGCTGGTTTTCAAATTTCAGAAAAAACATCACTTTCTTGATTTATAAATCTTAAAACGGTGGGAGAGGAGACATTTCAAATAATGGATAAACTTATAAAATGAACCTGTAGTTTAAACTAAAAAGATGACACCGATTGTAGAAATTAATAAATATATATTATATATCACGATCACGACCCTCCTGTTGTTCCGCGATTGCCTCGAGCAGGTCCCAGCAATGTCTCCTTTCGTCCTAGCCCTGAGATTTTTTAAAAAGTGCCATATTCAAGGCTCTTTCAGGGTAAGGAGAATGAGACCCATCATTGTTACTGGTATTTGGCATATTGGGTACGCCATGGGGAGTTTGCCAGACTCTGCCCTGTGGGCAGGTTACATTGAGTAGCCTGCCAATTTGTTCAAAATTTATATATGTGTGTGTGTATATATATATATGTATATATATACAAAAAATAAACATTTTTAGGACAAAAAATAAACATTCGCCTGTCAACTTGACTCTAATTGCTGCTAATTAATAATCTGGAGAGACGGTTCCCTTTTCCCAGGTGAGCAGCTCTGCGACTTTGTGCAACCCTGGAGGATGGCAGGAAGGAATTCCCAGCCAACTCTGCCTTAAGCATCACCCCTCGGTGAACTATATGGCATCCCTCGCCCTAAGATTCTAAATATCCAGGCCACTATTCTCGACTCCGCAGAGACCGCCTTGGGCCACCCTGGCAGGATGGGACCGCGCCGCACCCGGCATTAGGAGTCCCGGAGCATCCCCACTCAGCTCCAGCCCCAGGACCCCGGGAAGCCCCGCCCCGCCCGGCGAAGCCACGCCCACCAGGGAAAGCCCCAGGGCAAACCCCGCCTCGCCCCGCCCAGGGGAAGCTCCGCCCCGCCGGCGCCGCGCGCCCGGGAATCCGGAAGCCGGGTTCCGCGACTCGGGGAGGCGGGGCCGGGTGGGGCTGGGGCGGGCCCGGGCGGGTCACGTGACGGGTCAGGTGCCCGCCGGGCCGCGCCGCTTCCTCTCGTCCCGGCACTGACCCGCGCCGCCTCCCTCTGCACGTGGCGTCCAGGCCTCGCTCGTCGCTCCCCACCCCCGGATTCCCGCCGCCTGCAGCCATGGCGCCCGCCCAGCTCGGTGAGCCCCGCTGGAGCCGCCCGCGTGCCCGCCTCTGCTCCCCGGCCTTGGGGTGGGCGGGCGGGCGGCCCCGCAGCTGCGCAGCTCGGGAGACTGAGCGTGGAGTGGGGATGGGGGGGGTGAGTGGAGGGGAAGTGGGTGGGGGGAGGGCCCTGCAGCATGATTAGCTCCTGCAAACTCCCCGGGATGGGGGGGTTGGAGGGGAAGTGTGTGTGGGGGTCCCCTGCATCATGTTTAGCTCCTGCAAACTCCCCGGGATGGGGGGGGTGTAGGGGAGGTTGGGGGGGGTTCCCCTGCAACATGATCAGCTCCTGCAAAATTCCTGGGATGGGGGCGATGGGGAGGTTGGGGGGCCCCCTGCATCATGATTAGCTCCTGCAACCCCCCTCATCATCATCATGTGCACCCCCTTCCCGCCCACCTTTGCTCCAGGCTTTGGAGCACTTTGGTTGCTCGTGCTGTGAGGGGGTGATTGATTGATTGATTGATTGATTGGGGGGCATGTTCTGTTTGCAGCCTTGTTTAGTGTCTCTGACAAAACCGGCCTGGTGGAATTTGCCAGAAGCCTGGCTTCAGTGGGTTTGGATCTGGTGGCTTCAGGAGGAACCGCCAAAGCCCTCCGGGAGGCCAAGCTGGCCGTCAGGTAAGACACCAACGCCCCAGGCAGCAGAGCCTGATGTGCTGGACACACTCCCCTCTGCAAGGGCAGGAGCGGGACATACCACACTCCACACCCCACACCTCACACCCGCCCCCACCCGGCACTGGGCCGCTGCAGTTAAGGATGGAGAAAAGGATCCAGGGCCCGGAGGCCTCGCTGCAGAGTGCTCAGTGGCTCCCTTCAACAGATTCCTACAGGCATGGCCTTGTGCGGTGCAAGAAGAAAACACTGGGGAGAGGGGCTCCCTTGTCCTCCAATTTTGGGGGCCCTTCAGTGAAAACCAGTGGCATGCAGATCCCTGCTCCCTCTCTTGCCTTAGCATCCCTGGTAACCACCAGCAGGTATAGATTCGTTGTCTCCTCTACACACAGACTGCTTATTGGTGTTGGTAAGAGGAATGTTTCCGCCCACCTTGGGAACTAGTATTCTGATGAGAGCATGTCGAGCTTCTCAGAGGTAGAAGATGAAAAGGCCATAGATAGAGGGGGCTGGAGTGATTGCACAGTGGGTCTTGCAGCGCCCGACCCAGTTTGATCCGAGGCACCACATAGCGTCCCCCCATCAGCCCCACCAGGAGAGATCCCTGAACCTCTCTTGAGTGTGACCCACAAATTAACCACAAAAAGACCACAGATAGAACAGTTGTAAGAAGTGACCTCAGGGGACTGACATACCCATCCCTCAGAATACTTTTCAGGAAATGAATGAAACTTCAAGCCACCTTTCTTGTTGGGTGGAGGGGAAAGACTTGCCTTCCAGACCCGTGCAGAGGCAAATTACCTTCTCTGCTTTCTGACCCCTGCCTGGAGTGAGCAGTTCTCAGCGGCTCTAAATTTGCCGCTTTCTTGAGGCCAGAACGCCTCACTTTGTTAAATAAGTGCTTTCAGTTTCTCCGACTCTTTGAAACTCTGGCCTCTCGCCTGGTTTTTCTAAGACCCTAGTAAAAATTAGAATGGAAAGCCAGGCAGCTCTTTTGAAATCCTGGCTTGGGAATTCAGAATCTAGGCCGTGGTGCTTTCCTTTGGGCCACGCTGGGGCGTATTCCACTGGGACCTCGCAAATTAAGCTTGATCCGTGATCCTCTTGTTCCGTCTTTCTCTGCCCACTAAACTGGTAGGCATTTTAGGTATAAATCAGGAAAGAGTACAGTCACCCTTCAGACTGTTCTGTTACCCAACCTGCACATTCCATTAGTTTGTTTATGTTTAATCTGGGGCTTTCTCTAGCCACCATTGTTTATTCACCTCTGTCTTGGGGAAGTTTTTTTTTTTTTCTTTTCCAGGTGTAGCCACCATTGTTCATTCACCTCCAGCATGGCTAGTTTTTTTTTTGTTGTTGTTGTTTTTTTAAGGTGGGCAATGGCAATGTGTAACTGTTTACTGTTAGGTAAGAAATTGTTCAGACTGTGTGAATGTAGACTTACATAATCCTTACCGCTTTTTGTGGGGTGTATGTGGTACACCCTTTGGTGCTTAGGATTTACTCCTGGCTCTGCACTTGGGTCACTCCTCGCCGGCTCAGGGGACCTTATGAGATGTTGGGGAGAACCCAGGTCAGCCTCTGCAAAGCCAGCACCCTGTTGGACTATAACTGCCACGCCAGCCTGACTGCTTTTTGGTGTAGGTGGCATTAACCCATTGGATAAATAATAAAACAGCCGGAGCACGGAGATGTCACTTTTGCGCATACAACTTACACAAATCATAAGAACCCAGGTTTTATATCAGGAAATGAACCTTGAGACGTGAGGTAAACTGATGAAAATGTATTCAGTGAGCATATAGACAGTTCTGAAAAATGTTAACTTTGCAGCTCTATCTTAAATAAAAAAGGAATAACGAGCTTTTCAGTTATGCCAGTCATTCATTCATTTTAAGGAAAGGTCTGCCTTCTTAGGATTTTGTTAATTGTTCTCAGTTGGAGAAAAGGGGATTTTATTTTCTGATTTCTGTCCAGGGGAATTTTGAATTGGGAATCATAATGTCAGCAGTTGACGGGAGCCCTTGCATCCTTGTTCCGTCCCAGTCTCACATCGTAGAATCTACCCAGGGGAAAAAATCCACTGGCATAATTGTATACTTGAAGTGTACATATTATTTTACTATAAATTAAGTCACAGTACACTGCAGGAAATATGAAAGTTGTGAAAACTAGAAGATAGTAATGTGACTTAATTCTGTTAAGCATGTTGATGCCAAAATGCTATTTTTTTTAAAGCATATATTGGTTTTCACAGTTCACAGTGAAGATGTCTTTTTTTTTTTTTTTTTTTTTTTTTTTTTTTTTTTTTTTTGCTTTTTGGGTCACACTTGGCGATGCACAGGGGTTATTCCTGGCTCTGCGCTCAGGAGTTACTCCTGAGGGGGACCATATGGGATGCTGGGAATCTAATCTGGGTTGGCCGCATGCAAGGCAAACGCCCTACCCGCTGTGCTATCTCTCCAGCCTCAGATGTTTTGCTTTTTGATTTTTTATTTTATTTTTCTCAGCATGTTTTGAGCCATTTTTTATTTATTTTTTCCTTAAATTTTTATTAGTGAAACACCATGAGGTACAGTTGTAGACTTACAAATTTTTGTGCTTGGTTTCAGTTATACAATGATCGAATACCCATCCCTCCACCAGTGCCCATTCTCCACCACCACCAGTCCCAGTATCCCTCCCATCCCCCTTCCCCCTATCCCACCCTGCCACTGTGGCAGGGCATTCCCTTTTGTTATTTGAGCCATTTTTTAAATGTCACCAAATTTACTTAAAAATAATGGCAGAGAGAGGGCTCAGGTCAGTTTGATGTGGGTGGATACTCAGATAACTCTCTATATTTGATAGTATTTTTTCCAGCTTAGTTTTTCCTCTTGTAATAGACTTTAATATTAGAGTCAGATCTATTGGGTTTCAGTTTAATGCTTTGAAAATACTCTTTAAATATTAGTTTTAGGTTTTTTTTTTTTGCATTTTAAGCCTTTGATTCGTTGGTCATTTAATTTTGTGTGAGATTAACCTTATACTCCAAGTATAGAGAGTTCTTGGCAGTCTTTTAAGTTTTTCCCACCTGTTTGGTTTTCCAGCTTTAAGCTTTCTTAATCATTAAAGAATATTCTTGTTCTTTTCACTTGGGGGCTACACCCAACTCCTTGCTGGGCATGGGAAGGCGGGGGGGGGGGGGTGTCACTGTTTGCTGGTGCTGGGGGTCTGTTCATATGTTCTGGGTGTCAGAGCCTAGCTTCCTGTGTGTAGAACATGCAATCTAACCCATTGAACTAGCTTTCAGGTTTCTGTATTCTTGCTTTTAAATTGAGTTTGTTGTTACGATAAGGACATTTCTTGTTTATTATAAGAGATGGCCAAATTTTCTCTCGGTTGAGTTTATGTCTTAATATTTCACTCGTGTGGCTCAGGATTTAGTTTTTGAAAACTGAAAAAAAAAAATCTCTTAATGAGAGCAGTGGATACATATTGGAAGGTGCTTTTGAGTAACTTGGAGTGACAGTCCGGCAGAAACAAAGCTGTGATCTGTTCATCCATTTGCAGAGATGTCTCGGAACTGACAGGCTTTCCTGAAATGCTAGGCGGACGTGTGAAAACCTTGCATCCTGCAGTGCACGCTGGTAAGTGTTTGCTGCTCTCAACTGAGAACGGTTGATGGATTTTAGAAATATTTTATTTGCTTGCTTTGAAGAGTGAATGAGGGTTTGGAAAGGAAGGTCATGAGCTCAGACAAAATCTTCTGAGTTTGTATTTTTTTTTTGTTTGTTTGTTTGTTTTTTCACATGCACTGCTGAAGTTCAGAACACCTAAGACCCTGTTTAAAATCTGGTTTGCTTTATTCTTTGATGGATTGAGATTGTTTTCCTCTGTTTGTTACTGGTCATGACCTGATCACTCATTTGAAAATCTTTTCTGCTGGAGTTAATGAAGTTACTTGGATTTTGTGCATAAAAAGACATCACATTTGAGACTTTGGATTAAAGCTTCCCAATGTAACTGACTTTCAAAAGAATTATTTTTTCAAAACACTTTACTTTCCTCTGGCCAGAGAAAAGTTGCATTTTGACCATAACAGTAAGAAATGGCAGTATTATTCATGTTTCCTCCAATTACAATAAAGTCCATTGTAAAAGACTTAGCCTTGTAATTGTACCCCGAGGTGACTCACTAATAAAAAAAAAAAAGGAAAGACTTAGCCCCGAAGCATCATCAGACAAGCTATTTAATTAGGGGGACCGGCAACATTTTTGTGAAACTTGCTTTTACTTGTTCCTCAAGGAAAGAAGAATGGGGAACTGATACAAAAATATTTTAAAGGGGTCCCTAGGGATAGTATAGCAGTAGGGTATTTTCCTGGCACATGTTAGACCTGGGTGCGATCTCTGGGAGCCCATATGGTTCCCCGAGCACTGCCAGGCATGATGCCTGAGCACAAAGCCAGGAGTAAGCCCTGAGCACCTTTGGGCGTGGCCTCCCACCACCAAAAGTTTTTAAAATTTTTATTATATTCATTAATCTTAATAATTTATTTTTCCTGGTGCTGTGTGAATCCAGGGACTCACATCTTTGAGCCACGCACTGCACTCGTTATATCCCTGGGCCTCTTTTTTTTATTTGGCAGAAGGGGCACCATTGACTTGTTCAGGAGTCCTTGGTGGCAGTGCTCGGGGCGGCAACTGTGGTGCTGGGGGTGGAACTCAGGGTTGACTGCTGCAAGGCAAGCATCTGTCTGTCGTCCTCTGTGTGTGTGTGTCCGTGTGTGTCCGTGTGTGTCCGTGTGTGTCCGTGTGTGTCCATGTCCCGTCGCTCTTGTTTTTATTTAGATGTCATTACTTATGAAACAGTGTTACAGGCTTTATTACCTCAGAAAGAAGTATCCTGTTACTGGCTTTTGGAACTAATATTTTCATTTTAATAATTAGGAATCTTGGCTCGTAATATCCCAGAAGATAGTGCTGACATGGCCAGACTTGATTTCAATCTTATAAGGTAAATATTCGAAGTTGAGTTTTCAAGCTAATAGGGATTAAATTTAAAGAGTATGCCAAATTTGGCGTCACTTGACCTAAATCATCATTGATGTTAGATTGAGTTTCCTGATCTATCATGGTAGATTTTTGTTTAGGCTCTTTTGTGTGACCTTCCAGTGTAAGCATTTAGATTTTGCTCATTTTACAGTAGTAAAATAATAAACTTTGTATTTTAAGGAGTTATAATCTGTGTGTTATTGTATCTTGGCAACTTGGTTATTGACATAAAGGTGCACAGTTTTATTTTTTTATATTTTTAATTTTTATTAGTGAGACATCATGAGGTTCTGTTGTAGACTTACAAATTTTTGTGCTTGGGTTTCAATTATACAATGATCAAATACCCATCCCTCCACCAGTGCCCATATCCCACCACCACGGATCCCAGCATCCTTCCCACCCTCCATCCCCCCCCCCATTCTCCCCTGCCTCTGTGGCAGGGCATTCCCTTTTGTTCTCTCTCTCCTTTTGGGTGTTGTGGTTTGCAAAAGAGGCATTGAGTGGCAATCATGTTTGGTCTATAGTCTACTTTCAGCATGCTTCTCCCATCCTGGGAGGATCATCCCAACACCCTTTATTTGGTGCTCCCTTCTCTATCTGAGCTTGTTTTAAATGCAAATAATGTTTTGTTCAGATACTATTCACATGGAATTCCCCACTTTATAATTCATTGATTATTAGTGTATTGAGAGTTGTGTCCTATCACGTAAGGACACGTATCTATCAGTACCTTCTTTTAATGCTAAAAGTCACCTGTTATGTGGATATGACCTATTTTGTTCTCTAATTGATGTTTGGATTGTCTATTGGGAGGTAGGTATAAATAAGATAGCTATGAATATTCGTTCCATAAGTTTTTCTATGGACATTCATTGTTACTTCAGAGTGAAACATTTTGGTCATCTTGACACTCCTGAGGAGATCCACCATACTGTTTTCCAAGGCAGTAATCATTTTACAATTCCTGTGGCAGTGAAAAGAGGTAGTATGTTTTTAAATAAAATTCTAACAATACCCGGCAAGCTACCGAGAGTATCCCGCCCGCACGGCAGAGCCCGGCAAGCTCCCCGTGGTGTATTCGATATGCCAAAAACAGTAACAACAAGTCTCACAATGGAGACGTCACTGGTGCCCGCTCGAGCAAATCGATGAACATTGGGAGGACAGCGCTACAGTGCTACCGTATGGGTATTGTTAAGATTTGTATTTCCTTCGGATACCAATGCTCTTAAACTCATTGCCCATTTGTATACATTTGGAAATGTCTATTTGGATCTTTTGTCTATTTCTTACATTCAGTTATTTTACTTTTCCTTATTTAACTGAGTTCATTTTCTTCTGTGCATTATTTTTACTGTCTTTGTGTTCTTAGCTTATCATAAAGAAGTTTTGATGATTTTCTATTTATCTATTCTTCTGTTGGTGTTTTTGTTTTTCTATCCAAGAGGCCATTGGATAGTCACAGGTAATGAACATTTACACCTGTATTTTCTTTGAAATTTTAAAAATAAAAATTTTAACTTTTACTCTTGGTTCCTTGTTTTTCTTTATGTTACTTTTAAAATCGTATATTTAACTGAATTGCCATGCCACCCGGTGATTGAATCGGTCAGCTATGTGCAAAAGCAAGGGTCTAAACCCTATATTATTTCTCTGGTCCTCCTCCTTTTATTTATTTATTTATTATTTTTTTCTTTGCTTTTTGGGTCACACCTCCTGGCAGTACTCAGGGATTATTCCTGGCTCTGCATTCAGGAATTACTCCTGGCAGTGCTTGAGGGACCATGTGGGATGCTGGGCATTGAACCCGGGTCAGCTGCATGTAAGGTGAATACTCTACCTGCTGTGCTATCCCTCCAGCCCTCTAATCCTCTTTTTTTTTTTCTCCCTTTTTGGGTCATACCCAGAGATGCACATGAGTTACTCCTCCTGGCTCTACACTCAGGAATTACTCTTGGCAGTGCTTGGGGGGACCATATGGGATGCTGGGAATTGAACCCAGGTGGGCCGTATACAAGGCAAATGCCCTACCTACTGTACTATCGCTCCAACCCCCTCCTCTTCCTTTTAAAGATGGTTTTAGATGCATAGGATGCCTTGTATAGCAAGGGAGTTGGAAATTGTTTCTATTTTGATTCTGTAGATCAATTTGGAGGGATCTTACCATCTTAATAAGACTTCCAGTCCACCTGTATAAGTTGCTTTTACTAAATAAAAAAAATTTTTTCCCAACAGTTTTACACCTTTTATATAAATTTAGAGTATATAGAATTAATTTTTTATTGTTTAGAAACATTAGTGAAATTTTAATTTAAAAATTGAATTCTTAGATTTTTTTTAATTCATTTCTTTCTTTAGATATTTTTGCAAATGAAATTGTTTGCTCTGTTTCACTTTTTAATCGTTGATGGGGAATATATTAAGTCAGTTCAATGTATATCCTTCAAATCTTAGATTTATTTGTGAGTGCTCATGATTTGGGGTGTGTGTGTTTGTGTGTGTGTGTGTATGTGTATGTGTTCTTAGGATTTTCTGTATGCAACTTCATGTTATTTGCTACTAGAGATAGCTTCACTTTCTTAAAAATTTTTGCAAATTTATCTCTACTTGGGGGGGTGGGAGTGGGATGGGGGACACTTGAGGGGCTGGGGTCTGCAGGAAAAGCGTTCTCTCAGACTATTGGCTCTCTCCGGCCCTAGTAGACCTTTGTAGGTCGGTGTAGTGTTTCATACAATGCTGAGAGTGTCTTGAGGAAAGAGTTCCAACTTCACTTTCAAATGTGATGTTAGCAGTTGGTGTTCTGAAATCCTTTTCATGATCCTGAGTCCCCTTCTTAAATTCCCTTCTTAAATTGCTGAGCGCTGATCATGAGTGGGTGTCACACCCGGCCATGCTCGGGGGTTACTTCTGGCTTTGCACTCAGGAATCACTCCTGGAGGTGCTTGGGAGATCATATGGGATGCTGGGAATTGCACCCGAGTCAGCCGCGTGCAAGGCTTGCACAGCCCTACCCGCTGTGCTATTTCTCCAGCCCCACTCTAAATTTTTAATGCTGGTCAAATGCCTCTCTTTCAGAGTTGTGGTTTGTAATCTGTATCCCTTTGTGAAGACGGTGGCTTCGCCAGATGTGACCGTTGGAGAGGCTGTTGAGCAAATTGATATCGGTAAGTTGGACAGCATCATTTCTGAAGACAGGAAAGGGTGATTTCCATTTTCAGTGAGATTTTATTTTGATGTTTATGGAGGGAGCAGAAAACGGTTTCTTCCGATCTGGTTGTCATATGCCTGTGTTTTTCTAAGGGATTCCTTGGTGCAGAATTCATCTATATTCTTTTTGTCCTTTTTTTTTTTTCCTCCTTATTTTTAAAGTCAGGTTTTCCCTTAGGTTTTTCTTAATTATCTTCACTCTTACTAAATTTTACATTGGTAGGATTTATCTATTTCATGTAAATTTAAAAAGGTACTAGCACAGAATTGTTCGTAATATTGTTTAAATATGCATGCCTGTAAAGATACAGTTTTTCACTTTATCATCAGTGTACAGTTTTGTGGAATCTCAGATCAGCTCTATTAATCTCCATGTGCATAGATGTCACTGCCACCACAATTTTTTAAAAAATGGAGTGAGAACTCTTCCCATATTTTTTTCTTATGTGGGGTAAGAAAGAAGCAGTCAAGGAAGAACAAATTGTTACAGTCATCAGGAATGAAGATTTTTTTTTCCTGAGCATACATGGGGCGGGGGGGTGGGGGGCGGAGGCCAGGCCCCTGGCACAGTGGTGGAGGGAAACAGACTTTGGTGGGGATGTAACTAACGTTGGAAAGGATATAGGCACTGAAAATTTGATTCGTAGTGTTGTTAACAGTACTGTTCTCTAGTAAGTGGTTAAAGGAAATTCTGGCCGTAGTAGTAGCAATAGTATAGCAGTAGTAGTAGCAGCAGCAGCAGTAGTAATAGTAGCAGTAGTAGTAGTAGCAGTAGTAGTAATGTTGTCAAAAGTACTGTTCTCTACTAAGTGGTTAAAGGAAATTCTGGCAGTAGTAGTAGTAGCAGCAGCAGCAGTAGTAATAGTAGTAGTAGCAGTAAAAGCAGTAGCAGTAGCAGCAGCAGCAGTAGTAATAGTAGTAGTAGCAGTAAAAGCAGTAGCAGTAGTAGTAATGTTCTCAACAGTACTGTTCTCTACTAAGTGGTTAAAGGAAATTCTGGGAGTAGTAGTAGCAATAGTCGTAGTAGTAGCAGCAGCAGCAGCGGTAGTAATAGTAGCAGCAGTAGTAGTAGCAGTAAAAGCAGTAGCAGTAGTAGTAATGTTGTCAACAGTACTGTTCTCTACTAAGTGGTTAAAGGAAATTCTGGCAGTAGTAGTAGTAACAGCAGCAGCAGTAGTAGTAGTTGTAGTAGCAGTAGTAGTAGCAGCAGCAGTAGTAGTAGTAGCAGTAGCAGTAGTAGCAGTAAAAGCAGTAGTAGTAATGTCAACAGTACTGTTCTCTACTAAGTGGTTAAAGGAAATTCTGGCAGTAGTAGTAGCAATAGTAGTAGTAATAGCAGCAGCAGTAATAGTAGTAGCAGTAGTAGTAGCAGCAGTAGTAGTAGTAGTAGCAGTAAAAGCAGTAGTAGCAGTAGTAATGTCAACAGTGCTGTTCTCTACTAAGTGGTTAAAGGAAATTTTGGCAGTAGTAGTAGCAATAACAGCAGCAGCAGCAGCAGCAGTATAGTAATAGTAGCAATAGCAGTAGCAGTAGTAGTAGTAGTAGTAGTAGTAGCAGCAGCAGCAGTAGTAGTGGTGGTGGTGGCGGCGGTGGTAGTTGTAGTATGGGAGCGGTGGCTTTATTTGAAAGCAGCTAAATTCATCAAGTTCCATAAATGGTCTCTTACTGTTCCCAGGTGGAGTGACCCTGCTAAGGGCGGCCGCGAAAAACCACGCCCGGGTGACGGTGGTGTGTGAGCCTGCGGACTATGCCGCCGTGTCTGCCGAGATGCAGAGCTCCGACAGCAAAGACACCTCCTTGGAGACGAGGCGCCAGTTAGCCTTGAAGGTGAGCGCCCTCCCCCGCCCCTCCACCCCCACCCCTTTCCCGCCCAGCCTTGGAAAGTCCCTTCTAGTGGAATGGGACTCGAGGCCAGCATGCAGCTCTGCTCGGCCACTGTCCTCTCATTGTCGGTGACAGGAGCGCTGTTAGAGGCAGCGAGGGAAGGTGTATCCCCCCCACTCCCACCCCCCGCACGCCATCGCTTCCACTGCCCCCTCTTCTGCACGGACACGTGGGCTATGATCTCCTCGTGGCACCTCCGATGGTCTTGTCCGCACTCAGGGAAGTGGCTGCTGCCAGCGCACCCCCTGACTTAGACTTCCCCGCAGGCTTTCACTCACACGGCGCGGTATGATGAAGCCATTTCGGATTACTTCCGGAAGCAGTACAGTAAAGGGGTCTCTCAGCTGCCCTTGAGGTATGGAATGAACCCCCACCAGTGTCCGGCCCAGCTGTACACAATGAGTCCCAAGCTTCCCATCACAGGTAAAGGCTGAGTATTAGGTGGCAGGATTGGGGGTGTTTTCTTTCTGGGGGGTAGGTAGGAGGAGGTCTTCCTTTCTTGTAGGAATTGTGACTAGCAGAGAAAGTAAATTGCAGGGGCTGGAGCGATAGCACAGCGGGCAGGGCATTTGCCTTGCACACGGTCGACCCGGGATCAATCCCTGGCATCCCATATGGTCCCGTGAGCACCACCAGGAGTAATTCCTGAGTGCATGAGCCAGGAGTAACCCCTGTGCATCGACGGGTGTGACCCAAAAAGCAAAAAAAGAAAAAAAAAGTAAATAAATTGCATAATAGCGCCTGTAACCTCCTGAAGTTTGAAGCACTGATTCATCTCCTACACAAAGTGTATCTGCTTCCATTCTGCCACTCAAAGGTTCTGGAGAGACATCAGGTTGGAAAATTGGAAGGCCCGGTTGTCGCACTGGCATACGGGCAGAGTGAGAGACTGTGGATGGCTGGAGTCCGAGAGCCATCACACCAGGGGGTGGCACCGCAGAAACCAGATAATTGAGAGCCTTTTTCAGAACCAGATAGGAGAGCCTGTGTCAGCTGTGGAATGCTGCCATGAGCAAGTGACTGATCCAGGGACAATCAGAAGCAGATTCCTGGCCGCGATGGATCTGGAAGCCCAGCGAAGTGAATGAGTTAGGAATGTGAGGTTAGAGGGAAAACGGCAGTTCCCGAGTACCGTGCCTTGAGCCGAGAGCTTAGTCAGAACTTGCACAGTGGTTGTGTTGCGTTGGTGAGGTTGGACTGTTCCTGCTGGCCCCAAGTCTTGGAGGAAGAAAAGGGGTGAGAAAAGGACCTGGGCTTTGGCAGAGGGGTTGGGGTTGGGTGAGAGTGAGAAAGGCAAGCTCGTGGGACGGGTGCGTTTGCTGGACGGAAGCCTCCGGCCCTCCCGTCCGCGCGCCTTCCTACACCCTCAGCCACTGAGCCTGGTGGGTACCGGGAGCAAGCAAGGAAGGCGCTTTGGGGAGCAGGTGAAAGTCTTCATTCTGCCTGCTGAGTGGTCCGGCAGGTTTTGTCCCTCCTCTGCTATGACTCAAGTAACATTCTCCCTGCTTTCCCCCCATCCCGTTTTGGTGGTCGTTGTGGTGAGGGGGATCTTCTCGCAGCGCACGTTTGGGTTGAAGTGATGGAAGATTTGCACGTTTGGCGGTGGTGCTCCGTTGTGTGTGGGGTATTCCCCGCTGTTGTGCCGTGGGTCCAGACCACGGAGCCGCTGGGAACTCACTGGGGCCTATGGGCGGTGCTGGGGCTCAAACCCGAGGCCGCCTGCTGCCGGAGCCATCGCCAGCCCCTCGATTCTGTTGTGATTCCTGTAATGTGGCCCAAGCCCCCCATGTCACCACAGTGATGATAATCAGAACTCCTCTGTGCTGTTTGTCCTTGCCATTGACTACTCAGCCATATTAAGGAATGTAAACCCAGGGCTGGAGCGATATAGTACAGTGGGTAGGGCATTTGTCTTGCACGTGGCCGACCCAGGTTCTATTCCCAGTATCCGATATGGTCCCCTGAGCACCACCAGAGGTAGTTCCTGATACAGGGCCAGGAGTGACCCCTATGCATCGCTGGATGTGACCCAAAAAGAAAAAAAAAAAGAAGTGTAAACCCAAGGGGGATCTATCCTGCCTTTCACCCCCTTCTTTGGAGTCAGGGAGAGAGCACACGGGTCAGATCACAACAGGGCACTTGGGAAGGTCCTGCTTCGACCCCTGGCATGCCCCTTTCCCCTCATCACCCACGGGTGAGTGGGCGGGTGTCTGTGGTCCTTTCAGAGCCCGCAGCCTCTCTGCGCCCAGAGGATGGCACAGTGACCCAGGGCTACAGATTTCGAACCCCAGAACCTCCAGCACTGGCAGCGGTGGGTGACCTCGGCAGCCCTGCTGTTGGGGATTTCTGCCAAGAAAAGTGGCTTCCCCAGGGCAAGTGTGATCTGTGAGCTTAGTACCAAGTCAGGTTCCTGGGGAGGGAAACACAAACCTCCATTGGCTGTCTTTTTGCCTTTGTTCTCTGCCCTAGACCCTGGTGTCTGTTGGGACCCTCCTCCCCACCCCCACCCCACCCCCCACCCCCCCCCACCCCCCCCCCCCGCCCTGCCCGCAAACCACTTAGCTTCCCAGCACCTTCCTTCTTCTGCAGACGGTGTTACTTCCATCCTAGGGCCTGCGCTTAGCTCTTCCTTTCATCCAGAAGGTGTCCCTCTAACGTTACCTCACTTTCGGGGGGGGGGGGGGGGCTCACCATTTACACGCTGCAGATGCATTTCCTTTCTAGACCACCTCTCTAGCCCCGATGGCTCCTGAGGGCAGAAACCACACCTCTGCCTCTCTGCCCCTTACCTGTCACCAGTGCTGAGGAGAGTGCCTGGCCAGGCCCTTCAGGAGGTCTGGAGCGAAGAAGGAAATGTTCCACCTCATGTAAATTTTTACTTACACAATTTGCTAAGAGAGATTTATATGCTATTTTCTCTGATCTGTTTCCTCCTTAAAGTTAATACTTGCCACTTGGATTCTGTTCCCAAGTATTCTTACTACTCAAATTTTCATTTTTAGAAGTTTTCAATTGTATTATGTAAAAGTCTTATCTCTTAGTGTGTTTTGTTTGGGGGGGGCGGGGTTGGTTTTTTCTTTTTTTTCTTTTTTTTTTTTTTTTGAAGTTTGCTGTTCATGATGAACTGGGCAGAGGAGCCGCTGGGTCAATCAAATAAGTTTGGATGTCTTGTAAGCACGTCACAGGATTTCTTCTGAACATAAGGATTTTCTCAGCAGAAGTGTGTGTCTGTCTTTGCAGTTTGAATATGGGTCACTTGGGGCAGTTTAATTGATGGTGGTTCTCTCTGTATAGAAACAGTGGAATTAAGAGTCAAAATGTGTGTGGTGGGGTGGGGGGTATTCTTCATTACTGGTTTTCTCTTTGGGGCGAGGTTACAGCTCTGACCACCCAGGGTATAGGGGATTGAGCCTGTGTGTTGAAGGCAAGCTCTTGTTTTTTTTTTACTCCCACCCAGGTTGGAACATTCCTTAATTTTTTTACTCCCACCCAGGTTGGAACATTCCTTAAATTAAGCTGTCTAGCTTAACATTATCTCTCTCATTTGCTGCCTCACTCTGTCGTCGTGTACAAAGCAGCTCTCTGCACAGTTGGTTGTTCGGTTGTCTGGATATGATACATTTGTGGGGTATACCCTGGGTGAGAGAACGTTTGTAGATGGGTCGTTTGAATTTTGGTATCAAATAGGCTGAGGCTTTATTGTTTGGTTTGCCTTGATTTATTTTATCAAGTTCTTAAATGCTTGCGTGCCTCTTAGATTTAAAACGTATTTTTTTTTTCTGCCTTGGTTTGTACGTTGTTTCTTTTTAGGGAAGAGTGTATCCGAGCGTGCCTGTCCTTACTCACCTTGAGCCCTAAAATGTGACTCTTGTCATTTGTAGTTGTAAACGGAGCCCCTGGATTTATCAACTTGTGTGATGCCTTGAATGCCTGGCAGCTGGTGAAAGAGCTCAAGGGGGCTCTGGGTGTTCCCGCCGCCGCCTCCTTCAAGCACGTCAGCCCAGCAGGTAATGAAAGCCGTGGGACGGGCCGAATGGCACATGTCTTTGGGCTTCTCAGAAATTGGGCAAAATCTAACTCAGTTGTTGCTAGGCTATGAAATTCGAAACCAGTTTGGTTGAGAACAGCATCACTGGAGTAGCCTGATAAAAATCTCAGCAATGTCACACACAGTTTCCTCCATAGGTTTGTGTAAGATGAGAAGATAGGAAGGCCCGATAATGTTTTGTAAATAAAAGCGGGATGCTTTAGAGACTTGAATGGATGAAAGTGATTAGATCCAGTCTTCTTCCTCCTTAGACAACATGAGTAGGCAAAAGGAAGTTGTGCCCCAACTGCAGAGCCCCTGTGCATGCGTGGAAGGCACCTCACAGGGGCGGGTTTTCCAGGTTCTGCGGACCCTCCACGTGGGTCTAGATGTTTACTGAATATTGAAGTGATCTGAGTGACGAATAACCGCTGTGTAGCAGTAACCAGGATGCAGAATCAGCGCAAAGGGACCTGTCTTCGGGACTGGACCTATAGCACAGTGGATAGGGCATTTGCCTTGCACGCGGCCGACCCGGGTTTGATTCCCAGCATCCCCTATGGTCCCCCGAGCATTGCCAGGTGTAATTCCTGAATGCATGAGCCAGGAAGTAACCCCTGTGCACTGCCAGGTGTGATCTAAAAAGGGGGGAAAAAAAAAAGAAAAAAGGGACCTGGCTTTCTAGCTGTGCCTGGTCAGGTCTGAGCTGAGAGATTATTGTTTTCTCAGGCCAGGGAGCAAAGATTCCCCACTTTTCATCCTTCTCTTCAGCTCTGTTTTTGGTGTTGCAGTTTGCCAAAAAAATACAGACCTCTGTTTGATTTGGAACCAGCACCCGAAATGATGCTGCGGAGACTAGATGTTACGGGGGAATGTCTTGGCTTAGACGCTGACGGGTCGTGATTGAGGTTGGGCGTTTGTCCTGTGGTTTTTCCGTACAGGAGCTGCTGTTGCAATCCCACTCAGTGAAGATGAGGCCAAAGTCTGCATGGTCGATGATATCTTCCAGACCCTCACACCCATAGCCACGGCGTACGCGAGAGCAAGAGGTCAGAAGAGCAATAGGGCTTTGGGGTTGGGTTTGGTTTTTGGAGAAAGAGTGGTGTATTACGGTGGAACGATAGTATAGCGGGTAGGGCGTTTGGCTGGCACGCAGCCGACCCAGGTTGGATCCCCAGCATCCCATATGGTCCCCCGAGCACCGCCAGGAGTAATTCCTGAGTGTAACCCCTGGGCATTGCTAGGTGTGACCCAAAAAGAAAAAAAAAAGTGATGTATTATCGTAGGTACAATAACTTGTCCTTTTTTTCTGTAGAAGGCTGCAGATTTTTTAGGTTATTTTCTAAAAAAATGAATTATGAATAATTTTGAAATATGAATAATTACATGAATGCTTAGAAATAAATTCATCTGTAAAATGTATTTTGGGTCCAATAAACGGAGGCATAGTTGGAATTTGGTGCATAGAATTGCAAATTTGTATTTCTTAATATAGGACTTGAGAGTTAATGTGTATTTCAGAAATACCCGTTTCATGAGTTTAACGTAAAATGTTTAACACATTTTTTGATAAACTTACGACTCAGCGGACTGAATGTCATCTGCCACCTATTCCTTTAACTACAGTTTGGAACTGTATTTTTGTAAATAGAGTTCTGAATTCTGTTTTCATGAATATAGTCTGCTGTATATTTTCAGTGACTGATTTCCTGCAGCCACTGTGTACAGTTCCTGTCACAGATAAGTGACTGTAAAGTTTTAAATTTTCCTACTGTCACGGAAAAAGCTTGCCGAGTGCTGTTGTAGAAGGTAAAATTAAAATTGTATTCCAAAGGGTTATTTCAGTCGAAGTGACTTCTAAACATATTCTTTGTCTTTTTTCCGTAATTATGTTAGCTTTTATTTATTTATTTATTTATTGGCCCTCCCGTTGATCGTTGATTTGCTCGAGCGGGCCCAGTAACGTCTCCATTGGAGACTTTGTTGTTACTGTGTTTGGCATATCAAATACTCTCGGTAGCTTGCCGGGCTCTCCGAGCTTTAGAGAAATGTGTTAGAGTTTAGATTCAGTTAGATCATACTGGGCAGTTCTTAAAGTTTTTTTTTTGTGTGTGTGTGTGTTGTTGAAAGGTAATTGATGATAAATATCTTAACTTTATTTATAGGGGCTGATAGGATGTCTTCTTTTGGTGACTTCATTGCCTTATCTGAAGTTTGTGATGTTCCTACTGCCAAAATTATCTCCAGAGAGGTGAGCGGTCAGTCATGGATCAGGATTTCATGGATAAGCTGGAGATATGGGACAGTGCTTGAGGCATTTGCCCTGTGTGGAGCCAACCTGTATGGTGTCCGTCTTCTGCACTCCCCTCACCATTCTCCCACCGTGGTGATCCGTGAGCCGGGCAGTTAGTGTCACACACATACCCCCCCCCCCTAAAAAAGGAGTCCAATGGTCACTGATCACTTTCTCATAACTGAGTAAAATTATTTTTAGAGTTCAGAACCTTTATATATACTTCCAGTAAATTAGTTCAGTGTGCTGTTTAGAATGCTCAGATTTTATGTAGGATGTGAATTATTGACAGCATTGCACTTGGTGATTTAGTGAAGGTTTCAAATGAGTATTTGACTAATATGAATTAGTTTATATATTTCATTCTCAGCTTCCACAGTAGTTTTTTTAATGCCAGTGTTTGTTTTGAAGAATAAGGGATACCATCTTGGATGGCATGATGAATCTTACATGAAAAAAATTGAGTATTTAGGTGCTGTTGATTTCGATGATGAGATTGGCACTTGCCAAGGGAATGGAAGGGGACTGAAGGGTCCATTTTCCCTACTGTGGAACATGTATTCAGGCTCACTGTTCACTTCTGTGCAGTTAAGGAAGCTGGTTAGGGTAGCCGGTGAGGAGAAGAAAGCTGTTGGCCACACAGCCTAGTCTCTGAGGAGAGGGCCTGTGCTATCTGTGGAGGGGAAAACAGGAGAAGGTTCTCACATCCTTTAGAGCATTTAGTTCTTTAGGCTGTTGAAGAGCTGTTGTGCTGTTTTCTCTTTCACAGTCACCTGATTAAGCTGGGGCTTCCCCCAGGCCCTGGGCCTCTGAGCTCATCTCTCATCCCCAGCCATTGGTTTCCACTTTCTCAAACAGACGTTGATCCTATGTTTGCAGGTGTCCGATGGTATCATCGCCCCAGGCTATGAACAAGAAGCTTTGCAAATACTTTCCAAAAAGAAGAAAGGGGCCTACTGTGTTCTTCAGGTTAGTGCGATTCAGATTTGAAACAGGTGTGCACGCACATTGGCGTGGGGTGTTTCTTCTCCCCCCTGCTATTTCATCTTTCATCTTTCCCTTATGATAACACCTTTCTAAGGACCACCATAATCCCCCCCACCACCCTCAGCCACACATACACACCAACCTGGATTTTGGATTTTGTTTTAAGATCAGGGTGCCTTTCTTCCCCTTAATTAAATGTTTTCAATCACTTATTTTACTATTCAAAAGATAATATGATCAAAATCTTTCTTTCTGTTCTGCAAATCTGGTAGCATTTTTTTTTCCAAATCACTGATTCTTTTCTCACTTATTGAATTCAGTAAGTTTTTGCATCTGTGGGTTTCCACCCCCACCCTCCTTCCTTTATTTCAGTGGCACCAGTGCACACTGCAACCCCATTCTTGTTTTGTCTCTGTCTTCAATTAGGTGACCCATCACTAGGTGTTAGTGAGGGCGTTCGCCTTACAAGCGGCCAACATGGCCGACCCGAGTTCGATTCCTCTGCCCCTCTCGGAGAGCCCGGCAAGCTACCGAGAGTATTGAATATGCCAGACACAGTAACAACAAAGTCTCCAATGGAGACGTTACTGGGCCCGCTCGAGCAAATCGACGATCAACGGGAGGGCCTTTACCTTTACCTTTACATCCTCTCCTTGAATAACTCAGGTGTGGGGAGGAAGGAGTTGTAGGACTGAAATTAGAACTCCGATACAGATTCTGTTGGTAATTTTGCTTGATATCGCCCCCTAGAGGTTGTGCAGTGCATTTTATATCTAGGATGTGTGAAGGTGCTTATTTTTATTTCCAAACACCATTGCTAGGATTATATAATCTTAGCATTAAGATAGTTGAGAGGGGGCTGGAGAGATAGCACAGCGGGTAGGGCGTTTGCCTTGCACGCAGCCGACCCGGGTTCGATTCCCAGCATCCCATATGGTCCCCTGAGCACCGCCAGGGATAATTCCTGAGTGCATCGCCAGGAGCAAAGCCGGTGCATCGCCAGGTGTGACCCAAGAAGCAAAAAAAAAAAAAAGATAGATGAGGGGCCAGAGTGATAGTGTGGGGGTCTTGCCTTGCATGTGGCCAACCTAGGTTCAATCCCCAGCACCCCAGGAGCCCCCCAGGAGGGATCCCCTGAGAGCAGAGCCAGGGGTGTGCCTCAAACATAGCCAGGTGTGTCCCAGACATAAGGCGCGAAATGGGATCTCTGTGCTTTCACTATCGCGTGATGTGTGTGGACCTCTTACATTTCAGGGGATTTTCACTTCCTTGATGCGCCCAGTCTGTTCATGTTCTTTGCCTGTGTTTCTAACTGTTGAGATTATTTCCTTACTCATTTTTTTATAAATCCTCGTGTTTTACATGATCTTAAGATAAAGATGGATAAAGCAAAGAACTACTTGAATTGAAAGTAAACATCCCTAACACTGCTTATCAGAAGGTAATTGGTGCCTCGAAACCGCTGGGATTCCAGCTTCGTATCACGGAAGTTAATAGGTACATGGCCTTTATTGTCGGCTATCACGCGGTAGATGGTCATTATGGATTCCGAGTCAGCTTTCCAAGGAAAGAGCAAATAGTTCTGCTCTGAATATAAATACCGTTTGGGGGAGATCCAGAGTATCGGAGGGCTGGAGTACAGGCTGCACGTGCAGGGCATTGTGTGCCCAGGGTGTACCCTGGTGGCACATGGGCACTGCAGTGGTGACTAGGTGACTTTAAGCAGCACCTGCACAGCCAAACCCCACAGCACAGGAGTGGCCTCTCGTTCCCAGGCACTGCCAGGGAGGCCTTCCTACCCCATCTAAAAGAATACGTGAAACACAAAATGGCTGTTTTATTTATTTATTTTCAAATTATAACTGATTTTTTAAAAATTTTTATTAGTGAAACTCCATGAGACACAGTTGTAGACTTAAAAATTTTTGTGCTTGGGTCTCAGTTATACAATGACCAAGTACCCATCCCTGCACCAGTGCCCATTTTCCACCACCACGCGTCCCAGTATCCCTCCCACCCTCCAGACCCCCCATCCCACCCTGCCTCTGTGGCAGGGCATTCCCTCCAAAAAGGCTGCTTTAAAGGCATGTGGCCACATGTTTACCCTGTCTATTTGTTAACACTGTATTCTGCAGTTTCTTCATCGTGCAGTTCCCGCTGCTGTTAGGAGAATTGCGTGCTTATGCTTACACAGGTTGTCCTGGCATGGGGGGGGGGGGGGGGAGTGTGTTTCAGACCTCTTGCTCATCTCTACCTCTTCAGCACCTGCCAGTCCCATACGGAAAGATGTCAAAACACTGCCTGGGCTGCTCTGTCCGGTGTTTGATTTTTGTTTGGTTTTGAAAAGTTGGTTTTTTTTGAGATTTTTTTCTTAACACAGGGACACGTAACTGCCACCGTGAGGCAGCTTAATCCTCTTCTGCCTGTCTTGGGACTGGTTTGGCACATTTAATGGAGACATCACACTTGGCAGAAGTTTTGTGACCCAGAGACAAAAGGAATGTTTTAGAATGAAGGAAAATGAATTGCGTGCAAGTCATGGGATGGCTTGCATACAGGCTGTATATTCCAGTGCTTTCTGACTCAGGCTGGAGTGATAGCACAGCGGGTAGGGTGTTCGCCTTACAAGCGGCCAACATGGCCGACCCGAGTTCGATTCCTCCGCCCCTCTCGGAGAGCCCGGCAAGCTACCGAGAGTATTGGATATGCCAGACACAGTAACAACAAAGTCTCCAGTGGAGACGTTACTGGGCCCGCTCGAGCAAATCGACGATCAACGGGAGGGCCTTTACCTTAGGGCTGGAGCGATAGCACAGCGGGTAGGGCGTTCGCCTTACAAGCGGCCAACATGGCCGACCCGAGTTCGATTCCTCCGCCCCTCTCGGAGAGCCCGGCAAGCTGCCGAGAGTATTGGATATGCCAGACACAGTAACAACAAAGTCTCCAATGGAGACGTTACTGGGCCCGCTCGAGCAAATCGACGATCAACGGGAGGGCTTTACCTTACCTTTACCTTCTGACTCAGAGCTCAGCTGCAGAATGAATGAAGAAACGCTTAGAAAAATGCCTGGTCTGAGAGGGGGTTCTTAGGCGCTTTCCCACATTCTGTCTAAGCTGGTGAGAGGACCCCGCCTTTGTGGAAGCTGCCCCATAAACAGTGCTCAGGAGGCTCTGGGGCCACTCCTATAGCTACTCATGGGCCTGGCAGTGTGTGGGGTGCCCAGGGGTTCACTTCCCAGCCTTTGCGGCCAGACCTCCCAGTCCTCTTCATATCTCTGGAGTTCACAGTTTAGGAGGAAGGAATAAATCCCATCAACTATTTCCTTTAAAAATCGACACAGGCTATGAATTCTCTTTACCTCCTTTTAACTTTTTTGAAATCAAGTGTGAACCACATATTTTATGTTTATAGAAAGAACCGGAAATTGGAATCTAATCTTTGCACGCAGCCAACATGGCCGACCCGAGTTCGATTCCTCCGCCCCTCTCGGAGAGCCCGGCAAGCTACTGAGAGTATCTCGCCCGCAAGAGCCTGGCAAGCTCCCCATGACGTATTCGATATGCCAAACACAGTAACAACAAAGTCTCCAATGGAGACGTTACTGGGCCCGCTCGAGCAAATCGATGAACAACGGGAGGGCCTTTACCTTTACCTTAATCTTTGTGCCAGCAACCTTTTTTTTTTTAAGTTAGTTTCTTTGTTTTCAACAAATTTGTTTTATCAGAAATTGTTCTTTAGCAAGGACTATGGAGATGGTCCTTTGGGTTAGTGTACTGACTGATGGACTCATTGGGAGCATTTGTTTTGAATATATAAATTTAAAAGCCTCATATGAAAATAAGCCCTATCAAATATCGAAGGAAAATATTGGGGCCTGGTGATTCAGTTACAGGTGCTTAAATTAGAAAAGCACATGAACTTACAGTGAAGTCTCACGCAGACATAAGGTTTTTGAGGGATGTAGGCACAGTCCTTTACATTTGTAGTTTTAAATTTGTGTTCTTTAAAACACAGCAAGGTGGCAACAAGGTGGACCGACAGAACTTGTGTGGTTGACAGAACTTGTGTGGTCGGCACCTTTGACACCTCCCCCCCTGCCCCCCTCCCTTTGACCCCCTTCAGAGCGGGTGGGTGGAGGGGGTAAGGGGGTATTGGTCCAGAGAAGCCTAGTACACAGGAACTATCTGAGCTTTAGCACCTGGGCAGCTTGGCGGGCGCCTCCCGCTGGCTGTTTATTTGTACAGTATTGCTCCCCCACCCTGGCTCCTGCCAGGAGCCTTTGTGTAAGTTGAGGAAGGGAATTAGTAAGAAGTGCATACACACACTATAGGCGCTTGAAGAGCATAGCTTCCAGCATCCCTCAGTCAGCAGATACCATCTAAGATCCCGAAGAATTTCTCTTCTGTTTCTGTCTCTTATTGCCCTCCACATCTAGACTGAAAAATTCTCTTCTTGCCCGGGTGCAGTTTTTGCTTGCCTGGATTATATTCTGAAAGACAGAAACTGTTTTACCCAGGAACTAGCCTGGTCTTGGGTGTTTCATTAGGGGGGATGATTTCCCACCAAACACATACACACAACTGAGTTTTCTTCGAGGGCGCCTGAAGGGGGTTTGCTCAGGGGTGTTGAAAGGGAGAGGCTGCAGCATGGGACGTGGTTTCTTTTGATGGGTGTGGGGTTGGGGTTACATCCCTGTGAAGCCATCTAACAGTAGTGTCAGTCACAGATCTTCCATCCAAAAGAGCTTAATAAGTTTGTATTCTTTAAATTTGTTCTTTAGATGGATCCATCCTACGAACCAGATGAGAATGAGGAGCGCACTCTCTTCGGTCTTCGTTTGAGCCAGAAAAGAAACAATGGTGTCATCGACAAGTCATTATTTAGCAATATTGTTACCAAGAATAAAGAAGTAAGTTTTGAATACATAAGCACTGAGTTCCGAAGGCCTGTTCAAATAGGAATTGCTTTGTTTTAAATGGATAATATGCAAATAGAGAATTAAGTCATCAAGTAAATTTGAAAGCTTACAAATGAAAGAACGAGGGGCTGGAGCAATAGCACAGGCCGACCTGGGTTTGATTCCCAGCATCCCATATGGTCCCCTGCGCATCGCCAGGAGTAATTCCTGAGTGCAGAGCCAGGAGTAACCCCTGTGCATTGCTGGGTGTGACCCAACAAACAGAAAAAAAAATAAAATAAAAGAACCAGACGGGGTCAGAGTAATGGTAGAGTGTGTAGGGTGTTTATCATCTCTGTGGCTGACAAGGGTTTGATCCCCAGCACCACGTATGGGCCCCCAGTCCCCAGCATGAGCCCCCGAGGCCAGAGCCGGGAATGAGCCTCAAGCACTGCCTGTGTGGCTTAAAAACAAAAAAATAATAAAAAGCCGTAATAGAAGGTTCTGTGCATATGTACTATATGAAAAACTCCATTGACTATAAGTAGGATCATTTCTAAAAATATTATGTTCTCTTTTATGCCTTCTTTTTATGGCCCAAGCTATTGGTATATTTTTATATTAATTAGTACAGATTTGTATCTTTGTCCAAAGGTCCTTTGGATTCCTGTATAGATTGATGCTGTGCTGGGTAGCCACCTGAATCTGTTTGTAGATAGAGGTCTCAGGATGGATATTTGGGTGGTTTCCTGTGCAGGTATGCTTTATTTCTATTTTCTTTGTCTTTTATGAAGGAGCTTAATCCCAGAATAGGGTGTTTTTTTATTTATTTATTTTTTAATTGTTTTATTTGCTCCGAGGCCACGCCCAGCAATGCTCTGGGCTTATTGCTGGCTCCACATTCTGGGAATCACTCCCGGCTGTGCTCAGGAAACCTCATGGGTACAGGACCACATGCAAGGCAAACACCTTGCCCACTTTACTATCTCATGCCCCAAATTAAAATTTCATTTTAATTGCAGGAATTAGATCATATAAAACAAATAGCACTGCAAAGGAGGTGGGGGTAGGGAATTATCTGCTGTTATCTCTGTTGTTAAAGATGCCAAGATTTGTGGCATAGGGGACATTAAGAAATTCTTCAAAGTGACAGAGCTAAGGAAATGAATGATATTTTTTGCTTGCTTTCTGAAATGCCATAATTGGGCCTCCAGTTTCAAGGGACTGGTTTTTTTTGCTCAGTTCATGTTGCTTCCTGTCCTTTTTTTTTTTTTCCCAGTTCTTCAGCAGTGTCACTCCACTGTTCTCTGTTCTTGTCTGCTGGTGTGCCTGCTATTTTTTGATCGAAAGTTGGGAACTGGGTATGAATAAAACATGGCGCTGTTTCGAGAGTTTGAATGATGTTTATTTTCTCCTTCCAGAAGTGGTCTTACATTTGAGAAGGCATGTTCATCCTGACAGGAGCTGAACTGATGGGATTTTAAGCTTCAGTTTTTGTGGAGTCTTATTTTCTTTTGGGTTGGGGAACGTCTGGGTATCTGCCGGCTCACTTTTTTTTTTTTTCCCCTTGTATCTTCTGAACTCTGTCTTCACCCTTAGCCCAAAGGGATGCCCAAATCTGCACAGATCACTCATCTCTAGTTTGATTGCCTGCAAACTTAGAAAAATGCCTTGAGGCTGGCTTTTTCGGTTTATCTCTGGGATCTGTACCCCTAAGAAACTGCCTCTCGCCTGCTTCTGTTTGTTCCTCGAAGGGCAGGAGTCTCCTCCCAGCCACTGGGATTTCTCCAGGCCTGGGTTTGGGTGCTCAGGACTTAGTCCTGGCTCTGTGCCGAAGTGCTCCTGGTGGTGCTCGGGGACCATAGTGTGGTGCTGGGAATCAGGGTATCATGTTGAGTGAAATCAGCTCGAGGGACAGGAACAGTCTCAGAATATGGAATAAAAAGAAACTTCCTAGGTGAACATCAAATGCCCTGTGGCCATAGAAATGAAGAGCAGGAGCACTGGTTTTCTGTAGGAAGCTTGTCTCTGGGGCAGGGTTGGGGGGTTCAGTTTGGGAAGGAGAGCTCTAGGACAGTCGGGGAGGAGGGAAGCTAGGGGTTATTGGTGGAGGGTTGTGGGCACTGGAGACAGAAGTGATGTTGGAATAATAAATGCCTGAAACTCAATCAGAAATATCTTTGTAACTTTGTAATTCACTACCATCTAGTAAAAGAAAAGTAAATGAAAGATGGCTCAAATTTTTAAAAAAGTTCTTGATAGGGAGCATGCAAAAAGTAAATGCCTAATTTCCTGTGCTCTCTCAACCCCCCCCCCCCCCCCAATTAACTTGGGCTAATGGGTTTTTTTTTAAGTGCTAAATAGATAATTTTTTTAGGTTTCATTCTTCCATGTTGAACATTGTACTTAGCTATTAAAGGTCTTTAGTTCTTCTTCTTACTAAAATTTGTAGATGTTAGAGTGATAAATCATCAGTATTTAATAGGTCTTGTCCCAATGGCTGTATCAGTTTGGGTGCATTTTTTACATTTTTGAATCACATCAGCTGTGCTCATTGTTTAATCCAGGTCCAGGAATTGAACTCAGGTTTGCTGCATGCAAATCAAGAGCCTTACTTACCATACGCTCTCTCCGGCCTGGCCCTTTTTGGGTCACACCCAGAGTTGCACCGCGGTTACTCCTGGCTCATGTACTCGGGAATTACTCCTGTTAGTGCTCGGGGGATCATATGAGATGCTGGGAATCGAACCCAGGTCGGCCACTTGCAAGGCAAATGCCCTTCGTGCTATGCTATTGCTCTGGCCCTCAGCCTCTCATCATTTAGTACAGACTTTTGCAACCATTCTGCCCTCAAAGTAATCAGAATATCTTAATAGATTAAAACACTTTCCCCAAGCTGGGAGAACAGAAGTGTAAGGAGTATGTATTCCCACGGAACAGACTTGGATTCTCTCTCCTCCCGTTGCTCTTGAGTGTTGCTTTGGCTTGTTTGACTGTTTGTGCCATTTATAAAACTAGATGTTAATCACTTCACTGTACCAAGGTCTTATTTGAAGGTAAATGAGTAGGAGGCGCCTTCTTTTTTATTTATTTATTTATTTTGCTTTTTTGGGTCACACCCAGTGATGCACAGGGGTCACTCCTGACTCTGCACTCAGTAGCCCTGGCTGTACTCAGGACCATATGGGATGCTGGGAATCGAACCCGGGTCAGTCACGTGCAAGGCAAACACCCTACCCCTCCAGCCCTTGGTCTTCATTATTAATCGTTTCTTGAGGGACTCGGGTGACCATATGGGGTGCTGGGGATTGAAATTGGTTTAGCCATGTACAAAGCAGCACGTTACCCACTGTGCTAAGGCTTTGGTTCCAAGAATGACATTTTTAGTCACAGTATTTGTTAACTTATTCTGTTTTTTTTTTTTTTTAATGTAGGAGTACTGCTATTTATTCAGCCACTGATTAGCTGATTGAATTGGGCATGAACTCCACTTGCTAACTTATTTTGTTTGAGCTAATTGTTTACTGTGTGTTTTTCAGTAGTTTTTGTTTTTAATTTTTATTAGTGAAACACCATGAGGTACAGTTGTAGACTTACAACTTTTTGTGCTTGGGTTTCAGTTTGTTTTTCAGTAGTTTTGACTTAGAATATTCTAAGCAGAGCAGCAAATGGTCCTAATTTGATTTTTTTTTCCTGAAGAACTTTGGTATATCACAGTTGCCTCTTAATATCTGTGAAAATGATTCCCAAGCGTTGTTTTCTTTTTTTTTTTTTTTCCTGAATGTATATGTTATGTCTCCAGATATCCATTAGTACCATAGTAAAGAAAACACAGTGTGTCCAATTTGGAGTGGTTATTGTTTCTCTTGTGTACCAGGTAAACAGACTCAGCAGCCACGAAGTGAGCTCCCTTTGAGTCTCTGAGGCTTGTGCTGAGTTCCCCGCCGATCCCTGAAGTTGAGCTTCTCAGTGGATCCTCCTGCTTAGCTTGGAGAGTTCCTTTCACTCACTTCCTTTTGAGGGTTGTAACGGCACTGGAGGTCTTCTTCAGTAAATGATACATAACTTGCAGAACGTGAACTCCGGGATGGCTGATCCGTTGACGCTTCCCTCTTTCCTCAGTTGCCAGAGTCTGCGCTCCGAGACCTCATAGTGGGCACTGTGGCTATCAAGTACACTCAGTCCAACTCCGTGTGCTACGTCAAGAATGGCCAGGTAACCCCATGGTCCTCTCCCCTGCGGGACGGTTGTTCTGTACAGGGACCCAGAAAGCACCTATCTGTCTCGGGTACCAGCCAGCGGGAAAGAGGACGTTTTCTGGCTCTCAGTAAATCTGAAACTGTTTCACTGTTGTTAACTCCAGTGATGATGAGCAAGTGTCTTGGTAATTGCCTGCTGCCTCCATGGCACATTTTGGATCAGAGGGACTCGGATGGCTTCTATGTAACTGACTTTTTTGCCTCTCCCTCCCACCCCCCTTGCTCCTGCTAGTCATATCAGATCAAGGAGGATTTCCACTTGCAGCATGTGGGGTATTTTTTATGTTTTTTTTTCTTGTGCTATTTTACCCAGAATTCATAAATGAGGAGTTAATTTTTTTTTAATTATGTTAGGGAGGCATAAGTTGTGTACAGTAAAATCTGCCCCCTTTTAAAGGGTTTCACCAGTTTTTATATTATTACATGATTATATCCACGGCTGCAGTTGAGATAGTGAACGGTTCCTTACTGATGTCGAGCAAGGTGGTTGGTCTCCTTCCCAGCTTACTGTGCTGCCCAAGGCAGGACCGAAGCAGCTGGGCCCTCAGGCCTCTCCTCGCCCCATGGCCAGCCTGGTTTTGCTGTGGCTCCAGCAGCTTTGGAGGAAGCCCTTTTATCTTAGCCTTTGTTAAATCACTCAGCCTGTAAGTGGGAGTTGGAAGCGTAAATATTAATTTACTCTATGGTCCAAAGACCCTTTCACATTTGGTGTTGCAGTGATCTCCACTTACTTGTTAATGCTGCTAGTCTCTGATTAGAACTACCTGGCAGAGCCGGGTCACTGCCCCAAGCGCAGTTCCTCATAAACTCGTCAAACTATGCTTCACTGCTAGTATATCCAGGAGTTCTAGAAACTTCCTGCGCAGGGTAAATCATACAGGTGGGAGTTATAATTTTCTTTACCCATACCTGGTAACAACTAAAATGACTTTCCTGCTGTTCTGGCCTGATACTGTTTTTTTTCCACAGAATTGAATGTGCTGAAGATCTATTGAGAAAAAAATGTCTTACTGAAGGGGTGCTTAATTGTGCGTGTTCTGTAGGTTATTGGCATGGGAGCAGGACAGCAGTCTCGGATACACTGTACTCGCCTTGCAGGGGATAAGGCAAACGCTTGGTGGCTTCGGCATCACCCGCAGGTGCTTTCCATGAAGTTTAAAGCAGGAGTAAAGAGAGCAGAAATCACCAATGCCATTGACCAGTATGTTACTGGGACCATCGGTGAGGTACGAGGCTGTGGATCGTCTTTGTTGCCTTGTTCATCCTTTTCTCTGCAACAGATTTTTACCTTCATTAAAATCTTTCATTTTACTGTAGTGCTTAGGGTCTCCCATTTGACAGTATCCACCAAACAAACAACTGTCCTTCCGTTGTTCATCAGTGTGCTCGAGCGGGCCCAGTAACATCTCCATTTTGAGACTTGTTACTGTGTTTGGCATATTGAATACATCACGGGTAGCTTGTAGCTTGCCAGGCTTTGCCGGGCGGGTGAGATACTCTCTGTAGCTTGCCAGGCTCTCCGAGAGGGGCGGAGGAATAGAACCCGGCTCGGCCAGGCTGGCAAATGCCTTACCGCAGTGCTATACTGTGATACTAAGTCTCACAGTATCCACCAAAATTCTGCTAATACTCCCAGCAGTCTTGATAGTTAACAAAAATTTAAATGTATTAAATGAACAAAAGCATCTTTTAAACCATGACATTTACCCAGAGTCAAAGCACCTTTTCCAGCTAGGAATCTTGTGAATCCTGTTCTGATTTATCCATGAGTCTCACTATACACAAAGGACTCTTATATAAATGTAGTTTTAGACTTTTCTGTCATCTGGGACCAAGAGCTACTATAGCAAATATGGTACTTGTCTTGAAGACACAAATACGAAATAAAATGCTCCATTATCTGTTTGCTTACTTAACACTAAATTGAATACTGATTTAACTTAGGTAAAGATTAAAAGGGCAAAGTATATGCAGAATGACTTATAGAAAACAAATGGTATAGTCTTCATTTGATAATCCTTTGAGCTTTTCTTTCTTAATGAATATTAACAACATCAAAATGAGAAAGGACATCTAGAGATAAGTAGCCATTGGGGTGTTTATAAGTCCTAGGACATAGATTCAGATTCTCTTGGGCATTCTGATTTATATGGGATATTACTAACTAAAGGTGGCATCTACCTTTCCCTTCCTTCCCGCAAAAGGATGAAGACTTGGTAAAGTGGAAGGCACTCTTTGAGGAGGTGCCTGAATTACTGACCGAGGCCCAGAAGAAGGAGTGGATTGGCAAACTCCGTGAAGTTGTCGTCAGCTCTGATGCTTTCTTTCCCTTCAGGGATAACGTAGACAGAGCTAAAAGGGTATGTATGTATGGAATTGGGTGCATTTCCACGAAATTGGGTTATATGTAGAAAGTATCTCAAATCCTTCTAATGCGTAAGTCATGTTGTTCCTGGAAAATGGACTCAGAGACCACAGAAAGGAGAGTCACGTGAGCTCCCTGCACGAACCTCCAGGAAAAGAAGGGGGCACCCCAGGAGGACAGACCTCATGCGGGCGATTGTATTGCCCTGCCAGTCCCATGGGTGGTCTGACCACACTGTGTTGGCCTGGTCTGCTGGGCCTGGCTCTTCACTTCTACTATCCTGAATCTGATGCCCTGGGTCCGAGACTGACTCTAGATCTAGCTTTTGTCCGCTCTGGCAGAAGAGGTAAAAAGCCTCCACCCCATAAAACGGGTTGTTTCGTTATTTGGGTTTTGATTTGGGGACCACACGGTGGCTCTCAGGACTTACTCCTGGCTCTGTGCTCAGGAATCACTCCTGGTGGTGCTCAGGGGCCAAGTGGAAGGCAGGGATTGAACCCAGGTTGGACACATGCAAGGCAAGCGACGCACTGGTTATGCCACCACTCGGGTTCCCCTCGAACAAAGACAGAAAAAGGGACAGCTTCTGTCTTTGTCTGAAAGAGCATTCAAGAACAAGACAGTGTAGATGACAGCAGAGAAATGGATGAAAGAGAGGGTACACCAGAGATGTGGGTGTGGGTACGCCAAAGGGATGGCAGTACACCGGATTTGGGGCAAGGGTTTTCAAGGGGTAAGAAGGGAGGAATGCATCTGAAGGATTGTGTATACGTAATGTGATAGGGGTGGTGTTAAAGTTGTGCATGTGTCTCCAGGACCATGTATCATTAATATCTGAGCTAAGATGCATTTGGCATTTAATGTGAGCGGGGGATTAAGGTCAGGGTTCTGTTCTGAGCAGGCTCCAGTGACTTCTGGAACTGGTTTTCCAAAGGCCCCCTCTTTCAGGAAGTTGGCAACCACCAGGCTCCTGAGCCGGGGTCTCAAGACCCCTTTATGTTTTCTTCAGACATATGCATGACTTGTGGGGCATAGGCACAGCCCTTGAGCTCCAGACCCTCTGTTCCTCTCTGGGAGATTCTTGGAACACTGGGAGTTAATTGATCCGAGCTATGGCTATGGAAATAGCAGTATTAGTTATACCCTGTCCTTTATCCTGTGGTCTGGGCTCTGCCACAAATTTCACTCCAGTCTAAGCAGCAAATGTCATAGTAGCTGAACATTGTAATTTTATAACTTGAAGTTTAATAAATAAAATCCTGCCTACAGTGGTTTTTCCATTTTTAGCTGTCAGCCCGTCCTCGAAGTGGTTCTCCAATTTTCTCCAGTCTGCCGGTGTAAAAAAGATGGATAAGCACTGATTTGGAGAATTATTTTGACTTCCCCATTTACATCTGATGTGTAGATAACACACATCCTCTTTTGCTTTTTTTTTTTAAAAAAAGAAATGAGTGGAACAGTCTGCATTATCTGAATTGTCAGCTTGTGCTTTTTTGTTGTTGTTGGCTGGGGGTGGACTTTTACCATTTTAGTGTAAAATTGTGCCTTTCTTTTTTTTTTAAAGTGACCCTGCTATTAGTATAGAATCAAAAGATTTGGCGAGCACAAATGGCATATGCTGATCTCTGATGTCACACAGGCAGGCTTCACCCATCCCTCTGGCAGCCACTACATTTTCCTGAGTCTTGAGTTTTTCTTGGGTTTTGCCCATTTCCTTTCTTTGCTCATGCACATTCCAGCGATGGGTGAAACTATCCTCTGTTACCATATCACCTCCTGAATTTGTTTATATAGCATGATCGCACCGAGTCCCATCTGTGGTGTTGCAAGAGACACAGTCTCGTTCCTTACCGGCGTTCCTTGTCGTTCCCGTTCTGATCGGCGCTGTCTGTTTTCCCCGCAGAGCGGTGTGGCCTACATTGCTGCTCCTTCCGGCTCGGCCGCTGACCAAGTTGTGATTGAAGCTTGTGACGAGCTGGGGATAGTCCTTATTCATACCAGCCTGCGGCTCTTCCACCACTGATTCAACCTGCCTTTTGTAGGGGATTTTGCTGCTGTGTAGGTGAAAAAAAAAAAAACATATTTTTTGATTTTGTTTTTAAGAAATAGTAAATATTGATCATCTTGGTTCCAGGGTGTGTCTTCTGTTTTAATTCGTCTCTAAGATACAAGGTGTTTAAGGCAGTGCTTTATGACTTTTTTTGCTGCTGTGACCCTTTCTGACTTCATTTCCTTAGTGTGTGTCGCCCCTCCCCTTACTGGTTAACCCTCTAGTCTTTTGGGGGGGGGGCTTTTTGGCTTTTGGGGTCACACCCAGCAATGCACAGGGGTTACTCCTGGCTCTGTACTCAGGAATTAGTCCTAGCAGTGCTCGGAGGACCATATGGGATGCTGGAAATCGAACCCAGGCCGGCCATGTGCAAGGCAAACGCCTTACCCACTGTGCTGTCGCTCCAGCCCCATATAGTCTTATGTTGTGGCCCTCTCCCTGTTGACAGAATTTTCACCTATAGCCCCTTGAGACATCGTAGTAGCTGGGGGGGTGGGAGGGTCGATATGACACCCGGTTTGGAGACACCGTTTCCAAGTGACCAGCACTGCACGTTACTACCAAATCAAATCCAGGAGCTCCACCACCTCAGGTCCCTGTGGTTTCCCTCTCAGGGTGTCTGCCCAAGCCAAGCACAGTTCTTAGGATCATAGCTGTGGAAAGCTTGGCGCTTAATTTCCTGAACCAACAGCCATCCATGACCTGCAAACCGGAACCTGGCAGGCGATGAACTGCATTGACCTTTGAGAGGACTCGTGCCAGCAGATACTCCCCTCTCTGTTAAGTGAAGCGTTGCCCCTCCTTTCAGTCAACATGTGATCACATTCTCTTAGATCAGCTTGGAATCAGCACTTGGTGCCCCGATGGCCCCCCGCTAATTCCATGGCTCAGTGAAGGCCCCGCCTCCCTGCATGGGGACTTAGAGATGCCCTGTGTGGGCTCGTGTGCGTGGTCCTGATTCTCTTATACCTGGGGCTGTTTTACCTTTACTGGATGGGAGGAGGTGGGTTCATCACACAGGAAGTGAGTAGGTTCACTTCCTGTGTGATGATCCCACCTCCTCCCTAAATCAATAATGATTCCTTTTAGTGTGAATATCTTGACTATTAGTCTTTTATCAAGTAGCCTCCAACATTGAATTAATGCTGATTTGTGTATCCAGTAAGAGAGTAGAAAAAGGTCAACTTCCTATTATTTCTGGGTTATCACATCAGTTTCTTGAGTCGCTTACTCTAGAGTTAGCCTGTGACACATTGGAAGAGTATATCCTTGCAGGCAAATGCCATCTTGCCAGCATGACCTGCCACCTTGGCATTACTCCTGTATTTTGGGTAGTTGGTACGAGACCTGAGCCAAAATTCCCCAGAGGTTTTTTCTGGGAATTCTTGTTGCACAGAAACATAGAATTTTGTTATCTAAGCAATCAGTAGTTAATACAGGTTTTTGTTAAGAGCACATTTTTATTTCCCACCCCATTCTCTAAGCTGTTGAACTTTAATTTGACTGCAGTTTAACATTAAGGATAAAATTATTGGAACTATCATTGCTGTTATTAACACAATACTGCCTAATTGCTTACAGAGATTTTTAAAGCCAGGTGCTACAAAATAATTAGGCATAAATATAGTTATCCATTTTTTTAAATCAAAATTTATCTTTTAATCATTGTTCTACAAAATAAGAGATAGAGGTGACATTCTATTTACTGTTATTATCTAGACTTTAGGTTCAGGGATCACACCTGTCCTGGTGGCTGCAGGGAACGCTAGGATGTTGGGGTTCAAACCCAGGTCAGCCGTGTGCAAGGCAAGCGCCTCACCCGCCATACTATGGCTCAGGCCCCTGTTTTCCAGATGACTATTTACTTTGGACTTATGTTGGAGAGAATTGAAGTTATCCTTAGTTCACGATAGACTGATGCATCCTTGTCATTTTCGTCATGTAATTGGAATGGGACATTATCTCAAACAAAAGCCAGAATCTACAGTAACGATTATTTTTTGGGGGGGGTCACACCCAGCGATGCACAAAGGTTACTCTTGGCTCATGCACTCAGGAATACCTCCTGGCTATACTTCGGGGACCATATGGAATGCTGGGAATTGAACCCAGACTGGCCTCGTGCAAGGCAAACACCCTACCCGCTATACTATTGCTCTAGCCCCTAACTTGATATTTTTTTTAAATTAGTGAATCATCATCGAGTATAGTTACAAACTTAAGAACTTTCGTGTTTGCATTACAGTCATACAATGATCGTTTACCCATCCCTCCACTGGTGCCCATTCTCCCCCACCAATGTCCCAGCATCCCTCCCACCACCCCACTCCGCTTCAGCGGGAGGGCATTCCATTTTGTTCTCTCTCCTTTTGGGTGTTGTGGTTTGCAATAGAGGTATTGAGCGGCCATCGTGTTCTATCTATGGTCTACTTTCAGCACACATCTTTCAACCCAAATGGGTCCTCCCAACATCCTTTACTTGGTGTTCCCTTCTCTATGTGAGCTGCCTTTTCCCCCAGCATGCCGGTTTCCGAGCCGGTTTCCGAGCCGTGGAGCAGACCTCCTGGTCTTTATCTCTAACACTCATGGGTGCCTAACTTGACTTCATATGTGCCTCAACTTCTCCACCTCATCACTTCTCCAGCTCTCCTTGACTGGAGGAATGCCTGGGCCCCCAAAGAGTCACTCATTGCTGTGAACACTACTCAGTCCACCAAGGAACTTCCCCAGCGTTCACACCACGTGTCACCTCCAGATTCCCTTTTCGTCTCCCTACCATTGGGGCATTTGAGCTGTAATTCGAGGTTGCAGAGACATGTGGTTGGTTTTGAAATCCACTTTGTTCACTTTGTGTGTGTTTTTGGGGGGGGGCGGGGGGGGGGGGGCTGTGGGCATACCCAGCTATGCTTGGATTCACCCCTGGCAGGACTCAGGTTCATTGAGGGTCCCAGATGACAAATCTGAGTTGGCTGCCTGCAAGGCCAACACCCTCCCTGCTGTACAGCCCCCTTGAAAGCTCTTAAATAATTTTGTTTTTGCCAAAACACTGCTGGACACACTTTTGCTTAAAATTTGTGGTGCATAGAGATCGTAGAGAGGTTAAGACACACGTCTTGCACACAGTGGATCCCGGCTCACCCAGGCACCACAGGGTCTCCCTAACTTCCCTAGCGGTGGTCCCAGAACCCTCCCAGCACTGTTTAAGATGGCCCCTACGTTCTCCTTGAGAGACCAGGACAATGTGGCGCTGTAGGGTTCCAAAGTGCACCGTATCCTCAGAAGGGGCCGCAGACCTGAACATGGGAGATTCTGGAAGATCAGTCATAAATAATATCAGTGGGCATATTTATACATTTTTACATGAATGTATTTTCACTTCTCAAGTATGTGTCTCAGAGTAGACAAGCTGGTCATGTGGTAATTGCAGTAAACTTGAAGAACTCTCCAGCGTCCCCAAAGCAGCTGCATTTCCAGCAGCGTTTGTAGGAGGGGGAGTCTATTGTCCCCTTAAAACCAGCAGTTTTGTTTTTTGTTTTTGTTTTTCTTTTTTTTTGCTTTTTGGGTCACACCTGGCAATGCACAGGGGTTCCTCCTGGCTCTGCGCTCAGGAATCACCCCTGGCCGTGCTCAGGGGACCATATGGGATGCTGGGAATCGAACCCGGGTTGGCCGTGTGCAAGGCAAACGCCCTACCCGCTGTGCTATTGTTCCAGCCCCCAAACCAGCAGTTTTGAGCCTACTACTTGACTAAACATCTCCAAATGAATTCTGAATAATACACTTCTGCAGACCTCAGCTGCTGGTCCTTTGTGGCAGGCTCATGACGGAGACAGTGCTCCTGGGATGCCTTGGGCAGATCCCAGAGGCCTCATGACACAAACCTTGTCTGATGAGTTTGACCTTGGGGCTGGCTGTTGTACTGGCCAGTCTGTAAAGTACTGGGAAGCAAGTCCTTCCTGGACGATGGGGTGCTCCTGCCAGGACCCTGTACTCCTTGTGCTGTGCCCCATAGACAACATGAATCTCAAGGTTTGGGGAGGAGAAGGGCCAAGAACCATTTTAGAAACCATTTGGCTCCTTGGGCGGTTAAAACTTATACCATCCCTAAAAGTACTTCTAGTACTATATATCCCTCCAAAGGATATTTTATTTTTGTTTCGGAGCTTTGGGGCTATACCGAACAGTGCTAGGCTCTCTGCTTAGGGGACCATGTGATGCTAGAGATCAAAATTGGATTGGGGTCTGCAGTTTGCAAGGCAAAAGTCTGGATGAGTCTCTCGAGTCCATGGCGTATACTTTATTTTTAAATATTTTTTTCTTAGTTTAATGAATGACCATGAGATACAGTTACAGACTTATAAATTTTCATGATTACGTTTCTTTTTTTTTTGGGGGGGGTGTCACACCTGACGAGGCATAGGGTTTAGTCCTGCCTCAGCACTCAGGAATTATTCCTTGTGGTGCTGAGGGGACCATATAGGGTGGTGGGAATCGAACCCAGGCCAGCAACGTACAAGGCAAATGTCCTACCCACTGTACTATCACTCCAGCCCCTCATGATTACATTTCAGTCAATGTTTGAGTTCCCACCAGTTTGAGTTCCCTCCACCAGTGCCCATTTTCCACCACCAATGTTCTCAGTCTCCTTCCTGCTACCCTCATACTTTCCAACCCCCTGCCTCTGTGGTAGACACATTTCCCTTTTACTCTCTCCTTATGGGTGTTATGGTTTGCAATATAGGTACCAAGCAAGCCATCATGTTTGGTCCATAGTCTACTTTCAGCACGCATCTACCACCCCGAGCAATCCCTCCAACCATCATTTACTGCCTAGTGGTCTCTTCTCCATCCCATCTTATCTGCCTTTTCCCCCAGCACATGAGATCGGCTTCCATCTACTTTACAAGAAATCCAGGGACTTGTAAAACATGCTTTAATCTCTCGCACCTGACTCTTCTAAGGAGTACTTAAAGCAGTAGCAGACCTTGGGGGTTTAGTTGAAACATCCATCCTGTTGCTCTTTTGTTCCAGTATTTCTTCTATTCCCTTGTGGCATTTACAGATTTTTGGTTTGCCAATTCAAATGGAATCTCTTAATGAAGATAGTGAGACTATGTGGCAGTGGTAGTAATTGTCATTTCAAATGTGGGTGGTTTGCTCTCTTTAAAAACTAATTTCTTGGGGCTGGAGCGATAGCACAGTGGGTAGGGTGTTTGCCTCCCATGTGGCTGATCCCGGTTCGATTCCCAGCATCCCATATGATCCCCCAAGCACTACCAGGAGTGATTCCTGAGTGCAGAGCCAGGAGTAACCCCTGAGCATTTCTGGGTGTGACCCAAAAAGCAAAAAAAAAAAAAAAAAGAAGGATTTCTTAAGGGGCTGGAGCAATAGCACAGTGGGTGGGGCGTTTGCCTTGCACGCAGCCGACCCAGGTTGGATTCCCAGCATCCCATATGGTCCCCTGAGCACCGCCAAGAGTAATTCCTGAGTGCACAACCAGGAATAATCCCTGTGCATCATCGAATGTGACCCAACAGGCAAAAAAAAAAACCCAAACAAACAAACAAAAAACCCCCTAATTTCTTAGGAACTTGAGCAGAGATAGGGCATTTATGCCTTGCACACATCTGACCCAGGTTCTATTTCCAGCACCCCATATGGTCCCCTCCTTACCAGCCCTGCCAAGGAGAGATTTTTAAATGAAGAACCAGGAGTAAGCTCTGGGCACCGCTGGGCGTGACTCCCCAAATCAGCAAAATTTCTTAGTTGGAAAATCCCCCAATAGTACAAGGTCATCTTTACTCTTTAACTGATAATCTTTATGTTAAACTTGCAATGTTCTTAGACATGAGAAGTCCCAAGTCCCATGATCTTTTTTTTTTTCCTTTTTAATGGTTGAAATGAATCTCCTGAAAATTGGATTTTTTAATTGTAGCCTGCCACTTTCCCTACCACAGTAATGGGGTTTTACTGAATGGGGAGCAATTTCAGCACTTAAATGTGCTGATGTGATGTTTCTTAATCACTATAATGAGTTTCATACAACTAGAAATGAAATAGAATTTTCAATGGAAATATAATTAAATAGAAAAGCCATTTTCTATCCTTGTAATTTTCACCTGGCCATTTCTTAATTCACCCCCATTGAAAGTGTTGTGCCTTATATGGGCTCATAGTGAAATTACTATGGTGACTCATTTGCATAATTCATTTAGATCATTAGAGTTGTGAACAAAAATATACAGCATCAAATTTTATTCTAAATCAAGTGCAACAATGCAAAACAAATCTTTACAACTATGATTTTGCAGGGGACGGTGTGGGGATCTAGCTAAGAGGGCTATTATACTTGCCTCACATTCTGGAGACCCAGGTTTGATCCATAACTCTGCATGAACCCCTGAGTACTACTGGGTGTGGCCACCCGCCCTCAAAAAAAAAAAGGGCAAAACAAGAAAGTAAACACCATTTTTTTTTCTTTTAAGATTCAATGTATTGACTAGCTTTGTCTGTTTTGTTCCTGAATTGGCAATTTATTTGCTAACTCTAGATTGGCCTTTTAATTATGCCCTTTAATCTTATCTGTTTAAGGCCATTCTCAAGAGGGAGTCCTAACTGGAGTCAATGAAAACTACAAAAGCTCTCTGCTGGAGCAATAGCACAGTGGGTAAGGCACGTGCCTTGCATGCGGCCTGAGCCGGGTTCGATTCCCAGCATCCCATGTGGTCCCCTCAGCACCACCAGGGTTAATTCCTGAGTGCAGAGCCAGGAGTAACCCCTGTGCATTGCCAGGTATGACCCAAAAAGAAAAAAGAAAAGAAGAAAAAAAAAAAGCTCTCTGGAAATCCTCAGTTGCCCTGTTTGAAAAAGTTGAAAAGAAGTTTTGGGGTTCTTGCATTGTGATGCTCAAACATAAAAGGACATTAAACTTTTAATTTATTTTTCTGATCATTTCAGCACAGTTACTGACTCATGGTTGAAATAGTTTAATTTGTAAATTTAACATTGCTGTTGAGAGTTGCAGACATTCTGGAGAAAGTCCTTCTTAAATATGGGAGCTTGTGGTTTTCATTTTTCATTGTTTATGTTGTCATAAACTGTCCCTTTAATGAATACAATCTAGCTGGATTTACTTCAACTCACTTTGGGGTGAACACAGTCTTAGGCATATCATTAGTAGTTTGAAGTAGCTTAAAGCACATTCTCAACCCAAACTGCTTTTTCTTTATGTTTCTAAATATAACTGTTGGGCTGGGGGTGGGAGGGGACTGGGGGAGATGCTTAGATGCTTGTAGATTTGTTCAGTTGTACAGTGAAGGGATAGAGTCGAACATTTCGTGGTAAATTCATTGCAGTATGTTCACATATTGAGATACAGTGCATTACCTGAAGCTTGTACAGTGTGATAATGCACTGTTACTATAGTGACAATAATTGCAACAACAAAAAAGGTCTTTCAGATTGAGCTGAGATGCACATCTTTCTCAGCATATTCTCTGGGCTTCCTCTTTTTCTTTTCTTTTTTTTTGTGGGGTTCACCTGTGGTTCAGGGGCTACTTCTGGGTTGGTTGCTCAGGGGGATTGTTCAGTGGACTATGGACTATGTGGTAATGGGTATTGAACCCAGGGTTCCAGCATGCAAAATGTGTGCTCTAGTGCTGTGAGCCATCTCCTCACCCCATTTGAACCTCCACATCCAAAGATGGAGGGAACTGACAGTTCTCTGGGCCTGTGCCTCCAGTATGACTACCTGTGCATCCATCAGTACTGAGTCACTTTCTCTCCAGTGAGCACTGATGGCCTGTGGTCTGCCAGATGGACATTCACTATCTCCAAAATGTCCACGTACTTGGCATGATTTTTTCTTCTGTCTTACTCACAAAGCTTTTCTCTCAGTATCCACTAGCTGGATACTGAAAGATCTGCCGTACGAAACCATAGACCAGAGTCCATGTTTTGTTTTTTTTTCTTTTTGGGTCACACCCAGTGATGCACAGGAGTTACTCTTGGGTCTGCACTCAGGAATTACTCCTGGAGATGCTCAGGGGACCATATGGGATGCTGGGATCAAACCCAGGCCGGCCACGTGCAAGGCAAACGCCCTACCACTGTGCTATTCGCTCCAGCCCCAGGCTCCATGTTTGACTTCCATCGGGGAAATGCATCTGAGCCAGAAGACCCACATAATTAAGACTGCAAAACCACAGGATGCTAAGTTTTCAGCATTCCATTTTATACACTGTGGCTCAGTTTCAGTGTGACTTTTGTTTTGTTGTGAACCAGTGAACCAGGAGGAAAACTTTAGGATATTAAAGCCACCTGGTTTCTCTGTGACAAAACTCTGTTATATTACCCTAGTTGTTTTCACATCTTTGTCATTTTTCTTTTTCGTTCAGGTATTCTCCTTGAATAAATGTTTATTAAATGAAGGAAGGAAAGGAGTTGGGAGGGTGAGAGGCAACATAATGGTTACAGGAGCATGAGTCAAGATGGATTCCGCCTCTGAAGGTAACAGGTTAAATATATATTTGAGTCTCCTTAAATCTGTTTTCGGAGAAAGCATAAAACTCCCTCCGTTATGGAAGAGATGAAATTGCAAGAATGAATCTGTGTTTTTGTAGGGACAGACTTAGAAATTCTTCTATTTAAATCACCACAAATCAGAGCTGTGCTCATCAGCGGTTTACAAATGTTTGCTGAGTGGAAAAGAAAAGAATTTTCATGAGGATTATATTACTTTTTCCCATGTGTCTTTATAAAAAAAAAAAGTCGTGATATCCAAGTAGTAGAATGTAAATCTTTTATTAAACAGTTGTTTTTCCACAGTAGTAAAGCTTTGGCACGTACAGTATAAAAAATAATCACCAACCATAATTATACCAAATTCCTCTTACCCACTGCATACCAAGTGTCTTCCATACATTTTTTTCCATATAAAAATACTGGGAAAATTGATAAATAACAGGTCAGAGAAAGATATTTCTAGGCAATTAATAGAATCATTTGGAAAAAGTGAGTACTGTGGATTTTTTTTTTTTTAAATATCACAGTGACAAAGACAAGCTGTTCCTACAATAGTGCGGGCCAAAAAGTCAAGAGGAAGCAGAAGTGTCTGGATAACTTTCCCACTTAGTTTGGTAATACCATTCTCATTCATTTTGCATCACGGATGGCGTCTGTTTTCCTGTCGCTCCTATTTACCAAGTTCGAATCCTTTCACTGCAAATACTGAACAGTCCGGAAAGACTTCAGAACAAAACCGGCCATGGACTGCCCGCCCCCTCAAACACTCCCAGGGTGATACTTGGAGAAACTGTGAGTCAAGTTGAAGCTGGAGGAGTTACTCCAGAGCATAGGGCATAAGAAAGAAACAAACATCTAAGCTGGGGTCCGCTAAATGTCACTCCAGTTTGGATGGGTCTTGCCCAGAGAGCCTTGCTTGCTTCTCTGGGTTGGAAATCCTACTCTCGGGAGTCATCTCTGTCAGCCTGCACATCTAAAGGCATGAAGCACTCGATCGGGCAGTTGACATTCTGTGAAAATAGAAGAGAAATTAGTAGTGATGCTTTTCAGTCAAGTACAGCCCAGGGTGTGTGTGTTGTGGGGGAGAGGGTGGGGGAGGGAAATAATAACTTGGATAGGGAACCATCTGGAAACAACCTAACTATAAAGTAGAAAGCTAAGAGGTGTCCAATGAAGACCTATGAAGTCTATGAAGACCTTCTTAAAATTGGGGCTCATGCAGAAGAGAGACACACCCTGCTATGTACCTGTTTGTGTTTGGGGGTCACGAATGCACTTACAGTGTTGGTGTTCTGGTCGTATCTCGGCGGCAAGTACCGATTTGAAGAGTAGCCGGGGGAGCCTTCGGTGCCAGAGTCAATTACCCCGGGTCTGCGGCAGTTGTCACAGCGCCAGCCCTGAGAGGAGAAGCAGGAAGTCAAGTGGGGTTGACCCTCCTTGCGGGTGTTACAGAGGGATCGCAGCCCTGAGTGACTGGCAGGATTTAAGCAATCAGCCGGGGAGCTTTGAGGAGATGGTCTAGTGCACTCAGAATCCAGAGAATACATTTTGGCTTCTTACGCATATCTTAAAGCTGCTTGTCTTCACTTTTCCTGAAATGCCCTCTCTTCCCTTCCTTTTTTTTTTTTTTTAAATCTTGCTTCCACCATTTTATTCTCTGGTTTACCAAGAATCCAGTGATAATTTCATTATGAAGGATAACAAGTCCATTCTCATCCAGAGATCACGGCTTGAGTATTGCCAGGAGTTAACCCTGGCTCTGCACTCAGGAAGTACTCCTGGTCCTGCTCAGGGATGCTGGGGATTGAACCCAGGTCGGCCATGTGCAAGGCAATGCCTTACCCGCTGTACGATGGCTCCGGCCCCGATCATGGCTTTCTCAACCTTCCTTTCCAAATAAACCTTACTTTCACTTACTTAGGTCGCAACTTCCCTGGCTAGCCTTTGACTCCAAATAATACAGCATTTGCTCTTATGCTAGAGCTTTTAAAAGAGGCTTGAGCCCCCTTGTACAACTACCTTCGTTTTACAGGGGAAGAAATAAGATGGAGAATGACTTGCTCAGGAGCAGGAGATGCATGTAAGGAACTGTTGGTGGTTTAAACTTCCTACCCGCTGCTGAGTGACCTCAGGACACTGCACCTCGACACTCCCTGCCTAACTCCCATAGTCTCTGGCCTGTAGAACAGAAATGGGAACAAGCTGATGGACTATGCTTCCTTTGTGTCAGATGGGGAGCAGGGCCCTTGCCATGCAGAAGGACACCACACTAATTTCCATCCACTGCAGGGGACACAGTCCTACCCTGGAGACTATATATGTGTGTGTGTGTGTGTGTCTGTGTGTGTGTGTGTGTAGTATGTGTGTGTGTGTATGAGTTACAAGGGAATCAGGCATAAAAACTTTATTATATTGAGTTGGGGGCACATATCAGAAAGGGTTGAGGTGTACTGACTTATATAATGAACCTCTAAGGGTGTCCCCGATTGGTTTTCCCTCTCCTTTCTTCCCATCTCATTGCTTGTCTTGACATACCAGACTAGGGTTGTCTCACTGGAGCCTGTCTGGGCCACTCATCCTCTTTCGAGAGACTCGCTCTAGTGCTCCTTCTGTTGCTTCTGCCTCCTCTTCTCCTCTAACCAAATTTGAACCATACTACACCCCTGGCAGCTTCTCTCTTGCGTAAATCTTTCCTGCTGATTCCAATGACCTAGGAACTGTTATTTATCTGACCCACTGAGAAGTGCCCAGAATTAGCCTGAGTTTCAGTGCATGCCACTGTCATGTTTCCAACGAGATGATCAAGAGGCAAGACCATTTCTCAGTTCTTCTCTTGGTCTCATATCCTTGAGCAGGGGGCTAGAACTAGAGCAGGAGTCTGTGGTTTGAGAAAAGGTTCCTAAGAGACGGCATGCTCTGGGTTACTGTGAGACTTCTTTAGCAATCATGCAACAGGGGCACCTGCCCATAGCTTCTCTCAGGATTCACGGCCGTGCGACACGTCATAAGACACTCCCTACCCATTCTCCAAGAGTTGACAGAGTTCAAAGAGTAGACAACCAATCATAGAGGGAAATATGTATGTATGTGTATATATATATGCATATATATTTTCAGATATATATATAAAAAGTTCACATCACTCAACCTTTAACAACATGTTAGTGATATCCTAAAGAAGGTCTGAATGGCTCCTGCCAAAATAGAACAATCTTCACAGTTTCCTCGATGGATATTTTTTGGTAGCATTTTCAGCAGTTTTTCATAACAAACAATACAAAATATATTATTTTAGTTGTGCTTTGGGACAGGGCTTGGGCTTGGGATGGAAACATCCCAAGTATGGTGGTGGGAAGGTATAATGGTGGTGGGATTGGTGTTTGAATATTTAAATGTAATCAAATACTGTGAACTACCTTATAAAATAAAAAATTTTATATATATAAAAAAGAAGGATGCAGTTCCAGGCCCAGTGCTACCCAGCCTTCAACACAGTTGTTGAAGGATAAAAGGCCTGAATATAGTAGGGGAGAAAGAGTGACAGAGGTTGGCGAGAAGGCGAATTGAGAATGAGAATTCAGGAGCCTTATGTCAGCAGCAGGAAAGGAGTTATTTTCACAGTTTTATCTTTTTCACAGTTTCATCTGGGTGCTGCCACATGAAACACACACACACACAATGCTTAATAAAGATTATCAGTGCAAGAGTCTCTCCTTTATGGTATCTAAGCTGCAGGGAGCCTGACATCAGGTCTTACCCGTTTGCCTCCAAAGCACGTGCAGGTGCAAATGGCACCGAGATATTCCTTCTGCCACTGTTCTTTTATGTAGTATACCTTCCCGTCATCATAACAGGTTGTCTCATCTACAGAGAGGAACAAGCCAGAAGCACATAAGAGACTGAAAACAATAATATAGATGCCCCCTAGGGAACATGTGGGCCTGCTTTTTCTCCTCACATTGGATCATCACAGCCCCAGATCCACATGTGGATGAAAGGGCATGATCTGTAAGTGAGTTATTCCAAAATAGGGTAGTGCTCCCCAAATTGAAATCCAGTGAACTGGAAGTGATTCTATGGGAGGATGGAGACTCTAGTCTAAAAGTTGAGTCAAGGACTAGTAAACTAAACTCTTTAAACAGTCACTACCAATTACAGTGAAAGTACTCTGATCAGAAGTGTCCAGAGGTGCTCGGTAATAACATTAAATCATGCTTCATTTTTGAAGCTGGCTTTCTGCTCTCCCAAGTCAAAAAGATGAACAAACCCAGTTATTCACTCCTTATGGGAACCTGAGTCTCCGGCCACTTCTGCCAGTGAGTTACAGCTCAGCAATGAAAGGATGAGTGGTTAATAAGTCACTAAAAATCCATGGCCACATACCAGGATCACACTTGAATTCTCCTTTTCCATTTCCAAGACAAGTGCAGGTCATCTTCTGGCCATTTTCTCCAGTGCGATCCCACTTCTCTCCGATTTTGTAGTTAATACCATTGTCATAGCACCATTCTGCGAGTGGGGACAGTGTCACGGGCAAAATGTTATCAGTGTGTTCAAACTCCGGACAGAGAGTGCCTGAGGTACTAAGACAGCCCACAGGATTTTAGATCCACATAACTGGAAGGCAAGGAAAGTGAACCCTCACGATCCCTGTGACAAAGCATGTCTTTAGTGGGTGGAAGTCATCTTGACCATTTAATACTTGCTAGGCTATTTTAAGATCTGATGCATACCACAATCATCCTGTTGCAAGAATAGCTAATTACCTTTGTTTGAATTCTCACTATTAAGGCTTGAACTTGTCAAAAACTGCAGTAGGATTTGAATAGTCTTTCAGGAATAGATAATAGATAAATGAAACATCACTTCAGTGCAAGGGTCCTGGATATCAGCTAGTGCAATCAATAGCACAATAGCCAAATATATATATATATATATATATATATATATATATATATTAGATGGTTCAGCATGCCACTGCCTATTTTGGTAAACCAAAATGAGTAAAAACATTATCTTGTACATCAAAAGAAAAAATATATAAATTACTGGTTCTCAAAAGACTGGTCTCAAAAGATATATAATCATCAACAATTCTCTGATCGTAGGCACAAGAATGACTTCTAATGGCTGAGTTTGCATTCAAACAGAATACACACACCAGCTTGTCTATGCTACTTCTCCCACTCTACCAACAAGTCAGTCATTCCTTATATTTTAAGGAAAAATATTAGGCATTAAAATTACAATGTCTTTTAAGCAAAGACTATATAAACTGAACCAAAGAATCATATAAATCAATTTTATATGATTTATATAAAAATGTATAGCTATGCTTCCACAGTTGTATAAGTACTTACATAGGTAATACTTATACAGTCTTAGAAGGAGTTCAGTTTAAGAAATCAAGAGTCACTTAATTGGTGTCAAATGTTAAAATCATAATTCTTGAAAAGCATCTAATGCTTCTGCTGTCTGTCCATTTTTCAATGATCAAGCAGAGTTATCTACATTGAGGTATATAAATTGTTTTTACATTCTTTTAATTAAACCACTTACTGTGATATGAGTATACCTTGAAAACTTAAAAAAAATCGACTACATTTTTGGTTCCCCAAAAAGAGTTTTTGCAAGTCTAGAGAAGGTGCGTTTATAAGGCATAATGGTTAACACCTATGAAGATGTGCTATTTGTCAACAATAACCACCTTTCCTAAAAACATAGCCCGAACCAAAGTTCTGTGAGTATTAACACTAAATCACAAATCATAATAAGTAGATTTGAAGAGTATTTTAGAAAATAATCAAAAACATTAAGAGCTGTTTAGAATTTCAAGATCAATCTTTTTCAACTGGAGTTGATTTTTAATGATCTATAAATGGATTCTCCATACTCTCTGAATTATAATGTTCTAGCCATCACATGAGGCTTTAGAATTTCAAGATCAATCTTTTTCAACTGGAGCTGATTTTTAATGATCTACAAATGGATTCTTCATCCTTTCTGTATTATTAGGATCTAACTATCACATGAGATTATTGTGATGTGTGTGAATTACGAGATTTTTTTATGTGAGGTTTGTTGAGAATAACACTGAGCATACATATATATTTTATGAGGCTACTCAATACTAAACGAGATGTTTTCTCATTTCTGATCTCCATTGTGCCTGACTCTAAAGAATTTGACTTAATTCATTTACCAGAAAAAAAAATTAAGTTCTATCACCCTCAAGGACTTAATCTTAATAAACAGTTCTATAGACATACAATCTTTGAAATGAAGCCATGTTCAATAAGTAGAATTTCCCATCATTTTTCTATGATGCAAAATATTACTATGAATCAAGGGGTCTCCTTCATTTGCTCCATGTTTGGAAGCACCTCTGCTCGCCAAACATGCTTTGCTGGCTTGTTGCATGAATGCATGGAACTGGAAGAGATGGATAAAGCAAGCTACTCACTAGATGAGTCACATCTGAAATGACCACTGCCAAAGCCTAAGCACTGGCACGAGAGCTTAAAGCCAGATTCAGACGTTCGCTCCCATTCCTCTCCAATGGCATAATAGGTAACGCTGTAGGGGTCAAAGCATGAGTCTTCCGTCAGTTCAGGTTGCCTTTGTTCTACTACATGAGAAAAGAAAAGGGAGGAAAGCAAGAAAAAGACATCTTATTGGACTGTAAGAAAAATGCAATATTCTCATACATAATGACAGCCAAAAACTAAATTAAAATCCTAGTTGCATCAGGAAGCATTCATATACTTCCATCAAATGCACCAGCTACTCAAACAGTACTCAGAGAGACCAGGGGATATTTCCTACAGTCTTTTAAAAGGAGAATATATTTCAGATTTATCCTAAGTACTAAAAGGGAAAAAAACCAAAGCCATCACTTCTGGTAAATCTAGGTTATAAAACATGAAATGGATCTTGAGATCATTGAAACTAGGAAATCAGTGAGGAAATTCAGTGACATGCACAGGCCAGAAGTGCTAGGGTGACTTTAAGCTATTTAACAGTTCTCTGCCTTATTCTCCTCATCTGTGAAATGGGGATAGAAAACATCCCCATCTAGGGATCTTTTGAAGATTTTAGCATATCAGGCATTTAAAACACTGGTTTATTGTCCATACATAATTAAGAATAGATATTAAGCATCATTCTTCCCTTTATTGTTTTGTTTTTTGGTCCACACCCAGAGGATGTTAAGGGACTACTTCTGATTCTGTGCTTAAGAGTTGGTCCTGGTGGTGGTCCAGGAACCATATGGGGAAGGGCTTGAACCTTGGGCCTCTAACACACAAAGTATGCTCTCAAGCCATTGAACTAACTCTCTGGTCACCCCTATTTTTTAGTAAAAAATTCATAGCATTTTTTATGTAACACTGTAATGTCACCTTTACCTTCATTGTTGGATTTTTACAACACAAAGTTCCTAGATTTTGGTATGATCATAATAACAGAACTTCTTAATTTTATCAGTACAATCAACTGCTTCAAGTAAAAGGGAGGGACAGGAGATGTTAAATTAAGAATGATTAATAGACTTTTTTTGTGTTCCCTAAGATTTGGGTCTCTATGATTTGGGAAAGCATATTTTAAAATGATCCAAGTGAACAAAGCACATGTCAAGTTAGTCTCTAAAAATTAAATAAAGTAATTCATTATGACTGTAAATCCCATTGTATAGTTTTCTTTTTAGAGTACAACCATCAAAAGCTTGAAAGCAATACGTATGGGAAGGATCTATATTTTAAAGGTATCACTTTGAAAAGAAACAACATTTGAAGAATCTGAAATGTGTCAAGTCAGGAGAACCAGAATGCAAAATACAGCTTCTGGGAATAAGGAGTTGGAAAGAAAAATGAAAGGACTAGATACTGCAACTAAGGGTTTCGATACTCTAAAAATAGAAATTAAAAATTCTACTTGACTGAGTTATAGAGATGGAATCTTTTGGGGGGCATGGAATTATGTGAGAAAGCACAAAAATACCTTAGTGCTCATGACAGTTTCTTTCATACATCGTTCCACCAGTAAAAACGACAAAAGGCAAACGATGTGCATTATAGCAGAACTATAATAAGGCAAGCACATAATAATCTCAACTCCTTAATTCTCAGATGCTTATGCATGGAAAACAGTACAGCCATCTACTGAGTGGAAAAGGAGGCCGAGATTAAGTAAGTGACCCCAGGAAGAGAGGCAGTCACGTGTTAGAGACAGAGCTTAGCACTCTCTGCTGATCTGGACTATGAAACCCTTTGGTTGGATGATTCAAGACTCAGAGTTGTAATTATTTCCTCAGCCAGGCAAGCTACCGAGAGTATCTCGCCTGCACGGCCAAAGCTTGGCAAGCTCCCTGTGATGTATTCGATATGCTAAACACAGTAACAAGTCTCAAAATGGAGATGTTACTGGGCCAGCGAGGGCAAAGAGATGAACAAGGGGAGGACAGTGCAGTGCACGTTTTTTTGGTGGCTCTTTAGCAGTCTACAGGTTGAAAAGCCAGGTAATACCAGGTTTAAAAGCACTTCCTAGTTGTTACAAAGAAGGTTAATGGCCACTTAACGCTTCTATTGAGGTTTCTGAATCTGTGTAATCAGAAGAAAAAAAAAAGAAGAAGAAATTGAAATGACATTGAAATAAGAGCTCTTTGAACAGAAATGGACTATTCTGGTAGCATTTTATACCATGAACAAAACCCAGCTGTCTTAATTTCTGCTGGCCCCGGAGTTCTGTTATAGGTAATGCATCTCGGTCCTTCAGAATCACTCCACAGCAATGTGGGGAGAGGCAGAGGGCTGAGAATGAAGCGGATGGAAGAAAGAGTTGTGCCTTCCATCTACTCAAGCTCTCATCAGCAGAGAGACTCAGTTTTAAAGCCGCTCCCAGCCTATTATGATATCTCTGAGATTCGGATCGGTAACGTTTTTTATTTGTTAGTTTTTTTTAAAAAATGCTGCAAATCAAATCTAGGACCTCATATATGCAAGCCAAGTATCCTATTACTGAGCTCTCTCCTCAGCCCCTGATGAATACACTTCACAAAGATACTCAGATAGTAGGAGAGAAAAATCATTTTGAGCAGCTAATTTACTTTCTGGCATTGTTTCCCAAAGATTAACAGACAATAGCAACCAATCACTAGAGAATGCTCTCATGCGGTCCTCCGAAGAGCCTGTGCAGAATGACCCAGAATTCACATACCATTGTTGCCCACGGTAATAGTCTCCTCTCGGACCCTGTGCTTCCTCTGGCCTTGCACAGCCTCCACTAGGATGTTGTAGGTGGCCCCTCTGGTAAGGCCCGTCAGGGTGGCACTAGTAGAAGTTCCAGGAACTCGGAACTGCAATTATTGACGCGTCCAAAGTGAGGGAGAAAGTATTATAATGAGACATCGACATAGCATTCCTATCCTTTTGTGAATAACCCACTCTATGTAAAGAAAGCAAAGGGAGAGAAATACAGAGGGAGGATTTAAGGGTCCCCATCAACTAAGAAGAGAAATAGAACAAGGGTGGTGAGCCATCATTTAATCCACCAGATTTTCCTGCCAAAACCTATTTAAGTAATCCCTAATTTCCAGACATCCATTTATTATTCTACTGACCCCCACCCTTCTACTATATTCACAGTATCCCCTGGACACACTGGTCACGCCTGCTTCTCATAAAACAAGGACATTATGTTCTATCGGGCATACATTTATCCTGCACAAGGTGGCATCTTACCCCAACACGGGGTTCTGAAAACTCTACAGCAAGATCTCAAGTTCATTTAACTGCAAAACACTCAAACTCATCTCAACTCATAAATCTTCCGCAGTGTAATCCGTTTTAAAAGTTCTGCCACTTTCTAAAAATAAGTGCGCACAATAAAAATCGGTACCAGCAGGACAAATTAGAGAAACGGAGTTTCAGTTAAGAAAATCAATCACATACAAAGAGCTACTATGCACAGCTTCCCCGAAGTTCTTTCTCCAAAGACATATCATAGATAATGGGATTCTTCAAGGACAGACTCTAAAGTATCTGCAAGTGTCTCAGCTTTTCTCAGACAAATGTGATGTGGGCAGAATATTTCATTCTTTTTCTTCAAGACAGGCTCTTTGTGTTTCTAAGACATCTCAAGTGTCTGAATAGAAATGGTCTCATTCTCTCTTCTAAATCAAAGCTAGTGTCTCACTCTGGTACCTCCCCCTAAGCAGACCTATACTGAGATGAAAGCGTTCAGCCAACAACCTGCCACCTGCCACCTTTCCTCGAGGTTCTAGAGGAAAAAACTGCTTCACACCTGTGCTCTGGTCACTTCAGTTACCTAACTTGTTCCTTTTCAAGCTGTCCCATGAGAAGTGAAGAAAACAATTTACCTGGAGGGACTCTTCATCATTACCAACAGGATGGCACGAAATAATATATTCGGAGGTACCAACGGACGGGGGCCAGGCGAGGGTTGTCTGAGAGAGAGCTTCATGTCCAAAAGAGGCATTCTGGTTGTGTCCAACAAGATCAGGTTGGATGCGGTGCTGGTCTCCGCCTATCCCAGGTACATGATCTACACTAGGTGGATAGGGTCTTGGCCTGTTCCTCTGAGGGGTGGCCATGGTGGGGGGCATTCTTTGCCTAGAACCATGCTCCTCCAACAGACTTTGCTGTTCAATGTGGTTGGGTTGGTCAGAAGTGCCAGGAAGCTGAATACCATCTCCATTGTTATGCCCAGGCCTACGGTTCACAGGAGCTTTTTGAACTGTGGAAGGAACATCCAAAATCTCTGGTCCGTGATGATTGGGGTGTGGAAGGGTTACCAGTTGGGGAAGCTCATCTAGCCGAAAGAGGTCAGAGCCAAAAAAGCAAAGCGCGCATTAAGCTTCCAGAAAGAACAGCAGTGATCATCATCAATTCAGGCAATATGGACTGTTGTATCAATCAGATCAAAAGCTTCAGTCCTGAGCTCACAGAACACTTTTTTCCCCCCCAGGAAGAAATCTTCATGATTTCTCTGAAAGATTTCTTCAGGATTTAGAATGAAAAAAGTGTTGGTATGAATGCATCATACACACAAAGCTTGAAACTGCTGAGCCCCACAGAAGCAACCTCTGCACCAATTAATGAAAGCGAGATTTGCAAATGTGTAGCTTTTTTTTTTTAATTTGAGAATCACATATTAGGTCTAAAAAGCAGACCACCAAAGATGGCATCTGCAGTAAAATTCAAGAAGTTCCACTACATATTTGTTCAAAATTTGAAATAGCAAGCATGCACTTAAAAGTACATCAATGTTGGCATAAATACAGTGCTTTCTTCAATGAAACTGAAGTTGAACGAAAAAGGCAGACATGATTCGGTTCCAGAAACCAAGATTTCTTAAAACATTCTTTAATGTTAATGATGGTAACTTTGTTCTTACATTTTAAGATCTGTCTGTTTTGTAAAGGGCTAGATATTGACTGGCTTAAAAAAAAAAAAGTATAGCTGAAGACTACACATGTTAAGTGTAGTTATCCTGTGATCAAAGAGTCCAACATTTATGCTCTGCTGTTAGAAATTAAAAGTTTCATTAAAAATGGATCAAAACATGGAGAAACTTTGTGTCTCTGTGACCCAAAGACATTCTTACCTGTCCTCTTCCTTCCAATCAGAGGCTCACTCTTCTGGTTGTTCCTGAGGGCTATCACATGAATTGTGTACTCTGTTCCTGGTTCCAGACCTGGGGAGGGCACGGAGCATCACCACGTTAGGGCTGAGGGCTCAGCTAGTCAAATGGAGTTGACCTCAGCAGACAATACCAGGAAACAAGCATCGTATCTCTGCTGGCCATTGAAAAGGAAGGTCTTGAATGGTGAAAGTGACTTCACTACTTTCCCACAAATACCCAAATATGAGACAGATGATGGCCATTTAACAAAGGAATAATCTCACTACCAAATTTAACATTTGTGGAAGCACCTATATGCTAACTTATCCTAAGTATTATTTTGGTTTTATTTGAGGGGTATGGCTCCCAAGTGGGCACGGGGGCAACTCTTGGCCAAGCTGACTGGATGGTTGAATGCAGGGCTTGAAGATGCATGCAATGTTGTGAGGGTCATCCCAAAAGGCATGTACCCTAACCCCTGTACTATCTCGCTAGCCTCCATGATTATTCTTTTAATATGTACTTATTTACTTTTTTTTAAATTCAACAACATCTACAAACAGTTGAATATAAATTAAGAAACATTCACTGTAGTTTGTATTCATCAAGCATTTTGGGTTTTTTTTTTTAATTTAGGCACCATGATATACAATGCTATTAATAACAGGGTTTCGGGCACTAATACCAGAGAACTTACATGGATTTTAGTTGAAAGACTAAATGGTTAATTAGCAAGACACGCCAAACCAATCACTATGTGATCCCAGTAGTACATAAGCAATTCACTTCCTTCCATACTGATATTTTTTGTTCTGGGGGCCAAACCCAGTGGTACTCAGGGCTTACTCCTTTCTCTACACTCAAGGATCACTCCTGGCTGGGCTTGGTTGACAATACAGGGTACCGGGGATTGAACCCAGTTCAGTGACATGCAAGGCAAGCATCTTTCGCACTGTACTATCTCTCCAACCTGTCCCCAAAGTTCCTAAAGAAGGTTTCTAAGAACTCTAGTATTTAAATAATCTAGAGTATTTCAGAGGTCAGATGTTACCCTATACAAAGCTGAAAAACAAAACCAAAAATCTTTTAGACAAAAGTACTATTTACAGTAACTTGTGCTCTTTCTCATTCAAATGAGTAACTCTTACTTCCCACTCCAGAGCTTCTATCCACTAGGGCTGGTGGGGAATGACTGTGTAAGACAAACTCTGTGACATTGGACATTGAAGACACTGGACACATCTTCTAAGAGGGAGCTGAGTAAGAAGACAGAATTCCAACTAATTGACTTAAGGGTATTGGGAGGATCCTCCCAGGATGGGAGAAGCATGCTGAAAGTAGACTATAGACCAAACATGATTGCCACTCATTGTCTCTTTTGCAACCACAACACCCAAAAGGAGAGAGAGAACAAAAGGGAATGCCCTGCCACAGAGGCAGGGTGGAATGGGGGTGGGGGTGGGGGGTGGGAGGGATACTGGGATCCGTGGTGGTGGGAAATGGACACTGGTAGAGGGATGGGTATTTGATCATTGTATAATTGAAACCCAAGCACAAAAACTGTAAGTCTACAACTGTACCTCATGGTGTTTCACTAATAAAAATTTAAAAAATATTGTCATATAGATTGTCAAAAAATATATGTATATAATATTTTTTCAGACCAGATAGTACAAGGGTTAAGGTACATGCCTTGCATGCAGTAGACCCTGAGTTGATCCTCTGTATCACATGGTTCCCTGAACATTGCCAAGTGCAGTCCTAGGGGCCATGAGCACTACAGGGGTGGCCCGGATCAACCCTGGCACTGCAGGGCTTGCCCAAGCAGCACTGCATCCTTGTGCCCTTGCATTGAACCACCAGCCCAGTTGACAGAGAATCGCCAAGAGTCCGAGACCTCTTGAGCAATGCTTATATGAACCTCTCCCCCACCCCCAAAAAATATATATACACCATTTTTTAGAACTGTATTTGACCAATGGCAGATGAAAAAAAGATTCTAGTTCGGCCATTGTAACAGCAATAAAATTATTATATTACCACCCACCGTGCTTTTGAGTATCTTGAGTGCTATAGCTCCTCCTAGCTCTTATCCTAAGAATGCTTTCAGAAAGGAAGCTTTTTATTTTCATGGTGTCCGATTAAAGACAGAAAGACAGTAAAGACTCTACTAAGCACTCTGTGTCTCCTCAGGAGTTCTGGGGAGGAGGGCAGCTTAGAAGCAACAATACCAGTAATAGTCGCCTCTGTGACTCCAGGCCGGGGGCGAGGGAACACTTCTCTGGGCGCTGAGCCAGGTTTCTCGTACTTGATAATGTAGCCGGTAATCTTGGCCTCTGGTGGCTGCCAAGACAGCAGCAGGGAGTTGGTTGTGGTGGCCAGGAAATGCAAGTTGGATGGGGCATCGATGGCTAAAAAGGAAAAAAAGTTAAGTCTAAGTAAGCAGTCTAGAAAATGATGCCCGCTGGCTGTGCCTAAACCCGAGATGTAGAGGATCTGCAAGTTCTACGAAAGATTCAGTATGATGCAGAATATCAAAGCACTGGAGTCCTCAATGCCCTCAGATGCCCATGAGGATGATATACAAATTGATGGCATTTCTCAGAACAGAGTATAGTTACCAGTGGAGGCATCAAAGACCACAGGGGAGCTCTGGGAGTTCTCATTCAGGGCATACAGGTAGATCTTGTAGTCAGTGCCAGGCTGTAAACCTACCAAATAAGAAGAGATGATTTTCATTGGCTCTTGAGCAAATTAGCACAATGTCCACGCTCATCTGCAATAATCATGCTTCTTCTACAACTTGGCATTTATACAGACCCAGAAGTGGTTCAGATTTGAACAATAAGTCAGACCATTGTTATCGGCTGCTAATGAGAAACACAGTGCAAAAGAAAATCACAGGCACATACCAGACGGTGGCGAAAATAAAATTGAAAACACGAAATGGTTTGTGAGATGCTCTCCAAGTAAGAGGGGCTGATGCCACGTTCAGAATATGTTTTCCTTAGCACCTTAGCCTAAGCATATCTTTACTGGCTGGGAAGTGGAATGAGAATGTGACATCTCAAAAGGACCTAAGTTGATCTAGACATAGAGGATTCTCTGACTATACCGTTGATATTTATTCAGGAATGGCTTTGACTTTTGCAAACTTAATTGTGCCTTACTAGGTCAGAATCCTCAACATCAGCTAATTTCTATTGCTTCTAAACAGAGAAACAGAGAAAGAGAAAGAGGGAGGTGGGAGGTGTCTGCCATAGAGGGGGGAACTGGGGACATTGGCGGTGGGAAATGTATACTGGTGAACAGACAGATGTTGGAACATTATATGACTGAAACCCAATCATGAAGAATCTGTGTATTTCACTGTGATTCAAGTTAAAAAAAATTTCAAAGAATAAACAAAAAAGAACCAGAAAAAATAAAATAAATGTAGTGTTTGTTTTTCTTTTGTTCCCCCTCACAAGAAAGGGCCCATTGCAAGATCAAACTTGATGAATGGAACTTAATTTAGGTCATTTCCCTTGGAAACGTATGAAATCAGTCATTCACCAGCACAAATTTTGGAGCATGGTGTGAAGTTCTTGCTTTGTTTTATTCTAGGGACAAGCCTGGCTCAGAGCTTGGGGATCATCCCTGGAGGTACTCGTGGGTCTATGCAGTGTCCAGAGTCAGGGACTAAACCCAGGCATCCTGCATGCAAAGCATGTGCATTAAGCTATCTCTTTAGCCTGAAAATAAATTTTTATAAACTATAGCTAGCTGGGACTGAGCTCTATGGTCTGGCATGCATACTTTGCATGTGGAAATCTTGGGTTGGATCCTTAGAACCTCACAACCCTCTGAGAGCCATTAGGAGTGCACCATGCACTATGCTGGGAGTAGCCAATAAGTACTGCTAAATGTGACTTTAAAGCCAGAAGTGAAAGTAAACAGAACCATACAATGTGATAAAAGAACTAAAAAGTGAATTTCCATTGCAAATAATGTTTGTCAAATGTGATTAGGTAGCAAGTTTCCTGACCTGTGATGGTGTAAGTTCTAACAACTGGGCTGATGTTTCTCCGAATTGGACTCTGGCCATTTGTTGGGACAGCTTCCACCTGGAAGCCAGTGATGGTCTCGGTCTTGGTTCTCCAGCTAATGGTGATAGTGGTCTCAGTGGCATCTGTCACACGGGCCCTTCTGGGAGGGCTGATATCTGTACGGGATCACAGCAGGAGGTTAGTGACAGCTGGCGCACACCTAAGTTTGGATAGTTTAACAATGTGACTTTATGTTATACCAACTGCATCTATTTTTGCACATGACTAGGAATGTCCTATGGCGGTCGGAGAGAAAGGTTTACAGTAGCAGGAAATAAAAAAAATGCTTACCTCTAGACTTTTCCTTTTGGAGATCTGAAAAGCTTTACAGATACTACCAGTGGTTTTCAAGACTGACTTATTAGTATCTACAAATGCCTCAATAATTGACAAATTAATTAATTTAAATTACAAGAGGAGGAGTTATAACACAGCCAATCAGCAATAATACAAATATATTGCCAGCACTGTCTCATTTTTGAGTGGGTCAGAACTTCTCTCAAAAAATGCAGTGTTGTTTTATAGAAGGTGCCATTTCACAGAAGAGGTGGTGATAGCAGTTATGTAAGTTCTGAAAGAGAATACTGTGAGTTGTCAATAGGACCAAAAGCTAGAGTCAGGCCCAATTGTGTCCAGTACTTATTGCACTGGGCTGGAGCAATAGCACAGCGGGTAGAGCATGTGCCTTGCATGCAGCTGACTTGGCTGACCTGGGTTCGATTCTTCTGCCCCTCTTGGAGAGCCCGGCAAGCTACCAAGAGTATCTCCCCCACATGGCAAAGTCTGGCAAGCTACCCGTGATGTATTCGATATGCCAAACACAGTAACAACAAGTCTCACAATGGAGACGTTAATGGGCCCGCTCAACCAAATCGATAACAACGGGAGGACAGTGCTACTTATTGCACTGATAACATACACTGATAGCATACGACATGTCCTCCCCAAATTTAACTCTACAAAAACAGATTCTATTAAGTAGAGTACAAACTACTTGCTGATGTTAGTACATAACATTATCACATTATGATGTGATTCTATTTTAAGTGCTTGTAGACCGTTTTCTGGAGGAACATAAAAGGTGGTTGTGGTCCGATTTCAAAAATTGGGCAAGTCAATCCATTTCTAAATGGGGAACTATTCTCTTCTTAACTTAGTGATCTAGAAAATCACTAACTGTTCTTTTAGCATGGTTTCTCTGTAGTTTGTGTTAATACTCAAACATTTGAATACTTACTCTCTACAGTAGTGACAGCTCCCTGAGCTGGTCTGCTTGTCAAAGTGTCCTTAAGAGCATAAACACTCACTTCGTATTTGGTGCCCTCCTAGAAAACAAGGACACTTTAGCATGTGATCTTCTGGGGATTGAGCTTTAGAAACACATAGTGGTTATGAGAGAGAGAGGGAGAGAAAGAGAGAGGGAAAGAGAGAGAAAGAGACAGAGAGAGAGAGAGAGAGAGAGAGAGAGAGAGAGAGAGGCAAACAGACAGACAGGCTTGTAAAACCCTGAACTAATCTCATTCTTACACTGCAGTTGATTAACAACATATTCAAATCAAGCAGAGTTTTGAAAAATGATTTTGGAATTAAGTCCAGGTAAGCTACGACGTCACATCAGCTGGTACCCAACTATGTTTTCTGCATTCACCTCTCATATTTAATGAAGGTTGGGGCATGGTGGGCTATTACAAACAAGAATAGTCCCTGGCAAGAGCTTGAAAGTACATAACTCAAGCGGATTCACGCATTCAGCCCTGGAGCACAGAAAATGTTGTGCCAACACACATTACAACTTATTTAAATAAACAGAATATATTCAAAGAGCTGTGCGAAATCCAAAGCGCTTTATAAAATTCTGTCCCAGAGAGTCTTAGCAAAGCTCAGGTCAACATAAAGGAATTCTGCTACATCTAAAATCCCAGTAGAGAATATACCCCGGAGAGGCAAAAAAGTATAATAGAAATGACATCTGCACTTGTATGTTCATTGCTGCACTGTTTACAATAGCCAAAATCTGAAAAAAAAAAAAAGTGCCCAAGAACAGATGACTGGTTAAGGAAACTCTGGTACATCTACACAATGGAATACTATGTAGCTATATAAGTGGATCAACATGGAAAGTATCATGTTAAGTGAAATGAGTCAGAAAGAGAAGGACAGACATAGAAAAATTGCACTCATCTGTGGAATATAAAGTAAAAGAATAGGAGACTAACACCCAAAAACAGTAGAGATAAGGACCAGGAGGTTTGCCCTACAGCTTGGAAGCTGGCCTCACATGCTAGAGAAAAAGGCAGCTCAGATAGAAAAGGAAACACCAAGTAAAGAGTGCTGGGAAGACCTACTCGGGTTGGGAGCTGCCGAAAATAGACTATAGACCAAACACAATGGCCACTCAATACCTCAATTTCAAACCACAATACCCAAAAGGAGAGAGAGAAGAAAAGGGAGTTCCTTGCCACAGAGGTGTGGAGGGGGGGCGGGGGGGAGGGGAGGGAGAGATACTGAGATCATTGGTGGTGGAGAATGGGCACTGGTAGAGGAATGAATAACCGAACATTGTATGACTGAAATGCAAGCAGGAACATTTGTAAGTATATAACAGTACCTCACGGTGATTCACTAATAACAAATTAAAATAATAAAAAATAAAAGATAAAATCCCAGTAGAAGTATTTGATGGCAGAGCAAAGAACCCAACTGGGTTTATCATACATTCCATTCCCATCACCTGAAACTGCGCAGGATATGACCTTTATTCCAGTGAAAGATCACTTCTTACCATGAGTCCTGATACGACCACAGAGGAGCTCTGAGGAGCAAGGTTGATTTCTTTCACTGGTCCAGTTTTCTCCTTGGGAGTCACTAGCACGCGGTATCCGGTGAGTTTAATGTCAGGTGGGGTCCACTGGGCAGTCAGGCTCGTGGGTGTAACCTGAGAGAACCTCAGGTTGGTTGGTGCAGGAATAGCTGTTGGGATGGTCATTGATTAGAAGTTATCTTGTCAGAAATGGGGCAATGGGAGATACGGTGAATTCCAAAGAGTAGAATAGATTGGTTTTCTGGTTGGTTAGGTGGGTTCCTGGCTGTGCAAAGATTCAGTAGAAGAAAGCACAGCAGGGAATGCAAAATGAAGGAATTTTTTTCTGGCAGTGTGTGGAAGGGAAGGGGTTGTGATGGTGTGGGTGATTTAGTTTCACCAAAGGTTTAGAACCATTGGAAATACTTGGGGAAATGACCAGAACTCTGTGACTTCAGGTTTTTGAAAGTAGGGTGTTTTTTGTTGTTGTTGTTGTTCGTTTATTTTTTCTTTAAAAATTTACAAAAAAAATAAACTTCACTTTTGGCTTATTGGCCATTCGGATTGATTTTCCATTTGTGTGAAGAGAGGAGTCATAGCCCTTCACCTGTATAAATTAACTCGGTATGGAAAACCATTTCACAGAGGACGCCATCCCCTCAAAGTCAGAGTTATGTTTCATATTCTCTTTATTCAGACCCCACGGCAAATATCACTGCTAAATTTGAAGAATTCTCTGTGGTGCAGCAGAAGAAGAAAACTGGCTCACAACAGAAGCAGGAAAGAGAAGCGAAGGGCAATAATACAGATTGTCACCTCCAGGGGTTATGCTGTCACAAGGACACATCTTTAGCATTCCACTCCACTCCACACACGAAGCACAAGAGGCTAGAGCCTTGTGGAAAGCATTTGTCCTGCCAACTGTCTCCTGTGTGTCTGATTTGCAACCCTTTAAGCAAACGACACACCCAGCACTTGATACTATCCAGAGAGAAGAGCTCTTATCCACATGTTTTCAGAATCATGCTGTTACAAAAGGGCCCAGTTTGGGCTCCCCCCCCTTTTTTTTTTGAGTAAGCTTTAGGACGACAAACTCCTTTCTTTTCTACACAGTGAGCAGAACCACAGAGTCAAAGCTTAAGAAATAATCCATGATTTCAGTATTATCTCTCAATGTCTCACATCCTGGTCTTGTTGATAAGCCAAGCTATTTCAAAATCTTTGATTGGACTTTATCTGAACATCACCTAAGCTCTAAAGGTTCTTAACTCTTCCTCTTTAAAGAGGGAGCCTGTTCATAGAAACGCTGTTTTCCTTTTCCTGTTTTGAACCCCTGGCAACCGGGAATCGACAATCAGATAAAGAAGATCTCATTCAGCAAGGCACAGTGCTGCAGCTCCCTGGGGTGCCTGGTGGTGCAATCAACGATATACCTGTGGACTGGGTTCCAATCAGGGGCTGGCTCTCCATATCATCGTGCAAGGCAACCACACTGATTGTGTACTCAGAACCCGGTCTGAGGCCTCGCAGCTCTGCAGTGTCTTCTTCACCATCAGGTGCAGGGGTTAGCTCATGGATTCCATCCTCAGGGCTCGAGTAGGTCACCCTGTACCTGGAAACTTGCCCCTGTGGGCTTTCCCAAGCAATTTTGATGGAATCGACATCCACATCAGTGAATGTCAGTCCTTTGGGGCGATCAATTTCTGTTAGGCAAATTAATGGTAAGAGGTTACGCGAAAAGCAAGTTGTGAAAAAAGCAATTTTTATAAGATGCAAAGCAGTTTGCAGATACCATTTTCTTTGAGGAATTAAATCCCAATTAACCCACTATTACATAGAGAATCACTGAGACCCTTGTTTCCTTTTCTTGGAGGGTTTTGCAAGTATTTATTGTCACTTTATTTATTGGAACATAGGTGTGCGGGAGGGGTGGAGAACCCCCTCAAAATGTCCTCAGAAGGAGGATTTATGTATGTTCATTTATTTATGTTCATTTATGTTCATTCTACCAAGATTTGTTTTTGCAATGTGAAGTTAGTCTCATAGACCTCCATTTTCTATACCTTGGAAGTGGTAAAGTTGATCTTCAATGTTAGTGCACAAACTACTACAATCTTTAACTCCTCTTTTTTGCGTTTCTCTTAGACATATGGTCCAGACATTGTCTTCCAAATGCTTCAAACATAGTAGCTGCCTAAGACACACTTGATCAACTTTACCATCCTGTCATAGAAAAGAAGGTCCTAGCAAAATATTTTGTAGATTTGCTATAGGCAAATAAGATTTTGCCGAGGCCATTTGAGCAAGAGATATTCTAAGCACAGCAACTAGCCAACTGTATTCTGCAACTTCCTACCCTAATTGTTCACTGCTGGGCACCAAGAAGGAAAATGTACAAAGGGCCAGCTCAAGATGCATATAAACAAAGTTGTTTTTCATTATATATAATGATAAAAGATATACAGAGGGCAATCAGATACTTAAGAATATAACTTCACTTTGAAATTAGAAAAGAGGCATGTATTACTTACTGGTCACTGCAGTCTCAACCAGGGGCTGGCTCTCTCCATTCCGACCCTGTGCATAGACATTAATCACATATTCGACTGCGGGCTGCAAGCCATCAACAGTAATTTCTGTCTGATCTGTAAAAGTCATGAAAAGCAAATGTAGCATTAATGTCAGCCAAGCAACCATGAGAGCTTTGTAGAAAATGTTGAGTGGATTTGTTATTTGAAAACTTTTCACAAAAATATGGAGGAGTTGGACAAGGGCTTTTTCTTGGACAAATAAGTTCATTACTCAGACAAACTACTATGCTGAAGTAAAGTCTCATAAAAGAATAGTCAAAAATTGAATATGATGCTGCCTACAATGGATAATACTGCTCTGAAAAAAATATGAAAAGTTACTTCACAATACTATCTTAGGATCTTAAGCTACAGCTATTCAATATACAAATAAATGCAAAAGAATTTTAAGTGTCTGTGTGGGGCTATATGATAAAAGCACTAACACGGATCCCATAATTTAACATGTCTACACCACCAAAGAGAGCTATGCATGTAAAAAATCAGAAAGACCTTGATCCTAAACATTCTACTGTGCAGGGAAAGCTAATACTAACCTTGACCCTAAATTCACAAATTAAACGTCTCTGACATCTGACATAAAATGTATGGTCTTCACAGCAAGGTGGGCACTTCTGTGAAAAAGCTTATCATTTAGTCCTACCGTATTTATCCAATGTGTGTGTAGGATAGCTTACCTGTGTTTAAGGTTTTCACAGGTCCTGAGCCATTTTTCGGCTCAACCGTCACTCTGTATTTTGTGCCAGGGGAACTTGAAGGTAACCATTTGATAGTAATTGTGGTGTCATGAACATTGACCACTTGCATCTTAGATGGCTTGTCAATGTCTACAAATAAAAAACAAGGAGAACCCAATAAAGTCCTAGTCTGGGAGGCCCATATTGGATACCTCCTTGTCTTCAATTCTGATTCCTATTAAATGATCTCTCGGGGCTAGTCCCTTCTCCAGAAGTTTCTTTTGCAGAAACACAGGAAAATTTAGAGGAGGGAGGCCCACACCTACAGAAAATATATTCTGTCATCTTCCATTATCAGCTCATTCAGTCATTCAGATAACAAAACTTACTGAACATCCTTTAAGTCGATTTCTATCATAGTCAAATGAAATGCAATTAATAGAACTAGCACTGTCCTCCCACTGTTCATCTATTTGCTCGAGCGGGCACCAGTAACGTCTCCATTGTGAGACTTGTTACTGTTTTTGGCATATCGAATATGCCATGGGGAGCTTGCCAGACTCTGCTGTGCGTGAGGGATACTCTTGATAGCTTGCTGGGCTCTCCAAGAAGGATGGAGGAATCGAATTCGGGTCATCCCTATGCAAGGCAAATGCCCTACCTGCTGTGCTATCGCTCCAGCTTTTAAAAGGAGAGATAAAGGCTCAAGAATTATTTTCTTGCTCCCATGTCCTTCCTTCCATACAGCATGCTTGGTAAGTGGGCTTACAACAAAGTTTGCCAGCTTTCTCTAAGCATATGTGTCTGAGAAATTAATATAACAGAAAAAAAAACCTGTCCTCAGGGATACATCCTTTTATATTTGGTTAAATACCCAGTTAGCTGCAGCACCAGTAAAGTCACTTCACTTTATTTGAAAAAGAACATCTGAAAAAAACCCGAGTGCCCCAGAACACTGGTTAAAGAAACTTTGGTACATCTACACAATGGAGTATTATGTAGCTGTTAGAAAAGATGAAGTCATGAAATTTACATACAAGTGGTACTACATGGAAAGTATCATGTTAAGCGAAATGAGTCAGAAAGAGAGGGATAGACAGAGAAAGATTGCATTCATCTGGGGAACATAAAGTAACAAAATTGAAGACTAACACCCAAGAGTCCCGAGATAAGTACCAGGAGGTTTGCTCCATGGCTTGGAGGCCAGCCACACATGCTAGGAGAAAAGGAAGCTCAGATAGAGAAGGGGGCACCAAATAAAGGATGTTGGGAGGACCCTCCCAGGGTGGGAGAAGCATGCTGAAAGTAGACTATAGACCAAACATGATTGCCACTCAATGCCGCTTTTGCAAACCACAATACCCAATAGGAGAGAGAGAACAAAAGAGGCAGGGTGGGGTGGGGGGATGAGGGGTGAGAGGGATACTGGAACCCATGGTGGTAGAAAATGGGCAATGGTGGAGGGATGGGTATTATTAGATCATTGTATAACTGAAACCCAAGCACAAAAATTTGTAAGTCTATAACTGTACCTCATGATGTCTCAATAATAAAAATTAAATTAAAAAAAGAAAAAGAAAAAGAACATTAATTCCTCAATGAGCAAAATACCTTGGGAAAGTGTAGGATAACACTGTTTTTGTCCTTCCTTCATAGTCTCAGGTAGTTTAGGTTTATTGGGTTGCTCCCATCACAGTACTCCCATTCCTCCATGTTTGTTTATAACTTATTTCTTTGTGCTCTGTTGACTTGTAAGTATTATTTTTCTCTTCTCCCTAAGTTCTTTGCATAGTTTATTCAGAGCAATGTCCTTTTTGTATGGACATAAGAAGACTTTATATGTAATGCTTTTGTAATGTGACTCTCAGTGATATTTTCCTCCTGGGCATCTGTTCTCTCACTTAAGCCTCAGCTCCCCTTTCTTCCTAGCACCCCCAAAAGTAGGGTCCAGACTCGGGACTAGATAGAACTAGGGCAAGCGGTAAACTACATGCTACCCTGGCATCGAGATGGGCCTGGCCAAAGTGCCATAATGCTTAACTATAAGTTAAGAGCTTGGCCATGGATAAATGCTGTCATGATTCAAAAGGTAATAACTAGACTCAGACCCTGCAAGGAATGATTAATCTGGCCTGAGCGCAGTAGTCTGAGTCTGTAGCAAGATGTTCTCAGGAGAGCTGCTCTACAAGCCTCAATGGTATCTCTTACTGTGTCCATACAAAAATAACCAGTATTAAGAGGCTGATAGAGTTATTGGACGGAGGAAAGGAGAAAAACACCTTAGGAGGTATTTTGCCCTTGGGCAGTCAGGAAGGACTTTGGAATATCTCAGGTGGTGTTTCCTTTGAACCTGGTGGGCCCTCAGGAAGGACTCTCTTACGTTGATTTTGCTACCTGACTAGGTGCAGTGTTAGCCCAGGGCGGCAAGATGGACCATGGAGAGGCTAGCAAGGGGGACAGAGAGAAGAATGCAGAAGAAAAATACAGGAGGAAACACATGGAGAGAGAGAACCCAAGCAGCAAGATGGAGTGCAGAGATGAGCGGGAGAGACAGGAGCAGACGGGAATGAGAGGCAGTGGAGACTAGAATGGGAGGCTCAGAGAGACTGGGGCAGGCGCATGGGGAGAATGGAATAAACGACATCTGATCAATCGACCGGGCTTGGCCCTTATTTCCTCCACTGTCTGCCCCATGACCCGGGCCACCATGGCTGGGCGAGTGCCCCCCCACCCCCGCAAACCTGGGCGGCGTCAGGGCCACCCCTGGCTGTCCCCCTCCAGAGAGTTTTTACAGGAAGACATTGCGAATTCTTAGGAAATACACCTATGTCACCCCAAAGCAGAAGTTGGTACCTGTTTGGTAATTTATAGTAATTGGCTTGCTGCTGGCGGGGCTGTCACCACGGCCAGTAACAGCATAAACAGTGATGGTGTATTCCACTCCGGGTTTAAGGCCATTGATGGTCGCTGTATTCTTGGTCCCAGGCACAGTGAACTCCTGAACAGGGCTACTTCCACCTGTTTGAAAATCGATTAATCCATTGTGAAGAGCTGAGATTTATTTGGGGGTTGCCATATGAACGAATGAATGCATTGCAAGCAGCATCAAAGTCACATTCAACAGAACAACAAAGGGGCCTGAGTGGGCACGTGGAGTGTATTCATTTACACATGGAGTAAACCCCGATTAGTGTGTAAAAACCCAAGAGAAATTTACCCCTAATACTATCTTAACACTTCAGTTTTAAAACGTCAGAGTTAGACAAAATTAGAAAGGGAAAGAAGGTAAATCCTAAATTCAGGTTTACATAGGGAGTACTCTCCCTTTCACACAAATTTTCATGGCATATACCCACATTAAAAAAGATTAGGAAAATACAGAAGTGAAAAAGAAGAAAATAAAAACAAATCACTTCTCTTTCACCCCTGATAATATATTTGTGAATTAAAGACCTGTTCTCCCGGGCAGCTTTAGAATTCCCCATCTATTATACAAATAACAATAATTAATGGCAAACCTGGTTTTGCTATTAATTATAGCATCAATATTTTCTGGATGTTCTTGGAAAAAGTTCCACTAAGTGGCCTTGTCGCTCTCTATAATTCTGGTTTTACACTAAGACTACCCTCAAAGGAATCTGCCTGAACTAGAGTGGAAATGAGTGTTTGGGGGTCACACCTGTTTCTCCGTAAGTGATCCTGTAGTATCTCACGGTGACAGGCGGTGCGTCCCAATTGATCATCAGGCTGGTGGGGGTAGAGGCAACAACTCCCAGGTCACTTGGAACATCCGAAACTAAAAATGACAAGAGGAAAAGTGGTCACATCTATAAGTTTCAACCAACACTCAGGTTCACCCATGGCTCATTTTTCATCACATAACAATGGAAATAACTATAAGCGATGACTGCTAATTAAAATTAGAAACAATTTAAAGAAAGGGGTTAAGGAGACAATGTTTAGGTACTTATTAATTTAGGTTTTTGGACCATAGCTGGTTCAGCCCCATGAAAAGCAAACGCCTGACCCACTGTATTGTCTCTCTGGCAGAAGGTAATTTAACGAAGATATATTGATTCAAATGTATTGAAGGATTTTTTTCCTTAACTTTCAATTAAAAAAATGAAAACTAGAGAAAAATTACATAATAACACACTTGAACACTCATGTTCTTGTCTCTGACTTGCTAACTTGCTGCTTTGGTCACCATGACCCTTGTCTGTTTTCTGTGTCTTTGAGTTGTTCATCTGAGATCCAGTTATAGATAGTAAGACATAGCTTGCCTCTAAATATTTTAGCATCTGTCTCCTCAGAAGAATGTTATTACATTCAAATAATAGTGTTTTGCTTTGTTCTGTTTGTTTTTGATTGTTGTTAGTGTTTTAGTTTTGGGCCCATATCTGGAAGTGCTCAAGGCTTACTCCTGGCTTTGTACTCAGGGATCCCTCCTGGAAGATCGCATGGGATGCCAGGGATCGAACCCAGGTTGGCCACAGGCAAGGCAACTTCCTGCCCACTGCACTATCTCTTCATCTCCCAAATAACTGTATTATAGTAAAACTTTAAAACAGTGTTTTTTTAAAAATATTTTGAATCTCAAAAGAGAGCAACACATTGCAGAGATGAGTCTGAACCTTGCGCTAGGCTCTGTCATCCAGGGCACCCAAAGTCACCATCCAGTTAAAAATTTAACTCAAGCTGTATCACCCCATCCACAATTTTCGAATTCCTGGAGTGCACGGTTGCAAATGCAGCCACACAACATCTCTGCACCACTGATAAATCAGGAGTAGTATATCACACTGGATGGGATTAAGGTCTTTTCCACGAGGGCTTAATGGCTCCATGGTGAAATACAAAAGGAAATATTTTTTGGATCATTTTTAGCAAATTATTACTGGGCCCGCTCGAGCAAATTATAATAAGCAATATAAAATAAATTATGAAGGCCCTGCTATAGGGGCAGGTTTGAGGGGTGGTTGGGAAAATTGGAAATAATGGTGGTGAGAAGGTGCAATGGTGGTGAGATAGGTGTTGGAATATTCAATGTAATAAACCAAGAACAACTTTATAAAAATAAATTTAAAAAACTGAGCAGCATTTAACAATTAAGAATACATAAATACCTAAATCGGATGAAAACCTTCTTGGAATATAGAGATCATCTTCTTTAATATGCTCCCTTTTTGTTTTTGTTTCTGGATCATACCTGTGGTGCTTGGGCTGGAGCAATAGCACAGCCAACATGGCCGACCCAAGTTCGATTCCTCCGCCCCTCTCGGAGAGCCCAGCAAGCTACTGAGAGTATCTCGCCCGCACGGCAGAGCCTGGCAAGCTCCCCGTGACGTATTCGATATGCCAGACACAGTAACAACAAAGTCTCATGATGGAGACGTTACTGGGCCCGCTCAAACAAATCGATGAACAATGGGAGGACAGTGACAGTGATATATGTATATATATCTTTTGCTTTTTGGGTCATACCCAGCAATGCTCAGGGATTACTCCGGGCTCTGGACTCAGGAATTAGTCCTCGTGGTGCTGGGGGGACCATATGGGATGGGATGCCGGAGATCAAATCCATCTGACCCCAATATATTCTTAAAAAAATCTCATCATTCAACCATTATTTCTTCAGTATAACTTGAGAATTTTTTTAACCTCCAATAGCTTCCCTCCTAACCACTGCAAATATTTTTATTGAGGTCTAATTTACTTGTGCTATTATAACTCTGTATTAGTTTCCCAGCACATGACATCATAATTTGCTGTTTGCATATATTGCAAGATGACTGCTACACTCAGTATAGTGTAATTAATCAGGACACATACACCGCTTTGAAAACATTTTTTCTTGTCATAAGGGCTATTAAAGTATATTCTCTTAGCAACTTACAAATATGTAACACAGTATTATTAACTATGGTCACCATTTTATATATTATACTCCCATGATTTATAAATTTTTGGAATCGAAAGATCGAAATGACCTGATTTTTACTATTCTAATGGGAAGTATTTTCTCTATTCCTTCTCTGTGTCTCCATAACATGAGTTATTTCTCAGGTGACAAATGGAAAACAACTTCATAGAGAGTATCCCCTTACATAGGAACTTCCCCTGAGTGTCTTTGCAGACCAGAAAAACAAGTTACCTGTTGACTGTTGGCCAACCAAGGGGGCACTTTGCTCTCTGCCATAAAGAGCAATGACGCTAACGATGTATTCTGTGCCTGGAAGGAGGTTGGTGAGGGTGATGGAATTGCGAGCAGAGGGCACTCGATCTTCTCGGGGTCTTCCAGTGCTGCGCTCAGGATGATGCCGAATGATGAAGCCAGTGATGGGAGCTCGGGGAGCAATCCAGTGGACAGTGAAGGAATTGGCCGTGATATCAGAAAAGTCAATGCCACTTGCAGAATCGAGACCTGGTTTTTCCACCGAGGGAGGAAGAGATGGGGCGAAAAGACAACACAGGCTCAGGAAGTGAGGAAGAATGTAAGTAAGAACTCCACATCTATTTAGCAGTTCCGTTCTTCTGAACACAATGCCTTGCTGTAAACCTTAGGTTGGGAGGCACTATTCTAAGTCACATAAACTTCAAAATTGCAAAATGAAACGAGTTTGAAACGGCCAACTCCAAGGTACTTTTTCTTTTCTTTCTTTTGTTTTGATAAGTAATCCAAATGACTTCTGTATCATTAGAGTGGGTGTTAAGATATTCTGGGAACTGCTGTCTTCAAATGTTTTGGTGTTCAAGTATTAAATGTTTCTCTCCTGACAAGTACATCTCTCAAAGTAAGAGATCTTCTCACTCCTGACTTAAGTACTTAGTTTTCAGAACCACTTTCTACATTCCAGAGGAAATGGATATAGCAACAGGAAGATAATGATACCAAACAAAAACCTTTCTCAAGCTAAAATAAGAGCTTATTCTGGACAAATTACAATACTGGCAATCCCCTGAGAATTGAGAATTTAATGTAGTGGAGAAGAATTAACAAGAATTTAGAGTTAAACTCAAATTCCTATCATTTTAATCTCTCTGGGATTCCCAGCATATTTTGGTTTCGATTATAACACCAATTTGTTCTATTTAATAATATACTCAAAACCAAATTGAGATTGTGCAATTTCTTTTGGGAAGCAAGCAGACTATGATAAACAAATTGAGCTAAATTGCACTTTTTTAAAAGGAAAATTAATAGAAGCATTCATCTGTAAGAAAGGACATGATAGTAAAGGATTCAATCCAGCTTCCCTTCTTATAGAAAATCAATTATTTCATTAAAAGAAAAAAAATAAATGCATTGGCTTAGTAAAGGAGGGAAAATACTTTGGTGATAATAATATGCTGGGTTACTCATTAGCCAGAGCATCACCCAATGGGAATGATTATTACCATCTCCAACCAAAAGAGATTATGAGACATTCTTTTGGAGTGATTTATTTAGGGGGGGGGTGGCTGCACCCAGTGGTGGTTGAAGGCTCCTTTTGACGTGTCACTCAAAGGTCATTCCCTCTGGTGCTTGAGGGACAGGTGGTACCAGGAATCAAACCTGGGCTTCCCATGTATTATGAGCACCAGCTTTTCAGTTATCACTTAGGACAACTGTTTTTAACATCTAGACCTGTACTTCTGAACCTTTTTCTGACTACAGCCCCCTTGCAATCTTTTTTTTTGTGACCCCCCAACATGCTGTTTTCCCTCTAATCTCATGCAGTGTCCTCCTTTCTTCTTATGTAATCCTTACCTGTAACCCCTTTAAAATATCTTGGAGGCCCAGGTTGAGATGGCCCCAGGTTGAGAAATGCAGACACAGACAATAAGATTTTGGGACTAATTTTAGAATTAATTCAGAAGGGCACTGTGATTTTTTCTTTTTTTTTCTTCATTTTTTTTGGTTTTTGGATCACAGCCAGATGATGCTCAGGGGTTACTCCTACCTCTCCTGACAGTTCTCAGAGAACTATATAGGATGCCCTCACAGTTCTCAGAGGACCTTATAGGATGCCCAAGATTGAGCCTCAGTCGGAATGTGCAAGGTAAACACCCTACCCACTGTACTATCTCTTCAGACTTGCCTTTTATTTTTAAGTCAGTGCTCAAAACATAATGACAATGACTAGACCACTATCACCACCTCCACCACCACAAAAGGTATAGATGTAATCTCCAAAGCACTGTCCTACTTGGTTACTTAAAAGTTGGTAGGTACAGGTACAAGAAATGCAGACATTTCAAAAACCTCGTGAGCAGTAGGAGGCTATTTGCCTCAAAGAAAAATCTAAAACTTTGGTTGACAAATAATGAATGAATAAAGAAAACTGGTAGGCAGATGCTACTTGACCAGTAAAGTATCAATGTGACTCACCTGTTTTCTGTCTTCCTTTGAGAGCTGTGCTCACATGGTTTTCATAAACACTGAAGACACTGACTAGATATTCTGTGCCAGGCAGGAGATCTGAAGAGGCAAGTTGGATTTATTTTAAAATTTATTTGGAAAAGTCAAAACATGAGCGAGCTTATTTCAACTCACAGAATATCTAAGACCTATAGCCAACTCAATGCTTCCTGGAGACACACTATAAGTAGCTGACAAGGAAGGATCAGGATCATTGCCCTGGAGTAGCTTCCTGAGTGCTGCCCTCAGTTTTGCCTCTGTAAATGAGTCTCAACTGCTGTGGCACTGAAATATTTTTAGCAGCCACTGGGGAGTAGATCCTTTGATGGAACAGTAGGTTGTAGCAACATGGATTAACATTTGCTCTTGATAACAACTCAACCAGGTAGTCTACAGCTTTTTTTTTTTTTTGAGAAGTAGCTTTGTTGCCACACAATGAATGGCAAATGTTTAAAGTGTGCCTCGTGATGGGCTTGACCTCTTTATGCATTCATGAAACTATTAGTGTTCAAGATAATGAACATATGTTTCACCTCCCAAAGCTTGGTTTACAATGCTCCGCGTTTTGCAAATGAGAAAGGAAAACAACAGAAACGGTCTTCTTTAATATACTAAACCAAGGTCCTATAGAAGTGAACCAAGGCCAAGACCTCTAAACTTAACTTTAATTTTTACCAGAAAATCATCATATTCTTTTTGGAGGTTCACAGGAGTTACTCCTGGCTTTGTGATCAGAGAAAACTCTTGGTTGTGTTCAAGGAACCATATGTGATGCTGGAATCGAATTGGGGTGGAGATTCATATAAGGCAAACACCTTACCTCCTGAGCCATCTCCCCAGACTTTAAAGTATCATATTCTTCAGGGCAAATGATTAACTCTCCATATTAAAGTAAGAATAGAATTTTCAAAAATTGAATATACATTTTCAGGTAAACTCTTCCCTTTGGAGAGTCTCCAATAGTACCAAGGAAGTTTCATAACCTTGAATTCTTACCCACTAGACACCAACTACCCATTCGCTCACGACCTCCCTTTCAGCAATCCTGCAGGGATTTGAAAAAGCAACAAATACGGGTGCTTGGGTCCCATGTTTCTCTAAGGCTTGAGCCACAAGAGATCTACGAAACATGGAGACTTCAGGTGTTGCATCTATGAACCAAGATAGCAGTGGCTGCTCAGGGGGAAGATGGCTACCTGACACTGAAAGCAGAATCTGGAAAAGGATTTTAGGACAAATGACGAACATGTGCATGTCTCTTCTCCTGAAGCAGGAACTTGTGTGTTGGGTGATGCTGTCAAGAGTGACCCAGCATGCTCCCAAATAGCTGTAATATTTCCACTATCTGCAGACATTAGGGTGCTCTCAACTCAGCTACAAATCAAGAAACTAGGACTATGGTCAGACCCAGCTGTCCTTCATTCTCTAAGATTTGTTTGAAAGAGAGGATGTTTTCAGATCATCCTTTGGTGATATACCCAAATATGAGCTAATTTTCCCCTAAGTGGAAACTATACTGATGTTTTTTTTTCCTGTATTTTCTGTGACAGTAAAAATGATGAGAGACACCATTTGCCTAAAACCCCACACAGGTTGCAGCTTGCTTTTGTTTTCTTTAAGAAAGGCTGCTTATTTCAAAGAGTAGAAACTAGAAAGAAACGATTTCATATGTGGCTGATTATTTTAACGTAAGTCCTAAGTCTCCTCAAGTTTCTAAATCCTCAAGTTTCAGAGAATTCTTATAATATAGCTGATTCTTTCTGAAATACAAATTAAACTTCCAGCTCTGTTTTTAAGCAGCACCCTGATCTCAGTCACTGTTTCTAAGTTTTTGAATGCTATATAGATTAGCTGGTGACAGTTTTTAAAAATGAGACAAGAAAAGACGGGTGACACTATTTTCCATCGAATTTTTTTTTCTTTCTAAACATTTAGATTTAGTCATGTAATTTTTCTTGACAGTCATTATTTTCTTGTGATTACTTGGGAGCTGAATTTGTTTGAAGTTTGCAGACTTTGCTGCTGGTATTCTTCCACTATGGAAAAAAAAAACCCTCTCTAGACATCAAAAACACTATCAAAATAACAATAGACACTATAAAGGTAAAGGTAAAGGCCCACCCGTTGATCGTGGATTTGCTCGAGTGGGCCCAGTAACGTCTCCATTGGAGACACTATGTATTTTGGATTTTACAAAGCTGTTATAACATACAATATGTGGTTTGTAGTTCTGTTGTAGCTGAATTGAACTGAGATGCCCCTCTGTAAGAATGCTGGATTCTTTCCTTATGCCCTAGCTCAGTACTTCTTGAACAGATACACTGGCTTACTTGTTAAGACCACAGCATTGTTGGAAGGAGAAACAGTCAACTCTGCCTCATCGTCCTCATTTTTCACAGGTGAGTAGCGCACCAGGAAGCTTGTCAAATCAATGGATGAAGGTGGGGCCCACGTGACACGCATAGTGTCAGGACCAATATTGGTGAATCTCAAGTCCGTGGGAGGAGGTATAGCTGGTGTCAGAGGAGAAGGAAGACTATGTTAATGCAATGTTAAGATTGAAGACGATCTGAAAAAGTCAACAACGCAATCATTCATGCATAAGGGAAACAAGAGTCATAATCATGCAGATAGTCTAATCTAGACCATAGTGAACTACTGTTAAAATCACTACATACGGTTTTGTTAGACCCCTTTAGTCTGTCTGTTATCAATATATTTCACAGAATAATTTTAATCTAGTTTCAAATAATTTTAAGTGCATTATACCCCACTCCCACCAGGATTATTTCACCCCAGGCTGAAAAGGCTTAACTTGCCACACAGCGAAGAGAAACATAGCAGAACTCTCCAAAGAAAGACATGCACACAGACAAAAAGACAAGAGGATCCTACGTCTCTCCTTGATGTGAGATAAATACTGTTACTGGCCTAGCTACACTTCCATTCCGTGAACTCTACTTACAAGTGAAAAAGGTTCATGCAAATGGGTTCTCGGCATGTTTCTTACCATGCAGGGCAGAGAACCTTTATAATGTTGCATGCTCATCCCCAGACCATGGTTAAAAATGGATTTCCTTATAGGGCTATTTTACAAAGCAACAAGACCTAAAAGGCTCCAAAGTCTTGTTTTCTCCTTCTAAACAACTTCCTTCCAACTCTAAATTTCAAGGAGATTTTGGATGACTATAAAGAAGAAACACTGTAATGTCTATCAAAGAGTAGAAGGAAGAGTTTGACGTATATTCCTATTTATTAACGAACATCAAATTAAGCAATTTGGTATTCATGTTAGATATTTCGAAAATACACCTACAATGTTGATTGCTCTTTGCCGTGGTGCCTTGCAGAGATGAGGTATCTGCATTTCTGCAACCTTACTCTTAACTGTGGTATAAGTGAAAATGTATTTAAATCCACTTATACATGTCTCCATCAAAAGCACCTTCGAATCATGAGCCCCTTCCCTCCAAATCCACAGTCTTCAATATGAGGCAACTTGCTGGATCTTGCTTGGAAACATCCATTTTTAACCACAGTAACTGCTGGCAGCATGCAACACTATTCGTGTCTCAAACACAGAAGTTTTTAAAATTCACCCGTTTGTTGTGTCAGTGTAGTAGGGGCACTCTCTCCGCCATTAATGAGAGTGATAACGCTGATGTCATAGTCAATGCCCGGCTCCAGCCCTGTAACTGTGTAGTATCCTACTGAGGAGTCCACAAAATCTTCAAAAATAGGGATCCCTTCTCCTGCCGCAACTACTGTGATGCGGTACCCAATAATGGTGGAAGAGTTTAGCGGGGTCCACCTCAGGCCGATGCTTGAATCGGTTATATCAACAAAGCTTAAGTCAGTGAGCTGGGGCACCTCTATTGAGTTACAAAGCAGAGGAAGGGGAGGGCAAAAAGAAAACAGAGGCAACAAAAAGAGTGAAAAATAAAGCAGTGTACATCAGGTTACTTAGAAGTAAAATTGATGGAATGTTAAAGCAATAATGGTAATATGCAATCTGTTCCAAATGATCTGAAAAACTTTGCAAGTATCAGGTATTATCTGCTTTTTGGGGGAGAGTCAAACAAGTTAGAGTATTCTTTTAGGAATTTTTTTTTTTTTTGCTTTTTTGTGTCACACCTGGTGATGCACAGGGGTTACTCCTGGCTCTGCACTCAGGAGTTACTCAAGGCGGTGCTTAGGGAACCATATGAGATGCTGGGACTCGAATCTGGGATAGCTGCGTGCAAGGCAAACGCTCTACCCGCTGTGCTATCTCTCCAGTCCCCGGGATTATTATTTTTTTTTTTGCATTTTAAAGAAGTCTCTAAATTGTCACAGGCTCCAAAAATTTACTGGTCTGTTTAAGATATCAAAACCATTTCTAGAACCTAGATATAATATCTGTGGTATGTATCATATATGTGTGTGTGTGTGGTATGTATGTATAGATATACATATACATACATATATAATTTTTTAGTAGAAAAATAAAGTGTGAATGAAAAAGATTTAAAAATCAGTTTATGAGTTTTATTTTCTTCCTCATAAAAGAACTCATGACAACATTAAGGCCACACCACCAAGCTCAATGTGAATGCATATTGTTAAGGTGCCATGTGAAAACATATTCAGGCCAAGGACAAGCCTAAGACCAAGGCCACTGCCAAATATTTCCTTCAACCCACAGTTATTTGCCTGACATCAGTCAAAGCATTCTTCTAGAATGCGAAGGGGAAAACACTTGCCTAATGACTCATTCTGCAATGTAATTTTGGAAAAACAACAAACTTATCCCTACTTCAGTCTTTACTATGTTATGTTTGAACCACAGGAAGAAATATTCCAAAGGCATGGCCTAGACTTCCATAGTTTTTCTTATTTGTTTGATTTTGGACCACAACCAGCTGTGCTCAAGGCTTAGTCCCAGCTCCACACTTAGGGAATCACTCTTGGTAGTGCTCTGGCAACCATATGGGATGCCAGAGATCAAATCAAGGTCCATCATGTGTCAGACATGTGCCCTATTCACTGTACTATCACTCTGGCCCCTCTCTGTTTGTTTTTTTTAATTAAAAAAAAAGTATTTCAAACTGCAATGTAAAGAACAGGACATGCCAACCAAGTGCTATTAAGGAGGCAAAGGCTGTCTGTAGACTGCATTTAAAAATTGGCACGGGCCATATAATCAGATGCAAGTGTCCCAATGGGATGCATTTACCATATTACTTTGAGCCTGTCAGTATTGAATACAGACACTTGACACTGTTTTAGTAATATTTCCACGTGAGCAGACAGCACAGAGTTAATGCCATGGTTGCCACTCCATTACAAACCCTTTGCAACAAACAGCATCCCAGTGAAGCACAGACAATAAAGCAGTGTTAACAGCAAGCATTTGTCTGAACAGTTGCTTTGACTTCACGATTTGGGACAGTGTTGTCGGGAGGTCAGAATTAAATCCCAAAAATATCTGAGACCCTCATTCACCCGAGGATCAAGATGCTAATCCCCACTCTCATTGAAACTGCCACTCTAAGCATAACAGCTTATTTCTTCATTACCTGGGATGATGGTATCAGATATAGGGACACTTTCCTTGCCATTCTTGACAGTGTAAACACTGACATTGTACTCCAAGCCAGGACTCAGGTTTTCAAAGGTGCAGTAACTCTGATCTGCATTTACCATTTCTTCCAAAGAATATCCCTCCTGGTCACTTGTAGGAACAGAGGTAATTCTATAACCAGTAATATCTGGGGGAAAAAAAAACAGAAGTTATTGCATGGAACATTGGCAACTCAGCATCAACTTGGACTCCGATGACGAACCCAAAAAGGGGAATTTTATTGTTTTCAGAGGACTCTCATCAGACAGTACTTGTAACAACCCTTTGGAGCGAGTGTTTATATCCTTACTTCAAAGAACAAATTGGGAAAGGAAAGTTGCTACCATAGTATTTTCTGTTTTGAAATTCCATGCTGCTACTACCCACCTCTGAGATTTACAGAAAGGGAAGAAGGAAGAGTGACAAAAATGAAAAGCAAGGGAATGTATCCTTTTTCTAGAGGAAGAATACTAACTGCTTCAGACTTCAGAAATCCTAGAATTCTGGGCAGTGAGAAGATTGTGAGATAAAAGATCGATGTGCAAATGAAAATGGTGGTCGCTAGAGATCCGCAAGGATAGACTAAAAATGAAGCAAGTTCAGTGAAACTTACAGTCAAGTATATTTCAGTAACATGTATCAAAGGGCAAGGAAATCATGCTATACTTTGTCATTAGCAACAAGGTAAACACTATAGTGATAATGAAAATCCAATTGGGTTGGAAGCAAAGTTTTATGTCTCTGTATTAACCATTCAAATAGACCAGCTAAGTCATCCTTTAATAACCTCATTGCCCGCAACCATGAAATCTGCCAACTTAAAGTGTCATTCAGAGTATTCTGATCTGAACTAGTGTAGCTAGATGACAGTCCCCCAGATACTGAAAATATCACTAAAATGCTCTACTTCAGAAGAGGCTTAAAAAAGAAATATTTGGAAATAGTTTACTATGTATGATGCCACACATTGATCTGAGTTAGAGATAATTGCCTTAGCTGTATATACAAGCAAAGTAAGAACACTTAAGAAAACTATAGTAAAATAATAAATTATAGTGAAGAATTATAGAAAGAATCTAGCTAAAGATGCATTCATTTTAGTTGGAACTACAATTGTGGGGGTTTTTTTGGTCATTTTTTTTTCTTTTTGGATCACACCCAGCGATACTCAGGGGTTACTCCTGGCTCTGCACTCAGAAATTACTCCTGGCAGTGCTTGGGGGACCATATGGAATGCCGGGGATTGAACCTGGGTTGGCCGCGTGCAAGGCAAACGCCCTATCCTGTACTGTTGCTCCAGTCCCAGTAATTTTCTGGGGGGTTGGGGGGAGCAGTTGGGCTACACCCTGTGGGGCTAAGGGGTTACTCCTGGCTCTGCACTTAGGAATTACTCCCAGGGGTGCTCAGGAGACCATATGAGAAGCGGAGATTGAACTCGAGTTGGTTGTATGCAAACAAATGCCCTAGCTGCTTTACTATCGCTCTGGCCCCATATTGTTGTTCTTTTTAACTTAGAGTTTCTTCAATAATGAGAAAAATGAGAAATCTCAATGTTCAATAGTAATGCCTCCAAGATACCCAATGCTCAATAATACAATTACAGTTTTAGTCACCGTTTCTCCTTTAAAAAAGGAAAAAAAATAAAAACGAAAACTGAAAAAGAACTTTCACATAGATTTGGAAAAGCTCAGAACTATCTAAAGGTTCTCCTGTCACACCCATGGTATATCCTGGTCTTGGAATATTGCTATTGATATCTTTATACACGTTACGGTTTTATAAATCACTTTCTACCTGTGTGAATCAGAGCCTTAGGCGGAGCTTCATTTAAGTCTTAATAACAGCCATGGAATTACTTTCCTGTGGATTTTTCAGCATTTCACGTCAGAAGACAAACCAAATATGCTGGTCAATTCCAGAAACACAAAGTTGAGTGGGAGGAGGCTGCAACAGCAGTTCTGGTACCAGCTCTGTGGCTGTTAGCACGGGAGTTTGTTTTTTTTTTTTTTTTGGCTCTTCAGCCTTCCTAATTCTTAATTATTGCTCTTACTAGTCCTTGGATTGTAGGGCTATGCCCAGTGGTGTTCTGGAAGCTGTGTGTCAGGGAGTGCATACTCAGCCCTTAGAGCTTTCTCTCTAGCACATCTCAGTCATTTATGGATTGATTGACTGATTGATTGATTGATTGCTTTTTGGGTCACACCAGCGATGCACAGGGGTTACTTCTGACTCATGCACTCAGGAGTTACTCCTAGCGGTATTCAGGGGACCATATGGGATGCTGGGAATCAAACCCAGGTCGGCCACATGCAAGGCAAATGCCCTACCTACCCACTGTGCTATCACTCCAGACCCGATCTCAGTCTTTTAAAGGAGATCATTTGCCCCTTTCATCACATGAAGTTTTCGGACTGCTCAGAACAAAGCAATTCTGAAACTTCATTGAATAATAAACAGAACATATCTAACGCACACAAAGAAAATTAGATAGGGCAGTTTCAGTGCAACTGAGTTAACAGCATCCTCCAGAGTTCTTTTCCTCAGTCCACAGGATTCTCCACAGCTAGTAAAGGATCGCCCCCTCCACAACCCCTGTCTGCTACACACACACACACACACACACACACACACACACACACACACACCACACCACACATACACAGAGAGAACCTAGAGTCTGGCAGTTCTTTTTCCCATGATTTCAATAAACATGCATTAACCCCCTAACTGCACATCTTCTTAACAGGCACATGTACGCCTCTCTCTATTTTGAATAGAGATCTGATTTGTATCATTTTGGCCCACTCTTTCTCTGAGAATGTCTAAAAACCTTTGCTAAAACCTTTGCTGCAGGAGGGTACAGTGCCCATTGCCTTCTGGTACATTCCAGGCTTTAGGCTTACCTGGGGTGGTGCTCCTCTCCCAGGAGACCGTAAGTACGCCAGTGTCAGGGTTGGACTCCAGGTGTATGTTTGAGGGTGGAGACAATGCTATGCAAAAAATAAAACAGAAGTAATAATAAATTAAAATGAAAGCTAAAAAAGCACTTTATGTATGGAATGTTCCTCCCCTCGCTCTCCCACTTTCATTCTTTTGAATTTTGGGGGGATCCATCCTAAGAAGTGCTCAGGGGGTCCCGGGTTATTTCCAGTACTGCTTGGCCATATGGGTTCAAAGCTTGAGTCCAATGATACAGTGCTGGGGGCCTCCAGGGCCACATGGTGCCTGGACGGTGCCAGTAATAGATCTCAATGTTTTGTTCAAGCAAAGCACATGCCCCTGCCTTGGGGGCTATTTCTTCAACCTTTCTCTACCTTAGTCATTTAAATGAATTGGGGGTGGGGTGGGACAACATCCAGCAATGCTCAAGGGCTGCTTCCAGCTCAGTGCTTAGGTGTGTGTGTGTGTATGTGTGTGTGGTGGGGGTGTGTCACTCCTGATGGTGCTCAGAGGACCATGCAGTGCTGGGGATTGAATCTGTGCCTTCTATACACAAATCATGTGCTCCAGTCCATCAAGCTATCTCTCCAGCCCCATTTTTTTTTTTTTTTTGCTTTTTGGGTCATACTAGGCGATGCTCAGGGATTACTACTGGCTCTGCACTCAGGAATTACTCCTCAGGTGCTTGGGGGACCATATGGGATGCTGGGAATCACACCTGGGTCCCCCGCATGCAAGGCAAATGCCCTACCTGCTGTGCTATCACTCTAGCCCCCAGCCCTGTTTCTTATTCATCTTAGAGGTATCAGTAAAAACAGAGAAGTTATACTACAAAATCAAAGTGAACAAGTCTCTATGATTCCTTAATGATTTTATAATATTACAGAAATTCTTTCTGCTTGACACTTCTGACGCCATGGAACAGAAGGCACAAGTTGGACTTCCTATGGCAAAGTTGGACACTGCATTTTAAGGAGAGCTAGATCTTCACTGTGCCATCATTATAAGTACAAACTGACATGAACCTCAGCTATTTTCAGTAGTGTTCATCAGGATATTCTTTTAAATTAGTTAACCTTGATTTAAACAAGCTAACGTTCAAGTGTTCGCTTAAAAGTAGATCTCATAAACTACAGAAAACAGGAAAAAAGAGACAGAGAAGTTCTCTTACGAGTCGTTACTGTATTGACAATTGGACTATGTGTCTCTTTTCCATCTTTCAGGGGTGTGACAATGTAAGTGTATTCCACGCCTGGAGTCAGACCAGTCACGGCGACGCTGCCAGATTCGGAAGTCATTTCGTGTATCAATTCTCCTCCCTGGCTTGGCCGTACACCCAGCTAGAAGGGCAAAAAAAAAAAAATTCATTACATATCTATTCAAGCTCAAGTTATTGCTGACAGGCTGTGATTCTGTTTTAGAGCATGCAAAAGGGAGAACAGTGCAGAGAATGGCCAGTAAGGAATCTGGAACCTGTAGCTGGAAATGTTTCTTCCAAAACTGCATGAAGGGGTCTTGTATTGAAGGTTCAGAGAAATGAAATTTTATACTGGATTAAATAATAATCTCACAGTAGAAAACATAAATACATAGGAACTTGGAGCACGTGGAAGTCCTTCCTATTTTCTTTTTTGCTGAGAGAAATTCCCTGGCGCTCTCTCTCTCTCTCTCTCTCTCTCTCTCTGCTTTCTCTTTAATGAGTTATTAACATTCAATGCACTTTTCAGTTAGCAGATACTGGCTGAACGTATTGTATTGCAAAAACATAGTCAGAGTTATGTTTCTAGATTCAGCTGCGGGACCACATATTACAAAAGTGGAATTAAAATGAACTTTAAGATTTTATTTCAAAAGCTGATTCTATTGTGTCATCAAATAGCGTTCAACTCCAACACCCATCCCTCCCCACCAGTGTATATTTCTCAGTTGGAACACTGTATGATTGAGATCCAATCATGAACAGCTTTGTAAGGGTCTATCTCATAGTGATTCGATACAAAAATTTAAAAAAAAAGTTCAACTCAAGGGTCATCTTTTGTACGTTACAAGGCTTCTGAAAGTCAAAATACTATTAAAGTACATGTGAAAGGTACATGGGCAATCTTCATAAAATGCTCCACTAGCAGAATCGCTCCAACTTGCATACAACAAAAAAGAAGCAAGATTTGTTTTTTGTTTTATTTTTAGGAAATGATCAGGAAAATTTAGTCCTGATTTCTAATCATAGTACATATTTCTCTCTTTACACTCCAAATGTCAAAGAAAGGAATTCTTTTTAGCATATTCATCTGTATTCAACATTGTCCTAATATTATTGCTTGGAAGAACATGAATTCAGATAACTGCCAGCAAGACCTTAATCTTAACTTCTGTTAAGAGAGTCATCCACAGGGCTTGAAATAAATTGAGATGCAACTGATTGGATGAAAATGTGATTTTTTCTCCCCAGGCGACTCTGAGTTTAATCAGTCTTTATAAATTGGCTTTCATGAACCTGTTGACACCTATTTAGAACAACATATCAAATGGTGTTTCCCTATATACTTTCAAATGGAGTTCCTTGGGAGAAAGGATAAAATAAGATAACAACTAGCAATTCCTTTCAGGAGTTGTTGTGTTTACAAATCATTCTCACTCTCTCGAACTGTCTTTCCAGAACTGGACAGAAAGTATCGGGTATAGAAGTATTACTAAACTCTGGCAAAATGGTCAGGGAGGTATGAACAGAAACAGGAATCAAAAGTCAGGTCCTCTGTTCCGGAATGTTCTGTTTCCACCATGTTCAGAGACACGAGGGCATCAAAGGGCTGTACGACAGAAGACAAAGACCACTGTGACTTACCTTAAAACCAATCCTTGGAGCAGGCGTCCATGTAATCATGATGACGGTTTCAGAGACTTCGGTGTTGAAAGGTGGAGCGGAGCCCAGAGACTGCGCTGTGGAATAAAATCAATACAAATGTTCACTACTTGGAATACCAGGCCACAGCCTATAAGCTAAAAAAGAAAGTTTTCGGACAGGGGCTGGAGTGATAGCACAGTGGGTAGGGTGTTTGCCTTGTGCGCGGCCAACCTGGGTTCGATTCCCAGCATCCCATATGGTTCCCTGAGCACTGCCAGGGGTGATTTCTGAGTGCAGAGCCAGGAGTAACCCCTGTGCATTGCCAGGTGTGACCCAAAAAGCAAAAAAAAAAAAAGCAACTGAGTCAACAATCAATTCAGGATCTGGAATGTTCTTACACTGGGTGAGAATTTGGAGCAGGTCAATTCTTCACAATGTTTAAGGGGCTACCTGAACTCTTGGAACACTGACTAAAATGCAGGTTCTGATTCTGTAAGCCCAACATGGGGTTCAGGGAGTTTACAATTCTGAAATGCTGATGCTGTCAGTTCTTGAATAATGCTTTAACATTAGCAACTGGGTGACCCAAGAGGACCCTTTCAGATCCCTGGACCCAAGATGATTTGGGTCTTTTCATCTTGGTTGGCATTTGAGTTTGACGACAATAAACATCTCCAATGTCAGTCTGAAATGTAAAGTGGGTCACCACAACTGATTATTATTCTGCTTCTTAATTACTATTTAGAGAACAATGGTACAGTGATCTAAAAATAACTTTATGCTGAATTATTCCAAAATGATAGCCAAATAGCTGTGGTTGCAATAAAATGTGATGTATCAATGTTACACCAAAATATGCTGCTATAAGCAAGCACATTTGTGAATTCTAAAGCATACCCCCTACCCTTCCCAAATATGTGATGATTCATTCAGGGCAATAACACTGTGGAAACTTAGTATTCTGCCACTAGAATGAGAAATAATAACAAAGATCATGTGCCTTTTTTTAGTTCTTTTTGGGGGGGCACACCCAGCAATGCTCAGGGGTCACTCCTGGTGGTTCTTGGGGGACCATATGGGATGCCAGGGATCGAACCCAGGTAGGCTGGGTGCAAGGCAAATGCCCTTTCCACTGTACTATGGCTCCAGCCCAGTCCATGCACTTTTTTGCCTTACAAGCAGTTTGATTCACAGTCCCACAAGTCTCACCAGCAGTGACATCTTAGCACAGGAGTAAAGTCTGATAAACAGTGGCTGTAGCCCAAAAAACAAGGAAAGAAAAAAGATGAAAGAAAGAAGAGAAAGAACATTCCTATACAAAGTTAAGACAAACGTTTTCAGCAGTTCTGAAAATACTACTAAAAAATAAGATTTCTAAAATATAATTGAATGGAAAAGCTGAATCTTGCAATAAGGAGGAATAAACATTTCATTAGCTGGCTGCTCTCGAAAAGGTAGACTAAAAGTCAACATATTTGTGTATCACTGTATCACTGTCATCCCGTTGTTTGTCGATTTACTCGAGTGGGCCCCAGTAATGTTTCTATTCGTCCCAGCCCTGAGATTTTAGCAGCCTATACTGTGGAAGTTTTATTTTCCAAACAATGATCCATTTTGCAATTTGGATCAAATAAAGATAGATTCAAATCTTTATTTTTGGGGGGGGGGCACACCCAGTTGTGCTCAGGGTTTACTCTTGGCTCTCCATTCAGAAGTAACTCGCGGAGGTGCTCAGGGGACCATATGAAATACTGAGAATCCAACCCGGGTCACGTGCCTTATCTCTCACCAACCCATACTATGTCTATACATATACAGACATATATGTGTGTGTCTGTGTGTTTGCGTGTATACATATATATGGGTTGGAGAGGGTACAGTGTTAAGGTGCCTGCATCATATGCAGCTAACCACAATTCTATCCCTAGCAACACATGGTCCCTCAAAAATCATAGGATGCAGCCCTCGAGGCCCCTGAGCTTTGCCAGGGATTACAACTTGGCCAATGTAATCGCCAGAGCTAGAGCAGCACCATATCCTTGGACACCTGCATTCAATGTCAGCCTTGTGAGCTGAGGACTGCCAGGAAGAACCCTGAGACTCCTAAGCAATGCTTGGTAAGCACTCCACAAAATAGAAAAATTATAGGAGCCAGGGAGAAAGCACAAACGATGGAATGACATGGCTTTTACCCTGAGTTCAATTCCCAGGACCTAACAATACAGCTCTCCCAGAGTCCTGCCGGGTATGGCCTTGACAGATCCCAGGGGCACTGAACTCTAGAGCTGCAGTCAGTCCAACTACTGCTAAGAGTGGTTCCAGGGCCCCTATGTTCTATAGGGGAGTCCCATACCCCCATCCCAGCCAAATTATAAGCATATTTGCAAGATATTACCCTCAGTACAAACTTCACTGGGCTGGAGCGATAGCACAGCAGGTAGGGCATTTGGCTTGCACACCACCGACCCAAGTTCAATTCCTCCACCTCTCTCAGAGAGCCCGGCAAGCTACCGAGAGTATCTCGTCCGCACAGCAAAGCCTGGCAAGCTCCCCGTGACATATTCAATATGCCAAAAACAGTAACAAGTCTCACAATCTGTTGAGACATTACTGGTGCCTGCTCGAGCAAATTGATGAACAACGGGGGGACAGTGCTACCGTGCAGTGCTACAACTTCACTCTTGCTCTTATTTGAGTAAGGTGAATTATAACTTCAAGGGTCTCTAGCGTGTTTGGTTAACTCGGATGGTTGGGGTCTTCCCTAACGTTCATTCCTGTTTACATCTCAACTAAATTCTGTGCCCCCTGGGAGAAAAGACACTATAAGATGCATTTATGCTAAATTATGAATGACATAATGTCATCCTCTAGACTTCAACATATGAGGCTTTTAAGCCCTGCAACTCCAATTCTCTACTTAGCTATAGTCAAATATCCTGCTTCGCCATATGGGAATTGTAATTCCTTATTTTATTCCCAGTCTGGATTCTAAAGTGCAATTTAAAAAAATATTCTAAAATACTGTGTAGGGGGAAAAATGCATGTGTAAGCTACTCTGAAATGACAATGCCAATAACTGGTTTGAAATACCAGTGGTTTTGTGAACTGGGTCCCACGGAAGCCATGATTTTGATGGCATTATTTTGAGAGGACCTAGGATGGGTGGACTGTGATGGCCTCCCAGTGTCTCAGAAATCATCTACCACTTGGCTGCTGCTGACACTGCCAAATGCATGACAGTCCTGTGCGACCAGGTGGCTGGACCCAAGAAAGAATTCAGAGTACAGGGCCCTTCTTTCCCCAAACATCTGGGAAAGCCACAATTTCATCACTAGTTATGACCTTCCCTGCTGTCTTGGGTTTTCAGACCCCGGTGTTTTCCCTTGCTTGAACTAGCCAGCTAGATTTTTCCCCAGTTTAAGACGATGCTCTGCCTGGGAAGATCATTAGAGGAAATCCTCCAAACCACAAACCCACAGACTGATGTCAACAAAGGATGTAACTGTGCGTCTGAGCCACGGATTCTGGCCGGTCTTAACCAGGCGAAGAACAGCCTGGCTGTTAAAGGAATACAAATTGTCCTATTTATAAAGGAAAATGCTGAGTTTTTCCCCAGGAACACCTCCTCTCACATTTGCTTTCATGAATTTAGCACAAGTTATAAAACCCTGAAATGATTATTCCCAGATAGTCCCAGGTTACTCCCAGGATTCACCTTGGTTAAAAGAATAAGACGCTGTGGAAACTTAGGGCTTATTGTTCAGAAGTAAGCAAGGCCCACTGATATTTACTGGCTTAGGAGATGTTTACAGAACTCTGCTTAGGTTGGTGAATTAAATCTAAAATTTGTTGAGCTATTTCCGTTCCTTTATTTTATTTGGTGGGGTTGGACCACCTCAGGCTGTCTTCTGGCCTTAATAATCCTGACCCTGTGCTCAGGGATCACTCCTGATGGTGCTCAGAGCACCACGTATGGTGCCAGAGATCAAATCGTGGTCAGCTGCATGCAAGGTATGCATGCAGCTTATCTTGCATGTTGTACTATTTCTCCGGCCCTGTTTTCATTGTTATATTTATTTCCCTTATCACTTATCTATTCAACAAATATACTTCCAAAAGTAAGCTTTGTGCAAGAAACTATGTCCATTTTTAGCTAATAAAATTTGTTTGACTCGCAGCACTTGAATCCAAATATAATTATATATTGCATAAATTTATTGTATGGAGCATAAAACAATGTGTAAAATATATTTAAAAAATACTTCAAGTAGTAGTATACTGACCTACTACACTCCACAAACTAAAAATGTTCCTCTTTTATAGATACTCTGCCCTGTCAAAGGAACTCTATAGAATGTGCTTTATGTTAAGGAGTCAAAAAGAATCAAAAAAGAACCACAGCTACTATGATTCTACATTGAGATGTAGAATTACATATGGTTAGTGAAAGACTCTTGAGATCTCAATTCAAATGCAGTAAAGGGCATCTATCTATGAGAAAAAGATACTTACAAAGAAGATATTTTTACAAAATACAAAGACATAAATTTCCTATTAAGAGATTTTAGGACCTCAGTAAGACTGACATATAAAATAGAAGGTGATTTTTCAATAGGGATCACACTGGCAGCGCTGGGTGGGAGTGGGGGCTTGGAGTCTCACCCAGGGATGCTTGCCGGATGCTGTGGGCCTGAGGGTTCAGTGCTCAGGTTTGAGCCTTCCCAGCCAGTGCTCAACAAATGCCAGGTCCAACCTCTGCAAAGCCTGGGGCACCGAGGGTTATGCCCAGTGGCATACAGGGGCCCAGGAGATGCCAGAGATTAAACAGAGCTTTACACAGCTAGATATCTGCTCCATCTCTGTTGAACTATCTATAAACTTACAAATCACAAGCAGATATTACTTGCTTATAACTAGCAGTAACTTTGGAAAAATACTTCCCTCTCTAAATGTCGTATGTCAGATATAAAAATAAAAAATAATTTTTTGGTGAATTATGAATTTGTGCAGGGAAAAGTTTTATGGGCCATTTCTTTAGGAAGTAAAGACTGTAGCTATGCTGTAGGATTTGTTGAAAGCTTTCTAGAAAGTTCCAAATGACTTTATAGTTGCAATATATGCTGAAAAGTGCTATATTAGGTGTTACAGTTAGTTCAAAGTGTTGACTTAAAAATAACAAATAAAGGTGGCTTTGGAAGAAATAACAAATAATGTTCAGCTAGAAAAGAAGGATTTCATAATTTTTGGTAATATGCTTGAGAATCAGTTTGCGAATATAGGCTGTTAAAGTGATGCAAACAGGTAAGAGATTTAAGGCCATTTTCTGTAAAACAGTCAGCAAAAGGACAGTCAGGACCAAAAATTATTCTTACTATTTTTCCTTCTGTGGAATTTCAAGAGTAATTCTAAGAAACATAAAAAAAATAGAAAAGCTATTCTGTTCTGCAGAAGTACTTTAATCTACCTCAGTCAACACTTGGGAAGAAATGATTTGCTTGGCTTCACCTCTGGCTTTTATTCCATCAGTAGATTTTTTTTTATTCTACACGTGGAGCCAACACTTGATACCTAAAGTATTAATATGTAGACATAGGTGCTGATTTTTTCTTGCTTTAACTAGCATTTGATAAATTCCTTTAATACGAGAGAATTCAATTTTCAAATAACTCGGGGCTTTAGACCGTGTTACTCAAAGTCCTGTCCCAAAGGAAAAGAGCTTGACATCATAGATGCAATTTACATGCAGTTTCCTTTGTCAGAGGTCTTGCTTCAAAAAACTTCCCAGCTGCACTCAACACTCAATAGTGTGTCTTGTGACTGACATAGTGGAACAGCTCCTTTTTGTCCAGCCCTAAATAACTCAGGTACCAGTAGTTGGTCCATAGAACACACTGCTGAAATATATTCTGTTAACTTTGTTCAGGGCCATTCCATCTTGTGCTCAGGGTCTTACTCCTGGCTCTGTGCTTAGAGATCACTTCTAGGGCTGTTGGAAGGACCATATTTGGTACCAAGGATCAAGTCTAGGTTGGCTACATGCAAAAAGATCCCCCTACCCTGTATATTATCTCTCTGTTCCCTGAGATAAAATCTTTTCCATTACAAAGTCTTAAATGCAATCTTTGTAGTAAGGTTCTTTTTTAAAAAAAATTGGCAGTTTGGGGTAATAGCAGGTAATGCCTGTGGAACTCTAGGCAATGTTGGGGATCACGCCAACTACGTGCAAGGCAAACATCTTGACCTATGGCCCGAAACTTTTCAAAGTTAGGAACAGAGAGATAGATAAGAACCTATGACCTCACTAAGAAAAGACTTTGCAATGCAGGCTTACGAGCAGTGAAGAAGCCGGTAGCTTTAGGACTCTGCTGGTTGCCTTTTATAGCCACGAGGCTGACGGTGTATTCGTCTCCTGGCTTAAGATCCTTGAGCACGTACTGCTTGGCAGAGGGCTCTATGTCATAATGCTTGGGCTGGCTTCCTCGCGTTGAGTCTGTGGTCATCTGGTACCCAGTAATCTGAGCTCGAGGGGGTGTCCAGCTCACTGTGACTGTAGAGTCATCTTTACTGTTGAACTCGAGGTCTGTGGGAGCATCCACTTCTGTAAAGAAACACACACACATCATCAATAAATATATATTCTTTTTTTTTTTTTTGCTTTTTTGTGTCACACCCAGCGATGCTCAGGGGTTAGTCCTGGTTCTGTACTCAGAAATGATTCCTAGTAGTGCTCGGGGGACCACCTGGGATGCTGGGAATCAAACCCGGGTTGGCCGCATGCAAGGCAAATGCCCTACCCACTGTGCTATCATTCAAGCCCTTCATACTCAATTTTAGACTAGCCTTTTATGTGATTTTACGTCAACATACTAGTTTGTCTGAGTAATGAACTTATTTGTCCAAGGAAAAGCCCCTGTCTGACTCCTCTATATTTTTGTGAAAATACCCTATCTACTGTGCTATCATTCCAGCTCCACCAATAAATAATTAAAACTTGATCACTAGGTCAAAATGGAGATGTGATGAAAATTACACTTACAAAGACCTGAGCAGAAGCCTGGACCCCTTCTCAACACCAAATATCTGGGCAGTTATGAGATGAAAAGAATTCCACCGTAAGAAGCACAGAGAACCAACACTGGAAGGTAGGTTGGGGATATGTTTTGTGACACACAAACCCACCCCGGGTTTGCAGAAATCAAGAAAACTCATTTCACCCGAATTCTGCTCTCTGTGCCCTTCCTCTGGCAAGAGTTTATTCGAACGGGCTCTCCAGGGCCATCCAGGCGGACTGCCCAAGTGCAATTGCTTTCTGTCCCTGGCACATTCCCTGAGGGGAGGAACCATGCCTTCATCTGAACTGTAAACCTCGCAGAAAAGAACTGGCTGTCCATGGGCTCCCGGGGACAGAACAGGGTGAGTCAGGCAGAGGACAAGAGGACGTACCGGTCGTCTTCTCGCCCACCAGGGGCTTGCTCTCTTTCTCCTGGTAGACGGCAAAGACTCGGAACTGATAGGTGGTGCCTGGGGTGAGTCCTGTGATCTCGGCAAAAACGTTTTTGCTGATGGGCAGATTCTGTCCCTGCTCGCCCGGCAGGTTGACGGGGATCACCTCCACACGGTATCCGTTCACTAAACTCTCCGGGGGCATCCACATGATGAAGACCTTCACATCTGTCACTTCCAGAAATTGCAGATCATGGGGTGGCTGAAGTGCACCTAACAGACAAAAAAAAAAAAGTTAAGTCAGTAGTCACAACCCGTGAGGAAGATTTATTTATTTATTTATTTATGGCTTTTTGGGTCCCACCTGGTGATGCTCAGGGGTTACTCCTGGCTCATACACTCAGGAAATACTCCTGGTGGTGCTCAGGGGACCATATAGGATGCTGGGAATTGAACCCGGGTCAGCTGCATGCAAGGCCAACATCCTCTCGCTGTGCTATCGCTCCAGCCCTGGAAGATTTATTTTTATGGAGGTTGGAGGCACAGCACTGGGCTCAGGGGTCACTCGTGGTGATACTCAGGTGACCACTTGGTGCTGGGGACCAAACCCGGACCTCCGGCATCTAAAGCATGAATGATCTCGCTTTGAATGATTTTTAAGTCAGTTTTCGGGACACACTAGAAGGCAATCATCAAGCTTGGCAAAAGCCAAGAGCAACGCTCAGTTTGGTCTCTCACACAGAGAATACATTTCTTGGCTTCTGTTCTCAGGGTTCAGTCATACAGCTTCCCCAATGGTTGCTAAAGTGTGCGTGTCTAAAATCGCTACATAAGTGAGTTTCCCAAAACAGGAAGCTCCAATCGAGGGATTTCAAGTGAACACATCAAAGAATAAGACCAGGGATAAAATAAGGTACACGGTGAATCGAAAATGGGCAGCACTGTGGACAGAGACAACAAACCTGTAGAAACGATTACTTTATTTTATTGGGCACTCACTGTCCTCCCCCTGCCCATGAAGCTCAGGAATAGAAAGGGAGATCAGGATGTTCCCTGTTTAGTCCTTATGAGATAGGACAATCTGAGGGGGAGTTTCTCCTTACTTGTGCGTGGGACGCCCGTGGTTTCCTGCTGGATGATGGCAGGGGAACTCTCTTGGTTTTCTTCTACCGCGTAGATAGTGATGTTATACGTCATCCCGGGCTCCAGATCGCTGAGTGTGACTGAGGTGGCACTTTCAGGAAGGTTGAGTTCCGTGCTACTGCCTTCAATTGGGGAGGAATAGATGACTCTGTATCCTGCAGACAAAAACGAACAGACGGGTTATGAAACGCATGATTACAAAGTCCCAACTCCCCCTTTGCCAGGAGCCGTGAGCGTCTTGCTTGAAGACTTACCAACTAGTGATTTTTTTCTACTCTTCCAGTGTGACCATTTTTTGTAAGCCTTATTCAAGCAAAGTACTAAGGAAAAGTACTAAACACTAAGTACTAAGCAAAATACTTAGCACAGAGAAACTTTTTTAAATTCTCAAGTTCACTCCTGGGGACCTAAGGTCTTTAGTTAATGCCTAATAGAGAAGTCACGAGGAGAAGATGCTCATGCTAATCCAGTTACTTCTCTAGCACAGAATGATACAAACAATTATCATTGGGCCTTTCTGAGCCCAGATCTGCTGGCACCACCATGTTCTTGTGGAACCTCAGACATCAGAATGAGCTTAGAAGACAACATGGCTGACTCTTACAGAAGAGGCCTGACAAAGGAAAGCACGCCCTTGGACAATGCAACAGAACTGAGGTTACCAAGGATGCAAGAGGGCTGAGGGCGAGGAGACAGGACTGGCGGACGGGGATTCCTAGAAGTGATGAGAACAATGGTGGATGGTTTGGGCACATTGGTGCTGCTGGAAGTGCTAACTTTGTACAGCTAAAGCATAAACATGAGCATCATTCTAAACAAACAAACAAAACCCCCACCAACTATAGCGTATAAAGTAAAATTTTATCCAGACAAAATTAAAAATCTCGAGAGTGAGTCTTTCAGAATATGGTTGCCTTTACTGCTATGGGAATGTCTAGTGCCTAAGACAATTAACTTGTTTTCGAGGGTGTGTGTGTGTGTGTATGTGTGTGTGTGTGTGTATCTCTGTGTGGGGTATGAGTGTGTGCGTGTGTGTCTGTGTGTCACTGTCACTGGCCTCCCACTGCTCATCAATTTGCTCGAGTGGGCCCAGTAACATCTCCATTGTGAGACTTGTTGATACTGTGTTTGGTATATTGAATATGTCACAGGTAGCTTGCCAGGCTTTGCCATGTGGGCGAGATACTCTCGGTAGCTTGCCGAGCTCTCCGAGAGGGGCGGAGAAATCGAACCCGGCTCGGCCGGGCCGGCTGGTGTGCAAGGCAAAAATGCCCTACCACTGTGCTATCACTCCAGCCTGTGTGTGTGTGTGTGTGTGTGTGTGTGTGTGTGTGTGTGTGTGTAAGAGGAATAATAAAATGAGCTTGAGGGGAAACGAGCCATAAGAAAGTAAGGCTGTAAATAATCACATTATTAATTTCACGCACACAAATCTCTCTACCCTAGTAATTCTAATAACTTCGGGGAGATTTTCATGCTGGTTCACAGAGGAGAATCTGCTCCCACCTGACCTATGCCATCGGGAGGAAGCAGGGAGCTGGGATGGGGAAGCTTGGCTGACCTGTGATGGGTGCCTGTGGTCTGCTCCACCTAATAACAATCGAGGTGTTACCCACTTTGTCCACAGTAGGGTTCGGCGGCGCATCTGGTGCTAAGGAAGGAAGGTGAGGAGAAAGGTCAGGACATGCTGCTGGACAAGCCAAAGCTTCTTCTCACATCATGTTGGGCACAGGTACCTGTTGTCTGTGACGTGGACAGGATCAAATTCTTATCTCCATCTTCTGTTATCTCATAGACATTGACAATGTATTTTCGGCCAGGAAGCAGGTCAACGATGTTCACAGAGGAAGCTGTGCTTGGAAGATCTTGAAAGAAAAAGGAAGGCTTACCAACCAGAGTACACTACTCCCTTGAGTGCCTCCCAACCCTATGAAGGATAGTTTACAAACGATCCATTCACCAAGGAGGAAGGAATCATACTCCTGGGCAATCAGCACGACCGAGAGTTGTCAAGACATGCTGAAGTCATTTTTCTTTTTGTCCATCCCTCCCTGCAACAGTTACTTCTCTAGAGATTTATTCATTTTGTAATGCATCATCACATGTGCAAACACAGTCCTCTGAAGTTCAAAGTGAGTGCCATGGTTATGGGCAGAGGGTGATGGCAAGAGAAGAGAAAGGGAAAAGGATCTGTGTGCTATGTTCATTTTATAAAAATGCATGGAGCTTTCTTATGATCTGCATGAAAAAGGATCTGCATACTTTACCGCAGTATTTATTCTACAGAAAAGATGTTGGGGGGCATCCCTGACATTCTGGGGGCCATGGGGGGTCTGGCACTTCAAAGGGGACACCAGGGTTACTGAGTTCTGGGTTTTTTTCACTGGAGACTGACCTCTGGGTTGCATGCATTCAAGGCATGCTCTCCAGCCCCTGAAAGAATCTCCCCTGCCCTCCACAACAAATTTTTAATGCGTGAGAATTGGAAAAGTGTAACTGAGGGTAACATGTACCCACAAATGTCATACTCTGTGAAGCCATTTTCCCATTGGCAATTACTTACATAAGTAAAAAGCCTGTAAAGCTGTGTGCAAGTAAACACACACACACACACACACACACACACACACACACACATCACACCAGGGACCAGGAGCAACCTAGCAGAGTCCTAGGAAGTTCTGTCATACTCCTTTTTCATCAGAATGTTCTGTTCCATCCAAAGTGTCCACCCTGTCCAAAGCTCCCAGAGGCTTCCCACTCAAGTGGGGATGACCTCAGCCGCCCCAAACCTACATGGCAAGACCCTGCACTCACCCAGGTAGCGGGGTTTGGCGCCGTCCTCGCTCAGCTCATATTCCACTCGGAATCCTGACACCGTGTCTGAAGCCGACACCCATGAGACCACAAAGCTGTTGGTTGTGATTTCCGTCACTGACTCGGATGTGTCCACCACGGGAGGCACAGGCGCATTCTCGCCGGACACTGTGTTTTCTGGAGTCACAGACAGGAGAGAAAGACCTTCAGCCCAGACAGGCTGCGTAGAAACTCACCCAGAAAAAGGGGTTGATGGAGGAATGTGAGGTGAGAAGGAGCACCCCCTCCCACCCTCTCTTGCCATGCAGGCCCAGACACAGGCAGGGTGGGGCACGTACGGTTGACGTTCGGGCTGCTGCCGGTGCCCGAGGTGGTGAAGTCGAAGCGCGTCAACTCTCTCTGGCCATACTGCTGGATGCTGATGAGCTGGCCCTCGTAGACGAGCCCTGGCTTCAGGCCTGTGATGGTGTATGAGTTGAGGTGGCCGGGGATGATGGCTTCCTTCCAACGACCACGAGTATTTTTCTAAATGCATGAATTATAAACATACATGGTTAGCAACATATGTATTCAGAAAAACTGTGGAGTCCTCTCTCCAGAAAGAGAGACCTATGCACCTCTAGTGTAGAGGAAAAGCCCAAGTAAGGGATTGAAAGAGGGACCTGACGCAGGGGTTCATGGGAACTGGGATGGCTGTAGCTAAGCGTCAGGAACGGTTGGCTGGGCACCGCCCTACATGCTGCTTTAATAACCAGACCCCTTTCATCTCCAGCTCCCCACATTCTCCCCATTGACTACATTATTGTCTTCATTTCACTAGTGGAAAAACAGAAAGATGAGATGCCCATGGCACCCCAGGGACAGGCACTGGGATCTTCCTTATGCTAGATCAATGATTGGTCATCGGTAACAAAATATGATGAAGCCCCCAGTTTGTGTCTCCCATTTTTTAAAAATTTGTACAACAAAAAGAGAGAGACTATTCTCTGGAGAGGGAAAAGTCTCCATTTTTCACTTGATGAGTGGGCGTTAAAGTGTCTTGCCAAGAAAAGCATAGACACAAGTATTATATTGCTTCTGCCTCAGTTATTGATGCCTTGAGTTCAACTAACTGGTCTGGGGTTATGACTCATTCTTGGATATAAACTCCCCATCAAAAGTACTTAATTTATTTTAGACAAGACTGAAGGAGAATGACTTTGGTTTATTTGGTTTTTGTTTCCGGTTTACATTTTCAACTTCATTAAAATATAATGGGTCACAAAACCCACTGCAATGAAACATGTGCAAAAGGGGGCAAAAAGCCCTTATTTCTAAATGCCAATGTTCTAAACGAATATAAGTCAAAGTGCATTTTTAATGCCCAATGTTTTTTTTACATTACTCAATCAATAGGTTCTTAATAATTAAAATAGTGTCAATAATGAGTATGTGAAAGTGAGTCTAATGCTCTTTATTTAATTTCATTTTAGTTTTGGTTTGGGGCCACACGAAGTGGTGTCCAGGGGCTAGTTCAAGCTTTCTGTTCAGAAGTTGCTTTTAGTTGTATTCAGGGAACAGTGTGGGTGATTGGAGAATCATACCTGGGGTTCCATATGCAATGTGTGTACTACAGTTCCTGAACTATATCTCTCAGCTCCCCAGAACTCATTACGTATAACTGTTAACTCAAATTCATTGTAAAAGCTGAAATTAGACATCATAATCAGCACAGACACAGTCATAAAACGTTTTTTTCTGGTTGCTGTTAAAAGGAAGCATTCATGTAAACATTTTAAAAAGATCTTAGATCAAGTCTACTAAGATAAAATCTGTCATATATTTTGAGAGTGGATGACAGTCATATGTGAAAACATTACAAGTTTCAGGTTGCAAATGCTGTCATGCCAGGGAGCATGGGAAAAGAGCAAAAGTCAGAGGTGTCAGAAAACGAAAGGTTTTAAACTAGTTAAAAATTTCAGAAAAAAAATTGGTCTCTGCCACTCACTCTTGAAGACTACTTTAAATTTGTCTCCTTGTAAATGTTCTTTATTTCAGTGGTCTCATATAATATCTCAGAGGTAAGTTTAAAGTGAGTAAATCTGGTGATGGGACAATAAAAAAAAAAGATTCTGCAGGGAAACAGACTTGCACTCCAGTGACTGTCACACCAGACACAAAGGTTTGTCTAGAGCCATCCAATGCACCATTCTTCCAAAGCAGGTGAACGGAGAAAAACGACATTTCACCAGCTTTGATATTTTTTATCAAAAGCCAACTGCAGAAATTGATCAGAATTTTGGTTCTGAAATTGCTAGAAACGAAGCTATAATGAACAATGGACATTTTTCTCCGATGTTTAAAACATCATTTCAAAAATGATAAACCATGAATTTGGGGGATAGTAGGCATGTTGTGAAAAGATAAGAAAAAGTTAAGGTTTACTTGACCCATCTTCTTAATTCTAAACATTTATTAGAAAATCTAAAGTTTTTCTAAAAAAAATTTAAGGTCAATCATCACTTCTCATCTATACTTCCCTCTCATCATTTCTTTCCCTTCTTTTTCTTTCTTTTCTGGGGGGAGATGGGGTGGGGTGAAGTGGAAGACCTTCCTAGCCAGTCAGGGGCCACCAGTACTATATCTGCCGTTGTGTAGGAAGCAATTAAATAGGAGGTTAAATTGAGCTTTATACATGCCAGGCACATACAACTTTTGAGCAAACCTTATGCTACCTATCTCATGCTCCCTTCTATCCAAAGAACTTCAGAGTATCAAAAGTAGGATCTTAAGAAAATATCACTTTTTAAAAAAAGGAACCCAAAGGGAAGGGAAGTTATTTTGTTTTACAAATCAAAGGAATAATGCCAGTAATTTTTCCTCTCTGAGATCGGAAAACATAAAAACTTTAGATTTTCTTCCCCTATGGGGAGGAATAGTTTGCAGCATTATTGTTCATGTTCAATCACTATCTTTGCTACAGAAGCCTTTCTTCTTCTTCTTTTTTTTTTTTTGCTTTTTTGGTCACACCTGGCGATGCACAGGGGTTACTCCTGGCTCTGCACTCAGGAATTACTCCTGGCGGTGCTCTGTCCCCCGATATGCGATGCTGGGAATCAAAGCCGGGTCGCCCTACCCACTGTGCTATTGTTCCAGCCACTACAGAAAACTTTCTAACAAGAAGAACTGAATTGTCCTCAGTAACTGCCCCTGCCCTCATCCCAAAGCTACATATTATTAATTTGATTAACTAAACAGATACAAATGCTTAATGAATACTTTATCAGATCTGTTGACCCGAAAGCCGAAAACATATACAAAATTTGTTCATTTTGAAAGATTCTGTATAAAAAATATCTTGATGGAATACTCACAGGTTTCCATCTAAGAATGTACTTGGTAACATGAGATGATTCTGGTGTATTCCACTGGATGGGGTGACTGTTGGGCTGAGTTGGGGTCCCAATGATGGTTATTTGGACAGGACCAGGTGTACCTGAAAGTGAAAAATTTGATTATCTTGGCTGTTTACTCACCAATATTTAAACAGTGGATAAGAATCACTAAAGACTTGTGAACAAATGTTAGCACAATAAAATTTATATGGCATTATTCTTTTAAATGCTGACATTGGCAGTATCTACAGCAAATTATTGCTAAATTATTATTGTTCACATAAAAAAGGCAAACAGAACTTGCATCAGATAAAACAAATTTTTCAATGTCTTTTGCTTCGTTTTTTCTCCATTTTCAAAGAATAGTGAGCAAATAGTGAAACTCAACACAAGTAATGTACTACAGATTATAGACTTCATTTACTTATTGTATGAAGTTTCTCTGAAGCAAACTCTATTTTGTGGAGAATTTTATCAGGAGTGAATCTACACCTAAGACGAAGACAATGTTCCAAAGGCCATATGACATGATGTAAAACAAACACATTTCTAAATGGGGTAGAGTCTCAGACAAACAGACCAAGGTAATAATTAAAGATTCAGTTTTATTTCCTATCATTTTATAATACAGTTTTAATTTTCCTCATGAAGCATTTTCTAGTATCACCCTCTACTAATCCATTTATTGAGATAAAAAAATTGTTTTTCGATGAATTCATTGTTTTGTTGTTGTTGTTGCTGCTGAAAAAATTCATAACACTAGGAAAAATTAATTGAATAGGTATTTTCCATTTTCCAAAAACTTAATTTCTTCAAAAGCAGTTATCAACAGCATGACATTTTGGATTATAGAGTAAATCCAGTTTTTCATTATTTTGATGAATATGAGTGTTACTCCCACTAATTTAAAGTATTTTTGAAAACGTATTAGTTTAGATACTTTTTTCCCTTTTTTACAGGGGTTTTTACATTCATTGGTGCTCAGGGGCTACTCCCAGTTTGCTACTCCCAGTTTGCTTCTGGCACTGCTTGGTTGGAGGTTCATGCAGTAATCCAGATCAAACCAGGTCAACATTATGCAAGGAAAGTGCCTTAATCCCTATACTATGTATGGGGCCCACAGTTGCAGGTCTTAAAGGAAGTAGAAACCACTGAATAGGAATTCCACATAGAATAACATATGAAATAGGAAATTTATGTCTGCACTGTAGAACATTGTCTTTTTCCTAGCCTTGTCTTTTTCATACATCAATCAACAATCAATTTTCCAGAAATGAAACTAAACCTTTCCAAAACTATCTTGCTGACACTGTTAATAAGGCAAATTATTGCAAACTTAATAATTCACTTCACCGGATTACTAGCAGGTTTTAAATTTTCTGAAAGTTCTTAGGAAAAATACATCAACTGTAAAACCTTATAATTTTCTTGGCTATTAAATACTCTCTACAAATAAGCTTTTCTCTTTACACAATGAATATTAACTTTCATATCTCTGTAGACAAAGTTCTAGAATAATATGCTGACTCCCGCCTTAAGAACAATTAGATGGTAGAAGGCCAATATGTCAATAAAAGACTAATTCAATATTATTTGAAGGTTAATTTCATTATATATATAGATATTGTTTCCAACCCCATAAAGCCTATAATTCATGGGTTTAAAATTATTTCCAGTTCTCTCTTTAATTGCAGTCTATATTTCATAGACCATGGTGAGACATTTGTTCTAGTCAACTGGCAAAAGTAAATTTCAAGTTCCTCTTTGGATCCTCACTTATCTTCAAGAAAACCCTCACAAATGTGAACAGGTGTTTAAGATAAACATTAGCACAAAGTTTTAGGGACATGATTGTTCTCATGGATATCAATAAAAAAGAGCAAACTTGTTTTATTAATATCAATACTTAAAGAAATCCGGCTATAATTTCCTTGGATAAATAGACATGTGCTATGACTTTTATTTAGTTTGCGATCATAATTTAGAAAGGAAAAGGTTTATGATTTACAGAATGTACCACCTTACGAGTTATCTCTTATGTAAGCTATGGACTTCGGGTCATAATACTATGCCAATTTAGTTTTACTGATTGTACCAGATATACACTCAGTGGGATGTTGGAAATGGAGAAGGCTGGATATATTTTTTAGGAAATGTCCATGCCTTCGTCTCAACTGTTCTCTGAACTTAAACCTGCTCTAGTAAGGTTTTTATTTTATTGTTTCAAAGACAGCTTATACAAGGGGCCAAATAGATAGGTGAAGAATCTGGAGTACATGTTCTTTATACAGATGGCCCAGGATTCTGTCCTTAATACTGCATTTCATCCCCTGAGCATCTCCCTAAATACAGACCCAGGATCACCCCTCAGCAGTGCAGAAAGTGGCCCAGAAACAAAAACAACATAAAACAACATAAAAGAATTGAATGCATGTAACGTTTTAGAAAGACAAAAAATAATTTTTTACTGTCAGCCTTAAGCCTAATCATGCTTCTTTGACTACAAGGAGATTATTAAATAAAGGGTGGTATGAAGATGGGGAAAAGGCAATTTAGTAGTTCTCACTCCACTGATGGAGCAAAACGACACGTTACTTCTTTCTAAACCATGAAGCACTGGTTTAGTGAATCTACATTTTCAAATTATGCTTTTTCTTGACTGGCTTTAGAGTCTATCTCAAAACAGAGGGTGACATCAAAGAGCCAGAAGAATGCCTTGAGTCTCACACATTTGGGTCTATACTGTCTGTGATTTGTAAGATCAATTAAACTCCTATTATCCCTTACCTTATTTATGTATAATTTGAAAATAAAACTTGTAGATTCCAACAGAGTTCACATTAATTAGATTTAAATTTTTAATAATCCTTTCAGTACATGTCAGTTGGTAAAACTAACTTTGGAGTTGGGGCTCCCTAGTAATGCTTGGGGGACTCAGGGGAGCCATGTAGTATTCTGCCAGCCTACTGGGTCAAATCAAAACTAAGTCCTGGTGACAATGGTGCTGCTAGGACTGAGTGATTTGAGTGATTTTGTGGGCCACCAGGACCATATCTGGCAGTGCTTAGAGAACCAGGCAGTGCCCAGATGGAATTTGGTGTTTGGAGCACAAAACGCATCTGCACCAGTCCTTTGAGTTCTCTCCCAGACCCCTTGGAAGCTTGCCACAAGAGCGGGTGAGGGGGGGTTGAAGGGGACAGGTAAAGGAATATACCTGATAACCTTTCATTATTTGTGTTGCAAACCATAAGGTCCAAAAGGAAAGGGGGGGGGCAGGGAGAAAAAGGGAGAGAGAGTGAAAGGGAGAGAGACAGAGATAGAGACAGAGAGAGACAGAGAGAGAGAAATAAAGAAAGAAGGAGGGAAGGAAGGAGGGAGGGAAGGAAGGAAGGAAGGAAGGAAGGAAGGAAGGAAGGAAGGAAGGAAGGAAGGAAGGGTGTCTGCCATAGTACAGGCATGAAGGACAGGAGAGAAACTGGGACCTTAGGTAGTGGGAAAATATACTGGTGAGGGGTTGGAGCTATAGCACAGCGAGTAGGGCATTTGTCTTGCTCGTGGCTGACCCAGGATCGGTTCCAGGCATCCCATACGGTTCCCTGAGCACCGCCAGGTGTGACCCAAAAAGGCCAAAAAAAAAAAGTACACTGGGGAAGGGACCGGTGTTGGAACATTATATGACTGATATTCAATCATGAGCAACTTTGTTAATGTGTATACCACTATGGTTCAATTAAAAATATAAATAAATGGAAAAAAATAAAATAAAATGTTTACATTATCCCGACTACTTACTCTTCTTTGTATTACCTTTGCTCCCTCTCCTACGCAAAACTGAGCAGGCTAACCATAAAATAGTTAAGATATGACACAAAGCCTATTCTTTTCAAATCAGTTTAAAATAAGCCTCAAATGAAAAATCTCCCGCAACTCTGACCCTGGAGAAGTTAAACATTTATGGGTTGGTCACTCTGTCCTTTTTTCTCTATTTAGTTTGCAGAGATTTGTGCTTTTCTAGTTGCTCATTGACAAACCAAATGCCCTTATCTTCTGTTAGTTTGAACAACTCTACCAGGTCCTTGGTAGATGGGACAAACAGGGCAGGGCTCTGAGACAATCCCTTGCTAATCTGCTGTCCCTTTGCTCTTCCCACACCCCCAAAGCCCAACATGCAAGGTCTGAACCACTGAGCAAACCAGGCAGAGAGATAAGCACCAAATCGCACACAAAGGGCAAATGCCGGCACCTTCCCCCCAGTTCTCCTGTCTGCTCAATGACCACTACTGCTACCTTTTTAAAAGAGGGGGAACAGGGTCATCACATCAAATCCCAACATATGCAAGATCCCTCCCCTCCAGTTTTAAATTCTGACATGTCCCTCTAAATACTAAGTCACACTTTACAAGAGAAAACACAGTTCTAATGAAACCACTGAGGAGAAGTCATTTTGAATCAGTGCCTACACCGATAGCCATGAACATAGGAGCTAGAAAGTATTGTTCTCTTTTGTTTGGTTGGTTGGTTTTGAGGTGGGGACACGCTCAGCTATGCCAATGGTTTACTCCTGGCTCTGTGCGTGGGGATCATTCCTGGCAGGCTCAGGGGATCAAATGGGGTGTCAGGGATCGAACCTAGGTGAGTCATGTGCAAGGCAAACACCTACTCACTCTCTCTCCGACTCCAATGAGAATATTTCCGCCGAAGTTGCATTAAGAAAAACAATGACATATTTTCTGAATTTTTGATGATTTTTCAATTAGATCTTTAAATATTATTGAGTTTTTTTTTAAAGTAATGCCTTATATCCAAGACCACCACAGAAACCAACTTGAGAGACAGGACAGTCTGTGCTCTGTGATTCCTCCTGGAACAGAGCTACTGTTTATCTGAGGGTTGGGAGAGAAGAAACTCCACAGGGTTTGCAAAAAGTGTATTTTCATGCCTGTTATTGAGGACCCACAGATTGTTGGACTGGAAATCTGGGGAGCAACTTTAACGATAATCAGCTATAATCTCCCCACAAGGGAACAGTGAAACTGGCAGTGATCTTCCTAGCAACTCATATGGCACTGGGATCTGGCAAACCTTTGACCAAACTATTTCATACCTTGTTCTCAGTATAGTAAATTTCTTAGAATCATGGAGGGGCTAAGTCCATTTAGTTTCTCTGGTAGGCATATTCAGACACCCTGAAAAGCTTTTTTGTTTTGGAATGAAGGCCCTAACTTTTTTGGGGGGGAGATGGGGCCAGAGAGATAGGACACTGGATAGGCTGCTTGCCTTTGCATGCCTCCAACTCAGGTTCAATCCCTGGCATCCCATAGACAACTCCTGGAGCCAGCCCGTAGTGATCCCTGAGTGCAGACCCTGGAGTGAGCCCAGGACATACCCAAGAAAAGAAAAACAAAAAGATTGGGGGGAAGTTGAAGAGGAGGCCTCTGAGCAGTTCTTAGGAACTCAGGGGCCCCTGAGTGCTGGCAGATCATGAGGTGTAATGATTCAATGCTTGGTGAAGATGGAGCTGCACAGGCACAACAGTGCCGAGGCCAACAGGGCTAGAGCCAGTGACACGTACAGAACCACTTGGGGTGGAAATAGAACTTGAGGCCTTGTGCAGGCAAGGTCTGGCTCCAACTCCTTATAGTACCTTTCCATTCCCTTGGTTTCATATCTATATACAGATGACTAGAGCAATAGCACAGCAGGTAGATTCGATATGCCTTGCACGCGGCTGACCCTGCAGACCCGTGTTTGATTCCTCCGCTCCTCTCGGAGAGCCCAGCAAGCTACTGAGAGTATCCCGCCCGCATGGCAGAGCCTGGCAAGCTCCCTGTGGAGTATTCGATATGCCAAACACAGTAACAACAAGTCTCACAATGGAGATGTTACTGGGCCCACCCGAGCAAATCGATGAGCAACGGGAGGACAGTGCTACAGTGCTACACACACACACACACACACACACACACACACACACACACACACGAATGGATAGGCAGATATTGGGGTTGGGGCTCTCAAGCAGTGTTCAAGAGACCTTGAAACCCCTCTTGGCAATTCTCAGTCAATTCCCTGTCAACCAGGCTGGTGGGGATGGGCAGTGATGTGAGAGGACAAGGCTGTGGTACTGTGGGGTCTTGTCGCATCAGAGACTACTCAGACCATCCTGGCAGTGAAAAGGTGCCTCCAGGGTTGCACCCAACCATGCTCGGGAAACCACAGTGCCAGGAAGAGAACTGGGCTTAGCTTCATGAAAGCATGCACCTTAATCCCGACACCACCTCTCCTGTTCACAAGGCCATGATTTAAGCCCCAAATTAACAGGAAGCTAGAAGATTTTGCACCTTGTTTTATTTTTTTTTTCTTTTTAGATCACATCCAGCTATGCTCAGGGGTTACTCCTGGCTTTGCATTCAGGAATCACTCCTGGCAGTGCTTAGAGGCCCATATGGGATGCTGGGATTCAAACCTGGGTCAGCCACGTGCAAGGCAAATGCCCTACCCGCTGTGCTATCACTCCAGCCCAGATTTTGCACCTTGGGAGTTGCTCAAATCAGTCCGGCCCAACAAGCAGAGCTTCACCATTCAACACATTTCATTATAATCACTGGGTTGAAGAAAGGTTTTTCCTCAAATGAATCAATAATGCCTACAGCTAGGCATTATATCCTGTGACCCAGTAATACACATTTTTCAACTATGTGAGCAATGGATTAGCCAAATTACTACAACACTTGACCCAGGAAACTTTGTTTCAGTCTCAATTGATCTAACAAATGAATATTTTGACACAAAGAGGGCTGGGATGAAAAGCTAAACATGTACATACCCTCCATTGTTATTTTCCATCATTTCTTTATGTGATATCTCTGCTAAGAACCAAACATGAAGCCCCAATTACCGTCGCCAGTGGAGTCCGCTTCACAGTTTCTTTTTGCATGTTTGGATAAGACATGAAATTAAGCAGTATTTTCAGTGAATTCAACTGTGTTAAGAAACAACACTGCCCACTGGTACATTTTCATAGCCTTCTAGATCTTTTAGTTGAGGGGGAGGGAGAAAGGAAAACGATTCTAGTCCAAAATTCAGTTGATAAGCAATAGTGTCATGGAAAGCAAAGCATGAGAAAAGAAGGAGAAACCAACACTGGCCCCATAGTTTGAGCAGACTCTGATGTTGTTCTGTTTGGAGAAGGCAGTGTGTATAAGTTCTTAATTTACAGGAACAATCTGCTTACCTGGGTAGGTCTGTAAAGGTTGGCAGTGCCACTCTCCAATGCCACGCCCATAGCAGTAGCACTGGTATTTTGCTCCGTGCACGTTTTTCTCCCAGGTTTCTCCAATTTGATAAAATGTTCGGGTATCTGAATCCTGGCATTGGTCTGAAATATCCACAAGTCAAAGGTAAGTAGGTTTGAATATTTAAAAGTTACAAATCTCATTTTAGTTGGCTAGAGTTTAAAATTCTTAGTTGCTACAGAACTTGCAACTTCTCACAAATACATATAATTGAAAAAAAACCCAGTTTGCTCACACCTTTTACTTTATAGGAAGGTAAAGATAAAGGTAAAGGACCTCCCGTTGATCATCGATTTGCTCGAGCGGGCCCAGTAACGTCTCCATTGGAGACTTTGTTGTTACTGTGTCTGGCATATCGAATACTCTCTGTAGCTTGCTGGGCTCTCTGAGAGGGGCGGAGGAATCGAACTCGGGTCGGCCATGTTGGCTGCATGCAAGGCAAACGCCCTACCCGCTGTGCTATACTTTATAGGAAATTTAATAGTAAGAGCAACTACTGAGAGGAACAACTCACTTTCTAGGGGGGTAAGAGATTGCAAACTAAAAATGTAAAGATCTAGATTTCAGCTTCTCTTGCTATTCAAAAGTGTGAATTTGGAAAAAAAAGTAGGCATCTTATCCATACTACAACTGATTTATTCCCAGTCAAAGAGCAAGGACCAAAGATAGGCAGTTTCACATCTTCCGAATCAGTGGGACTTCATTTGACATGTAAATCGTTGAATGGTTGGATTTTAACCAGGAGTATTTGCTAAGCAGCTTCTAAAGAAACCTCAAAGGCTTCTATCCTGGCTTTGGCAATCTGGTCAAACAAACCCATCAACCAGTCTCACTGTTTTCTCAGTGAGCTAGAGCTCTCTTCAGCAAAATGAATGCTAATGGGATTCAGTTCAAGGATTCACTCTGTTTGACTTCTTCCTTATGGAAACCATGAAAACTGAACCAGCAAAAGCTCATTCTTTTACCCACCAAGCAGCATTGCTTTGTTAACAGTTTTTGGTGGCTGCAGCGGGACTGACCAACTTTGCCCCGACCACCTGGAGCAAAGAGATTGGGAAGTCGGCAGCAACTAGCTTCCACTGAGAGGGTAAAGGCTAAGTGCTAATAGAGACACGGGCATTCTGCCTGACTCCTGAGAAAGAAGAGTGAATGGCCCGACTCCTGAACTCCCAGAGGCCATTTAAGCTCAATCTAAAACTGCAACAATACAGACCACACAGGGTGCAGATGGAAAAGCTTACTGCAAGCTACAAAGACATCACCAGAGTGTTTAATATCTGGACAATACTTTGGTGTTGTACTTCCAAACGCTTGTGGACACCAAAGACACTGTGACCCAGGACACATTTAAACCTGTCATCTGAAAATGTTACAGTGAAAGTGGGTCCCCGAAAATGCAGAGTTGAGTTTAATAGCAGAATCAGAAAACCCATCTGGTTAGGAATGGAGGGAAATGTTGAAAAGATTCTCCGTAACTTTTCCTAAGTATAAAAAGGAAAGAAATCTTAATCCGAACACTTAATTTGCAGTGACATCTAAAGTAGGCCTCAAGGGATCAGCCCCTGAGTAAATATATTGATCACCCTGGTGACTATCAGATTAGCCCAGCTGACCTAGAAATGTACTTCTTGTGACCATAGCGAGGAAAATGAAAAGAAAAGAAAAAAAAATACTATTGGAGAGCCCGGCAAGCTACCGAGAGTATTTGATATGCCAAACACAGTAACAACAAAGTCTCCAATGGAGATGTTACTGGGCCGGCTCGAGCAAATTGACGATCAACAGGAGGGCCTTTACCTTTACCTTTTTACCTTAACACTGGTAACACAATGTTTAAAGGCTCAACCTTCACTATTTGCTCAGATCTATTGCAAAGGGCAGCCAAAAAAAATAAAGTATTTTGGAAGAAGGTATTTACTGGCATAATCATTTGTCCATGCTTTTGCATAGTCAGCAAAGGAAGGTTCTCTTTCCTAACATTCTCTACTTTTATGATTCAGAAGCACACAGTGAATTCCAGTCCACTAAAATAAATCTGTGTCTCATATCAAATTCAGCAAAAATAAATAGCAACCGATGTCAAGGCTAGAGCCTGATCCATGATTAGAGAAAAGATTTTGCAAAGCTCTCTGCAAGCCACTGATCCAAGGCTGAAGTCAACCTATGGAATATCACAGAGTGCTCCATCTTTGAAACACTGCTCACACTTCTCAGAGTTGAAATTCCTCTCAAAAGATGAAGCCTGGATTGGAGCAATGGTACAGAGGGCAGGTCGTTTGCCTTGCAGGCGCCCGACCTGGGTTCAATCCCCAACATGCCATATGGTCCTCTGAGCAATGCCACGAGTAATTCCTGAGTGGCAGAGCCAGGAGTAAACCCTGTGCATTGCCGGGGGTGACCAAAAAAGCCAAATAATAATAAATAAATAAGTGAATTAGTTAAAAAATGAAGACTCCTTACCGAGAGGGTCACACTTCCACCTTCCACGACCCTGGCCAAAGCAGGTACAATTCAGCATATGTCCCTCTTCATGACGTTTATTGAATGTTTCATTTACATTATAGGTGACGTCGTCGACGATGCACTGATCTGTTTAGGATGAGAAGAGGGAAGAGTTATTTTAAGTTTCAGAGAGGAGACAAAACCATGGTTATACACAGCACAGTGTTCCTTCCACTTCACTGTCAACAACTCCCGCTGAAATAATTTTCTACTGACACAGAATAAAATACTGTTTCAAATCTGAGACAATCAGACCATTTTTTTTAACCAAAAATAATCTCATAATGCAATGTAATGTCAGAGGTCAAAGTATATTTAACTAAAAGGTGGTGAGAGCCAATTTTTGAGCAAATCCATACTTCACTTTCGGAAAAGTTCTTGCTCATTTATGACCAACAGAAAGAAAACTAAACCTCCTTCTAGAGCATAAGGGGATGGTGCTATCTTTGGAATGACGAAGTCGAGAGATATTTAGATTTGGGAAATTGAAAAAAATTATTTAGGTCACTTATGTTCTTGATTTTCTGAAAAATGCTAAGAAAATGTCTTTCCCTTTTTGGGTCTAAGTTCCTTCATGTGTAAAATAAAAAGTTGGTCTATAGGCTTTCTAGAGTTCCTTTCAGACATGCCTTCTTATTCATCATTATTATTATTGTTCCTGAAGTGTATTACTCATTGGACACCACAAATTGAGAACCAATTCAAGCCAAAGTCAATCAGCCGCACAGATTACTTTTCAGCTTAGCGTCTACAAAAATCTTACATTTTAAATCAACAAAACCTAAGAACTTAAATAGTTTTAATAAGTCAATGCCCTTTTATTATATATTTGGGCTCAGAGGGGGAAAAATGAATAAAAAATTGATTCATGCTACCAACTTATACCTGAATCTGCAGGATTAGTATAATATAGCAAGTCTCATCCTTTTGTTTTATTTTTTTTGTTTTTTCGTTTGTTTGGTTGGTTTTAAGGACACAACTGATGCTAAGGGATTGATTATTCTTGGCTCTGTGCTCAGGGATCATTCCTGAGGTGCTACAGGGACCATACTGGAGTGCCAGGAATCAAATCCAGGTTGAATGCATGCCAGTCAAGTTCTCTCTCCACAGTACTCTCACTCCAGCCCTGCAAAGTCTCATTTCTTAAAATAAATTATTCAAACTTTCAACATAATCCAAAGGCAACAGAAAGCTAAAAAGAGCAACTAATAGTGTTCTAGCCTTTGAAGTTATCCTTTCGCTTCAGCCTATGTAAATATGGATCTCATTATTGGTCTGTCAGCTTTTCTTTTCTGTTTCTTTTTTTTTTTTTTTGCAAATTCAATTTTTAATTTTTTTAATTTGAGTGCTGTGAGGTACACAGTTACAAGACTGTTTGTGATCGGGTTTCAGTCATAAATGACCCAACACACATCCCTCCACCAGTGTCCATTTCCCACCACCAAAGACCCCAGTTTTCCTCCTGCCATTTCCCCCTCCCCCACCCCAGTCTGCCTCCATGGCTCTATGACACTTTCCTTCTCTACTTTCCTCCTTTTATGCCTTCCTCCCTCCCTCCCTCCCTCCCTCCCTCCCTCCTTCTCTTCGTCTCTCTCTCTCTGTCTCTCTGTCTCTGTCTCTCTCTCTCTCTCTGTCTCTCCAGCCCCCTCCCCCTTGCTCTCCCTGCAAACCTTCCTTAATTGGACTCCCAAAACACAAAACTTATCCAACACACTAAACTAAATGGAGAGCTAAGGCATTTCTTCTCCTGCTTCTGGTAAAGTATATTTCCTCATAAAAGTCTGACTATTCATACCAGTCCGTTATTTCTAATGCTTTCATTAATAAGTAAACATACCTCGGAGCTGGGAGTAGGCAACACAGGTCCATTCCCCGCGACCATTCCCAATGCATGAGCACCGCATCATGTGACCCAGCTCATGCTGTTTGTCCCACTGGTCTCCAACGCGATACATCACCCCTTCGCTGGTCGTACAGACTTCCTCATGAGCTGTTGGGAATCGGGATGAGGAAAGTTCACAGGAGAAATAATGGCAAGGTCTAAAAGGGGACTCTATCAGTCCAGTTTGGTGTTCTAAGAAGTTCCACTTGGAAATGTGTTTATCTTAAAAAAAAAATCTCAGCGTTGCTGCTATGTGGAAGGAAGAGTTCAAGTCCCGGAGGGAAAAGAGTCCAAAGGTAAGGTATGGAGAAATAACGCAAAGGACTGTGAACCCATGATAAAACCCACGCAAAGAGTCTGTAAAACATCTGACCACTGCCCCATTACTTTGTCTAGTTCTAGATGATTCTAGATCAAAGGGAAACTCTGAGGAATGTGCAAACTGTGTTTTCTTTCTAAACTCAACATCCTCTTTGTGTGAAATGCAAGAAAGTAGTTTTTTTCTTAGTTTTGTTTCCGATCACATTTGACAATGCAAAGTGTACAAATTCTTGGTCTTGTAGTGGAAAAAATTAAATATGGGATACTTAAAGTTTGAAAGCAAAGAAATGTAATTGGTTTCTTCCTCTTCGTTCATATAAACCAGAGGCTTGCCAATTGAGATTCCTTTGCTTCTCAGGAACAAAGTTTGAATCATTTTGGTATTTCCTCAGTGAAAGAGCACATGGGCCTAAATTAAAACCATGTATGGATATTAATATTGTAACACTGTTATTACAGCAGTTACATGTCAAATGTTTCATGGAAATAAGTGGTGTGTTCTTTACAAAAGACAAATCTGTGAAAAACACATATCTTAAAATGTGATTTTTTTTAAAAAAGTATGTCTTTATAGTTGCCGTTACATTTTAGCAAGGATACTTGGAATTATGTAGATATTTGACTCATGTGATTCTCTGTGCACACATATATGCACGAATGTATATCAAATAACACTTTCAGTTGTTTCAAAATTGAGTCTGAATAGGACAGTCTGGAGGAGTAATCTGGACATGATTTTTGTCTGACTTGATACATGGTTGTCCACTATAGCTTTGGCTTACCAGCCATGGGGCAGAATCCAAACTTCTGGTCCGCATCATAGTTCATTGTGGTTCCACACCACTTCATGTTGTCTTTCCTACCCTCAGAAGTGCAATCAGTGTAGTTGTAATTGTTGTATAAGAAGGGGAAGTGGCATAAGGCACCGTTGGAATTTCCACCTCGAGTCTGAACCAAAACTGCCAAAAGACAAATGAGAACAAGACACTTACTTATCACTGAGTTTTTCAATGTACAGAGAGAAATTGCTGTGAAGGAACCAGTTTTCGGACCTAATTTACTGAGAATAGAACATGTTTTGAACATAGAGTTCTATGATTCCTTATTGTCCTCTATCTTCAAAATACAATCAGATTCACTTTGCCCTCTCATTTTCCAGTCCAAGAACAGAAATTAAAAACTCAGTTTGAATAAAACACAGTTTTACTAGAAGACAAACAAAAGTACTCAGGCATTTACCCAGAGTATTCCTAAATTCTATGGGAGTGCTTACTGATTTTTAACATGCAAGTGTCTTGATAAAAATCAAAATCCCCTCTGTGTCATAAATAAGTGAACTGGAGGTTCTACCCTCTGTGTCATTTTCCAAGGGTACTGGAGAACACTGGATGCACTAAGGTAATTCTATGTCTTCTGGGCTCAAACTAAAGTAGTAATTCTTGTGTAGCTCTAAAAAAAACAATAGGAGCAGATCACTGGCAAATTAAAGCAGGGCATGAGAAAATGGTTTTTCTTACTGCTCTTTTATGTGTGTGATACTCACCATTTTGGTCTGAACAAAAAGAGTATCTCTGGTCGGCTTCATAATTGGAAGTTGTGCTGCACCAGGGATGTCCATCTTGTCGTCCTTCCGTGGTGCAGGAGTAAAAAGTCCGGCCGTTGTAGGTGAATGGCAAGACACATGGTTCCCCATTTGAATTTCCTCCATAAGTTTGGGTTTCAGCTATAAGCATAAGCAAACAGTCTCAGTAAAAAAGAGCTGCATTCATATTCCACTGGAAACTGTGGAGCTTAAGTGAGACTCAAGGTATGCCCTCCCGGCTAGGTGATTAGCTTTAAGAGTGCCTAGATTATCAGCTAGTTCATCTCGGTCTAAAGGCATCCCTCAAGAAGGCCATGTCTCTTGTGAATAGAGCAACACCTGAGCTGTGGTGCTGACATGCTTGGCTATCCTTTGGCCAATGCATCTCAGAATATCCAACTATAAAGCTCTATTAACGCAGGTTAATGAAGAATGCTGCTCAGAAGATTCTAGAAGAATTCTGTTGGAGACAGAAGAATAAGAAGAAGGCTGTTCTTGGAGAAAAGTAGATGTACCGATGTGCCATTGTTGCGACTACTCTCAGAGTTCAGAAGAGATGCATTAGGTTATTAGACGTTTGCATCACAGAGCTCCAGGAATTTGAGGTTGAAAGTATAAATTAGCGATGATTAGCTAGTCAGAAAGCAACGTTTTAAAGCTACATTTTAGACAAATCAAGATAATGCAGAGCAGTTTAATCTTCACTTTAGGAAAGAAAATACACAGACTAAAAAGATAGGAAGAAAATATATCAAATGCCAACCCCAGGTATTATCGGATATTGTTTTATGATCTTAAATTTTATTTTCGGTAAATGAATATATGACCTTCTAAAACCTATTTATAAAAAGTAATTAGTAACATTTTTTTAAAAAAAAGATAGTTCAGACCTGTCTCCTCACAGCTGACTCCATTGCCCAAGCAAGTGCAAAGCATCTGGGTGTTTCCTTGTGTCTTCAGCCACTGCATGCCCGTTATATAAGTCACACCACTGTCAGAGACACACTGCCCAAATGGAACTGGTTCAGGGGCAGGAATTGGCTGGTAAATGGTCTGATGGACGTTTTCTGTGGAAGAACTTCCTAAAAGCATGAGAGAGAAAGCACAGTCACAAACATTGGCTATAAGAAGACAAGAAAAACTCCCAACTACTTTCTAGTTTTGGGATCTGACAGGTTTCAAACAAGTCACTCTGCAATCCATGTTGTTATCAACCCAGAAGAGAAAAAGAAGCTTCATTTTTACTTTCAGCCCAGATACTATTCCATGAATCTAACCTGAAGACTTCCAGGTCATGATCTTCCAGGTCATCTGGATTGTATGTCTAAATCATAGACATGATTCTTTCCCTCAACACAGCAGATACCTTCCACAGTAACTCACTCAGGCCATAGTTCATGACTTCATAAATCTTTAAATCTTCTTTCCAGCTCACCTCTATTTCCTCTCTTACTCCATGTCTTGTTTTGCCAACTTACTCATCATTCCCTCAAGGACCCTGTGCTATTCCTGTGCTTTTCTCTTGATCTAGGTGTTTCTCCTCTTAGCAACTTCCATACTCAAGACATTTCTATTCCTGATATTGTTTAGAAAACTCCCTGCAGTTTTATAGCTGATTTCTATTACTATATCTTTCTAAGGTAACAAGGTCAAGAAGAGTCCCAATGTTTATGCTTCTGGGTCTCAAACCAAAAAGAATACCTTCACCCAAACCAAAATACCAAAAATCCTTCACCTCTATGCTCACGAAATGTCTAGTACACCCAGCTTTTCTTGCTCTCCATATGCCTCACAAACCTTATTAATCTCAGTTCTATTGTTAGAGTCAGTATTTTGTTTTCATTCACTCTTGTTCATTTTTTCCCTTTGTACCTTTATATGCCATACAGGAATGAGATTATTTGACATTTGTCGTTCTCCCTCAGACTTAGTTTAACAGGATCCTTTTTGATGATATCCAAGTAGCAGCAGCAATAGTCAGGATTTCACTTTTTCTTTTTGCTGGGTTGTATTCCTCTGTGTATAAATACACCATACTACAATTTCTTTAACCACTTATCCAAAACATGGCACTTGTGTTGGTTGGAGATCTTAACTATTGTGAAAATCATGCTGCTAACTCTGGCTATCTATGTAACTTTGAGTTCATTTACAAGTACCCACAGGGCAATCAAACTGAATTTTCCAGAAGTCTGCTCATTCTTCCAGATTTTGGTGTTGCACAGAGTTATTTAGGAATTCTTGTATATCTTTCTTTCTTCTTTTTTTTTTCCAGAATCAACCACTCTTATGACAGCTTTCCTTTCAGAGTAAGGAAATAGAATAGCATAGAATAGAATAGAATAGAATAGAAAAGAAAAGAAAAGAATAGAATATATTGATTCCCTGCCTCAGAATTTGGAAATCTTGGAAGTCAAGCCCACAGAGTCAGGACAGATGTAGAAGATGACTGAGTATTTCTCTTAGTTCTACTGAACACTGGAACCCACAGTTACTTCACAGGAAGTCCTAAGGTTGTACATATTGGGGAGACATAACGTCTTTACTTGGACACTTCATCTGGGATAGTCTCAATGTCAAAAAACAAAAATCTGTAGAAACAGATTTTACTTCTTTTTTCAACCAGAGCCTTTAAGGTTTTTTGAGCAACAGAAGCTCTTGAGTCTAATATTAGTAATACTAGCATGGGAGCACTGTAGCACTGTCCTCCCATTGTTCATCGATTTGCTCAAGCAGGCCCGGTAAGTCTCCATTTTGAGACTTGTTGTTACTGTGTTTGGCATATTGAATACGTCACAGGTAGCTTGCCAGGCTTTGCCGTGTGGGCGAGACAGTCTGAGTAGCTTGCCAGGCTCTCCGAGAGGGGTGGAGAAATCAAACCCAGGTCGGCCGGAATGGCTGCACAAAAGGCAAACGCCCTACCACTGTGCTACTGCTCCAGCCCATATAAATATGTGTAAATTAAGCAAAACATCGACACATCCCTGTATACCAATTGTTTAGGTTTTACAACATGAGCACCTTTTAAAACATCAGTTTCATCTTTTGGAATCAAAACCATTTTCTTCCTCAGATCCATTATCACTTAAATTTACAACTTGATAGTAAGTACCATTTCAACATCTAACAATTTTTCAAAGAGCTCAGTTAACAAGCTGAAATACCATAAATCATCCCTAAAAGACACATTCAAACAAAGATAGATTTGCAAGGGCATCTTTGAAAACTTTGTGCTTTGCAGTGGGTTGTGGTCAGGCCTCACCTCTTGATGATATGGTTTGCATAGAGGTGTGCCTTTCACATTTCCATTCCCCTCTGCCATTGCCCGTACAGATACACTGCAGCTCGTTCCCTCGATCGTCCCTCTTGGTCCAAGTATCTCCAATTCGATAGGACTTCCTACTGTCCTGGTCATTGCAGCGATCTATGGTAGAAAACAAATGGAGAAGCTGGCAAATCAGACCAGATTTTGCAAACATTCAACTGAAACCTAGAAAAGGAACTCAGTCATTTAAACTTGGGCAGCTCCTTACTGGGGTTATGTTTATATTCAGTGATACATTCAGTGTGTTCTGTTTGTACCATTTGGAATCTAGTTCCACTTTTCTAACTAAATTTTCATCATTTTTTCATTCTTTTTTTTAAGAAAGCATTTTGATTCTGTGCTTCTGACCCAACTCATTTTTTGGCTTTCTGTTTTTCCTCCTCATTCCTGGGTAGGCCTTCCCTAATCTCCTATCTAATCTCCTTTCTATGGGAGATTTTCTTCAGAAAACTAGGAATAAAGGAGGAAAATAGGCTCAGAAAATCTCCCTTGATTTCCCTAAATTGCAACTTTCAATTGTTACATCAAAAAAAAAAATTACAGCATGAGGAGCTACGATTTTTTTTGTCTAAAATTTTTCTTTCATTAAAGAATACCAACCTATTGCCACTGGAGTGGACAGCAATGAAAAAGTTGGTGTTGGAGCATTGTATGCCTTGAAATGCAATCATGAATAGCTTCATAACTTTGTAATTCATGGTGATTCAATTAAAAAATTTAAAAAATACATGAAATAAAATGTTTGTCTCCCTGAAATACATCCCCTTCCATGAGTATTAATATTTCCATGGAAAAATAGGATTTCCAGTATAAAACAGTAATTTTAAACTGAATTAACAAGTTTCTGCAAAAAATTTGGTCAGTTCTCATCACTTCCCATGAGACATGTATTTTTTTTTAGCAAAGCATTCAAATTTGCATGAACACTGCCATCATTAAGTACTTTTAAACTGTGTAAGTAAAATAGGTTCAAAATACTTAGATTTACCCCATAATAAATAGGGAAAAGAAATGAACAGAAACTTCTGCAAAGAAGAAACACAAATGATCAAAAGGCACATGACAAAATGCTGTACATACTAATCATCAGGGAAATGCAAATCAAAACATAATGAGGTATCATGCCATGCCACAGAGACTGGCACACATCAAAAAGAATAAGAACAACCAGTGCTGGCATGGATGTGGAAAAAAAGAAACTCTCATTAGTTATGGTGGGAATGTTGACTGGTCCAGGCTTTTTTGAAAACAATATGGGCATTCCTCAAAAAACTAGAAACTGAGCTTCCATACAACCCAGAAACAACACTTTGGGGAATATACCCCGGGGACTCAAAAACACAATGCAGAAAAAGGGATCTGCACTTCTATGTTCATTGAAGCATTTTTCACAATAGTCACTGTCACTGTCACTGTCCTCCTGTTGTTCATCGATTTGCTAGAGTGAGTCCAGTAACATTGTGAGACTTGTTACTGTGTTTGGCATATTGAATATGTTACAGATAGCTTGCCAGGCTCTCCGAGAGGGGTGGAGGAATCGAACTCGATTCGGCTGTGCAAGGCAAACGCCCTACCCGCTGTGCTATCGCTCCGCCGCTCACAATAGTCAGAATCTAGAAACAACCTAAAGGCCTGAGAACAAACAACAGAATAAAGAAGCTATGGTACATCTACACAATGGAATACTATGCTGCCAAAACTCAAACTCACAGCCATGAGGATAAACGAGGTCATGAAATTTGCTTATAAATGGATGGACATGGAGAGTCTCATGCTGAGAGAAATGAGCCAGAGGGAGAGGGAGAAAAAATCATTCTGTCAGAATGATTTGAGGGATTAAAAAAAAATTGCATGAGACTAATACCCAAGGGCAGTAGAAATGAGGGCCAGGAGGACTCATCCATGGTTGGAAACATACCACAAATGGGGGTGGGGGAAGGAGGGCAGTTAGGATAGAGAAAGAACCACTATGACAAAATGACAATGATGGTTGGAAATCACTCTGGACAAGAACTGAGTACTGAAAAGAGGTAAAGGGATAAATATGATAAGCTGTCAGTACCTATAGTGCAAACCTTAATATCCAAAAGGGGGTAAAGAGGAGTGGAGGAAAGGAAACTGGGGATACTGGTCATGGGAAATGTGAAGGGACAGGTATTGGTGGCTGGTGAAGGGACAGATATTGATGTTGGAACATTGTATGACCAAAACCCAGTCACAAACAACTTCGTAACTGTATGTCTTTAGGTGATTCATTAAATAACTTATATTTGATTTTAGTTTATGACACCAATAGTTAAGGGCTGTTGTGCTTCAACAAACTCTGTAACTGTTACTAGTTTGAAATTTAAGAAGGAGCTTTATATCCCTAAAGCAACAAATAAGATTTCAAGGCAATCTTAAAAGAAAAAGCAAGGATGGCAAAGACCAGTTTCTTCACAGCACTGTGAGCTTTTGAGAAGCTCCAAAGTAGACAAGTACGTTTTCAAAAATCAATTCCGCTTGCATCTATTTTAATTTTAAACAGAGAGGAAAGCCTAGATGTTTACAGTTTTGCTCCATTCTGTCACTAGTACTAACAAGCCCAAAGATACATTTGCATGCTAGTTTAATGATGGCTTTGCTCTTGAAACTTGGGAAATGGTTCAGTGACATTTAAACATTTGCTACTCATTTTGAGTTATAGTGTATTTGGCATAAAAAGAAACATTAAGGTTTCTTTTCTTAGTAGCTAATAGTGATAGCCCTTAATGAAGAAAGATTTTTTTTTTAAGTTAGTCCTTTTTGAAAAAGAAGTTGGTGCTGGGATTTTATTTTTCTTGCTATCGAAATGTTGCCGGAGCACTATGATATACTGGGTATATTCTGTGTTTACACTCCCTCTAGGAACCCCGCGGGATTCCTAGACAGAAACCCCACCCAGCCTTATTTTGAACAAACATAAGAGTCTATCACATACTTCTTGAACTACAGGTGATTCTCCCACTGCCTTCTCCCAGACAGGTGCAGTCCACCATCATCCAGCCTTGGTAGGGCTTTTCCCAGGTCTCCCCAACAGAATAGGAAGTTCCAGCAGCGTGATCAAAACACTTCTCAGCTGTAGGGCAATTTGGAGGAAAAAGAACACAACAGAAAAGGAGTTATTTTGAATTGTACCGTCTCCCTATAATTTCGAGTATATTGTGTAAGCAAAAATCCAGCCACATTTTTTTTAAGTGGCACTCTGTTCAAAACGCAAGGCACACCCTGTAACTAAGCACACAGAAAGTAACTAAAGCAAAGGAAAGCTCAAACCAGTTGGCAGGCAGCAATTCTGATCTCCTAATAAGTACATGGGTTGCATATTTTCGCTAGTGCCACTTTTTTTCGTACCATTATTGTGCATGAAAAGAATTATAGATGTATCAAATTTGTGGGGGACTATGCAAAATTCTGACTTTAGTGACAATAAACTATGAACGCCTAAACAAAATGATAAGAAAACCATTTAAAATCTTGAATTTCTGGAAAAGTAGACAAAATCAAACTATAGACTCTGAATAAGTAAGTGGAGTAAAATGAATTGCCAGAAACTTGTAGATTTGTACCTACAGAATTCAGCTAAGGATTCAGACAAAAAGAAATGAACACTTTCACAATTCTAGATGAAAAAATAACTAACATATGACAAAGGACACATCATTTATGTCTTAGCAGCTAATGCATTCTAAACAAGAAATGGGTCAAAGTAACTTTTTTTTCTTTTATATTGACAAAGGAGGAATCTGAGATCTGATATTAGACAAATAACTTTTTTCCCTAAGTATTTCAACTTCATCTTATGCTTTGGAAACTAAGAGAAGATGTCTATACATGGTTATTACTTTTTGATCTCCCTGATTTATGATCGTGGATTAAGTAACATTTCCTTCTTTGACATAATATTCCCATTTTATTATCTCTTGTTATGTTTGGTTGTTTTGTTTGGGGGCCACACCTATCCCACCAGTGCTTGAGGCTTACTTTTGGCTCTGTGCTCTGGGATCACTCCTGGTGAGCTTGGTGGGGGAAGGGTGGGTCATCTGTGATGCCAGGGATCAAACCCTGGTTGGCCATGTGCAAGGCAAGCACCCTACCGACTGTACTACTGCTCCAGCCCTATTTCATTATGTTTTATTGGAAACAGGTCTCTTGTCTATGTAACTTCTGGTTGGACCCAGCATTAGGACGCCACACGCCACATCCCCATTCATCCCAAAGAGACACCCACCTATAGGCTTGCAGGTCCATTCTCCTTTCCCATTCCCGAGACACACACATTCTAACATGTAACCACCAGTCTCATGGGGTCTCCTCCAGGTGTCACCTATTTTGTAGGACTGACCCCCTTCATGGCAGCGGTCTGTTGAAAATAACAGGAAAACATTAGACAGAGTCTTTTTTTTTAAAGTCTCATATTTTACCATGGTAGGCATATAGGTTAAACTATCGAAAGACATAATACAGCTTTTACATCAGAGACAGGGAACAAACACATGTCCAGTCACATTTGGCTCATTCAACTGAATGTCTTGTTGAAGGCACTGAGAAAACTGAATGGCAAAGAAAAAGGTCAGACATCATGATTCCCCAGAGAGATCACAGGAAATTGGGTCCTGAAGTAGAAATGGAAAACTGACAGGAATGACTTCAACATGTAGAGAACAGGGTGAGCCTGGTGCTGACTGAGAAAAAAAGACATGTCAGGAAAAGCATTTCGACTCCGGAGGGTGGAGAATTCGCATATCATCTTAAGATGGAAATTCCACTGGGAGCAAAGCAAGTATGTGTATAGCCATAAGGTATGGAGACCCAGGTACTTTGTATAGAATGTTAAATGTTACAGCACATCAGAAAGATGGAACTGACCACTAAACTGTGAACACTGCCGATGCTTCACTTCTAAACATTTACCAATAGACGTGGATAAACCCTAAGTAAGACTAGCAGATGCTGATTTGGTCAATGTATCAAGTGTTTGATCTTTTAGATAGCACACTTCAAAATGGCTTTTAGTTAAAATGTGAATTTAAGAGATCATTTCTGTGTCACTAGAATCTGCGGTCCCCAGTGAATCATCACAGCAAGATTGCCTTAGATGAACTAGAATTGATGAATCAGTCCAGTATCTTGGAAACACTCTTGAACTAGTCATTCCAGATTATCCAGGGGAATAGAGATCTGTTTCTGGGACTAGACTACTGATCATAAAGAAACAAAACTGAGATGCAAGAAGTTTGCCAGCAAAAGAACAATCCACACAAATCTACTCTTTCTGGTCATATCTCCAATCAGTGTAGATAACATCATCCACAGAGCTCAAGGAGACCTAGGGAATGAATGTGTAGTGAGCAACTCTTCTAGGCAGAGAGTAGAAGTCAAGAAATCCACTTGGTTACACTGTAGACACACACACACACACACACACACACACACGAAGTTAAGACCATCCTATCATAGGTAAGAGAACCTGACAGTGACAACAAGAAGGACAATCACATTCATAATATTTGAGCCTCATTTCTTACTTGCGATGGTGCAGCTTATTCTCCCTCGCCCGGCCCCGATGCAAGTACAGTCCCAGATCATGCTGTCTTTAGGGCGCTCGTAAGTGTCACCCACCCGGTAAGTGTTTCCAGTGTACTTGTCAAAGCAAGTCTCTTCAGCTGAGGGAAGGAGAAAAGTCCATGTTAAGTCGCACATACGAAAAAGCTTTTTTGATCAATGGATGCCATCCAGAGGAAAGTATTTTTCTGTTCTTTTTTTTTTAATAGCATGGCACAATTAGGGGCATTTGAAAGTAGAGAGAGCTAGGTTTGAGACGATGTTGTAAGAAGGCCACAATTTATGACCTTGGATTGACAAATTCCTTCATTTTCTATAACTGAAATTCTATGAATCCGCAGACCTTTGGGAATAAAAGTTATGGAGAATACCATCTTAAAACCTTCTACATTCCACTTTGTTTCTCTGACTTCGAAAGACTAATCAGGTTCCACACGAAAAGCAAATAGAAGGAACCCCTACCTCCCACCAGGGACTGGCCTGTTAATCCTACTCATTCCATTTTAGTTCTTCAGTGCTGCTCTGGAGGATGGGCTGTAATTTACAGGAAGCCTATCAATGGTCCTGAAGGCTTGAGAGCTTTGAAGTGGTTAGTGGTTTTGTATGGAATTTCAGCTGACAAATCACTTCATGATTTAGTGTTCAAAGCATTTTGGCCCATAATCGGAATGTCAGATCTGAGATTACTTTCTAATAAATTAAAGTTGTAGATGTTATCTTTTTTCCCTTTTTGGAGGAAAAAACACAAAAGAATTGTTCATTTCTCCTCAAAAACTTTTGGAGAGTAAAACAAACAAACAAACAAAAAACTAGTTTTGGATGCATTGTTCTTCTGTTATCAAGATAAACGTATGTGAGAAACAAATAAGCTATAGTGAAATATTTTTTGGTTGTTGTTTTTTTGTTATTTTCATGTTTGGGGGCCACACCCGACTGAGATCAGGGCTTACTCCTGGCTCTGAGCTCAGGGATCACTCCTGCCTTGGCAAAGAGGACCAGAGAGGGTGCCAGGGACCAAATCCAGGTCAGCCATGTGCAAGACAAGCGTCTTACCCGCTGTACCCTTTCACTGGACCCAGTAATAAAATACTAAAAAGAAAACAAGTTATCCTGGTAGGAAAACAGTGAGTGTAGTTTTCCTACAAACACTAAGTTTAATGAACAAGCTTCACTTTTCCTTCTATTAAGGATGGTCCCTATCACTTACCTTCAGGTTTACTCTCGCAGTTAAAGCCTCGGCTCCCTCCATAACAGGTACACACCAAGGTATTACCCAGGTAAGTGCGCTCCCATTGTTGGTTTATCTGGTAATGCTTCCCATTATCGAAACAACCAACTGCAAATAAGGGAAAAGTTATTACCATGGCACCCCCCACCTTTCCAAACCCAGAAAACTGAACACAAAAATGTTAACCACCAGAACACTGAAGAATTCGAAGCAATATTCCACAAAAATATAGAAAAAAAAAACTAGCTAGCTACAAAGTTAACAATCTTTGCACCTAGTGTTTTTTTTTCCCCCTTTGAAATTAAATGTATACAGTGATGTCATTTCCATCTGGCCAGAGTTCTACATCAAAGAGGAAAAAGGAACATTTTGATTAGCAGATAACTGGAATTATATTTGTGAAACATGCAAAAAAAAAAAAACCTTTCAGTACTTTTTGCGGTCGGAAGCCAAGAAGGGCAAACATTAAGTAGTTTCCTTCAGCTTTTAGGAAAGAGAGGGCGTGTCTGTGAAAACCTGAGCTAGGAATTCCGATCTTAATTCTTAGAGAATTATCTCGAAGGAGCCCAAAGCAAACTGAACCCCCTACATCTTTTTCAAGTTAGGTCGGCACCGCAGGGCTGTTCGATTCCCCTCTGCCCACAACCCCTCTGAAAATATTTAACCAACTCTTTAGTAAGAGAGTTAGCGTCAGCGTCACGCTCTTTCCAAATGGAAAAAGTGAGGGCCAAGACTTCCCTTGGCATGGCTAGTTTGGATTCCCGCAGAGAGGGACCGAGCTGGCCACGGAGGCTCCTCCGAGGTATCTTGAGCTGCGACCCCGCACGCCAGCCCAGAACCTTTTGTGTCCCCCACCTAAGGCGCGCGGTCCCCGCACACACACGCGTGCGCGCAAAACTTCAGTCCTAACTTTGGGTGACTTTTACCGTCGGGTTCCCGGGAGCGCCGGCGGCAGCCCGTCCACCCCCATCGGTACTCACGCTTGTTTTGCCCCACGGGCAGGGGGTACTGCGGCTGAACGATTTGCTGAGCCTGCCTCTTGATCTTCAGGGCTCCGGTGCGGGGCACCGCGGTGCCCAGGCACAGGCAAGTCAGCAGCAGTGGCAGCAGCGGCCCGGGGCCCGGACCCCCGAGCATCTTCGAGCCGGCGCGGGGAGGGAGCGACGCCCTCAGCGGGAGGCAAGTGACCACCAAGTTCGGTGGCCCCGGCGGCCGGGGTCCCTTCCAGCAGCCCCTGCTGGGATGTGAGACGCCTCCCCGAGCAGGGAGAGGGGCAGGAGATGGGGAAGGGGGCGAGGAAAGGGGAAAGGAGAGGATGAGAGCTGTGGATCCTGCGGGTGCCCGCTCCCCGGCTGGCTCCTGGGGGGTCCGGTCCTCTCCTGGAAGGCGCAGCCGGAGCGGGCAGCCGAGGGCGCGGGGCCCGAGCTTATATGGGACGGTCCCCCGCCCCCTCGACGGCCAGGGGCGCCCGGGAGGAGGGACCCGGCCCGGCTCCCCGCACCCTCCGCCGCCGCCGTGGCCTCCGACCGCGCGCTGATTGGCCGGACCGCGGGGTGACGTCAGGGGGGCTGGGGGGGTTCTCCGCGAACAAAAGAGATGCTGAGCGCCTGGCCCGGCTGGCTGGGGTGGAGAACTTTTTTCTTTTTTTTTCTTTTTTTTTTTTTTTTGGTTTCCTTTGCGGTCGTCAAACTTTTGGGGGCTGAGCTGGGAGGAGTGGGAAGCGGCGGGCTGGGAGGAAAGGGAGGGGCTGGGTTGTGAGCAGTGGGGGATGGCACGTCCTTGTTACCCCCTCCCGGATGGAGCCAAGGGTGGGAGGGATAAGGACATTGCGTCACCTCTGGGGGGATCCAAAAAAAAAAAAAACCACTACCCAAGACCTCTGCTCACTGAGTATATTGGGGGGAGGAAAACCTTGAAGTCGGCACCACCTTGCAGCTGGGAATAGAGGACGTGCGCGCCTGGGCGCAGCGGGTGCTCCTTGCGCTCCGGGGCGGCGTGGTCTGTTGTGCCACTGACTCGGGGACTCAACTTTTCTGCCCCTCCACTGCCTTGTCCCGTGGCAAACGCTCCCGAGACTGTGTTCGCTGGCGACTTGGGGGAAAAGCAATCTTTTAATGAACTTCTGCTGAGTACCCGGAGACTGTGTGGGGAGCTTGGTAGAAGCGGGCGCGCGAGGGGCTGGGGGGGCGAGGGGCGGTGCAAAGAGGTTGCTTTGGAAAGGACAACGTTTGCACTCAAACATTGTGAAAACTGCGGCAGAGTTTTCCTTTCCCAGGGCTGGAGCGACTGTTCGCACTGCCAGTGAACTCTAGCGGGACGAGCGGAGTAGGGAGAGTTGGAGCGCTCGGGTGCAGTTCTTGGCAGGGCTGCCCATGTGCTTGGTGCCCGCGACACGCGAAGCAGAGGCCTCCTTGGCCTCAGTCCGAGATAGGACCATCTGCACGTCTCGCCTTCCTGCAGACTCTCCCTGGCTTTTCTGGGGGGCATTTTCTTCCTGTAGACAGCAGTTTCATCACACAATTCCCACACCCCCTGCCCCACCGCCAGATTTTATAGAATTATTCTTCCCCCCCACTCCAACTACGTGGAAAGTTTTAAGAGTTTCTCGTTTTTCCTTCTAAAATTTTAGAGGGTCCCAGGGAAACTCCCAGAAGTCCCTAACAGCAATGCATCTCATCAATGCCTTTTCAGACACAGAAAAGGCATTTACACCAGAACTTCTTAGAAGGGTTGAGGGGGAGGCATAGAGTCCGGGGGAGGAGGGACGGGGAAGTCTACAACATTCTTCTGGAACATTTGAGAGACCAAAACCCAAAGCTTAACTTGCTAGTTGTGAGTAGTGAGAACCTCAGGTCTGCTTGGAGAACCATAAAAGCTACCAGCAAAACTTGTTTATTTCTGCAAATATTTGTTTTAAGCGAAAATTCCACCTTGAGTAACTACTATAGGACAAAGCAAACCCTATGATCTATAAAACACCCAACACATAAAAAGCAGAAAGAAAACCTCCTACGAATATTTGTTTTAATGCAAGGGGAAAAAAAATTAAGCCGCAGCAGCTATGTTCCCTGCTTACAGTGTAAATAACTTCTTGAAGGATCTTTGTGACCAGGATCTCAAGTTTAAAGAGTTCTATGGACTTACTCAATGTTTGAGTCCCCTGGAGCTTTGATTTTTTTTTTCAAGATTTCTCAGCATCACTTATCAAAACAGTTTTTCTTTTCAAGTATCAAAGGGCATGTTGTAAAACCCTTAGTAAATTTTTGGGAAGTCATGTGCTCCATCCAAATGGAAGAATACCTGGAAATTCGTATGTAGGTAAGGTAAATCTGAAGTTAAAGCTTTCTTAAAATACAGAGATTCTAGAGGGTAGGAAGTAAATGCTTAGAAGATGATCTTGCCAACCCCAAACAGGATCTTTTTTTTTTTGATATCTTTACTGGATTCAAAATACATTCAGATGATATGTACATGATAGCTGGGGAGAAAAAAAGCAGCTATCCTATACATGGGAGAAGTAATTTGTGTATTATACTCCCTTTGAAAAATATGATTTAATGCCTTACTGCAAAAATACTGAATCTTATGGAAATGTTTATTTTACCCTTTCACTTACATTTTGAGAAGGATATGCATTTATTCTCTTAACAAGACTTGCTCTAAAATCCTTTCAGTAGCCCTTGTAACTGCCAAAGTCTATTATCTATAACTAGAGAGATAGTTACAGCTTGAAGATTACACCGGACTGTGCTAATTCAGCTGAGAGGACTTGACTTTCCAGAACCCTTCTAAGACTCCTGAAGACAATTTTCACATGGTAAGTGCTCCTGTATACAATATTCTTCTACTAGTGGGGTCAAAACCCCAGAATAAAAGACTCACCAAGACTGTGCTAAACAGATCTCTCTCTCTCTTTCAATAAACTTCGCTATGACTAAACTGTTGTGATTTCCTAGTAAATTTTTTTATCAACCCAAGACTGGGTCCCAGCTGACTCTCTGAGCAGCAACATTTCTCCTTTCAAGATCTAAGCTTGGAGTTTTTTTTTTCCCCTCTTCTTATCTCTGGAGAGGGGAGTGTGAGAGGAGAAACAAAAGTGGATTCTTCCATGGTGCCTGGGCTTGGGACTGGAAACAGAGATTTACTATAAATGGTAAAACCTTAGTGGTGGGGGATGGAAGTATTTTAGAACTAGAAATCCAGATTTCTAGTTCTTGGTAATACATAACTTGGTAAGATAATTGAACGTTGATGAAGTGTTCCATAGTATACCTCCAACACTTTAAAAATTTAATTTAAAAGTATTTTTTTTATCCACTTATACCTATCTTTTGATTTCATTTTAAGGACTCACCCCCAATAATGTAGCTATAGTATGCACAAGTTAGCCTTATTTCTTAATTTTCCTAAGGGGAAGTTTGCCTTTAATATAATAAGTTTTTCTCTATACCAGTAATGCCATATGAAACCTAGTACTTGTACGATGACTTATATATGGTAGAGACTAGACAAATCTTCATTTAGGATTGTGCCTTACATATTTTTTGGCAATGACTAGGACAGTTTAGATTTTCAATAACTGAAGGGAGCATTTGTGTGTGTGTGTGTGTGTGTGTGTGTGTGTTGTGTGTGTATCCCTTGTTTCTTGGTTTTTTTTTTTTCCATTGGTGAAGGTTAATGAAGAGCACAAGTGATTATGCAAGTCTGAATTGAATTAACTTCCTTGGAAAGAAGATTTTGATGACCACATAAAAAGAGTTTTTATCAGATGCAATTATTTAGAAAGGATTGAAATTAAAACGATATGGGATGCATGTTAATGGGCATTATTTTCCAAGTGAAACGGGGCTTCCACTAACAGAGGTGTACACATTTCAAATAGGATGCCTTCTGGACAAATCTCTTAAAGATAGGGAAAAAAAAATCTTAATCTCTGATAAGAAATTTCTTCTTGACCTCAAGGGTGATGAAGGAGGGCTGTTTTTCCCCTGAAACTTCTGGCTTTTATCTGCTTCTTAATCTCTTTGAACCATCTGTGGGAAGCTCCGCCTTTGACTAGGTGACCTTTGGAACTTTCAACCTTATTTTATTTCAGGGCTTTCTCTGGTACATTGACTGGAGACAAATTGCAGTAGTTTTGTCTGGATTAAATTTGGGTGGGGCATGAAGGCCTTTCCATCTTCTTCCCTGGAAAATGGACACACTTGCAAACACTGCTGCTCATTAAGCACAGATGTGGGAAGACACACTAGCTAGTGAGAGGCCTCTTGGACAGAAGATTTGAGCCTTTTGTTTAGAATTGACAGGGTGCCTGCAGCCAGGGAGAAAATCCTTGATCAGGGCTTTGAAAGATGCCTTGAAAGCACGCCAGTTTTTCCTTAATAAGCATTTTGTTTATATTTTCCATTGCCGTAATCTGTACCCTGTGTTTCATACCTTTACTCATTAGAGGGGGGTAGTTCCAAGATGTTTGGCAAATGTCTCCATTCATCTTGCAAATGGAACTAACTCCTGTTAAGCTGGAACATTTAACCACCACTGAGCTTTGAAACATTTCCATGTTCCAAGATAGGTAGTAGTTTCTTGGAAGGCCTATATTTATTTGTTGTTCCTTTTTTTCCCAGTTTTGTTTGATTTTGTGCTGGTGGCTTTGAAGTTTTGTTTTGAAAGGCTGACAAACTTTTAAACAGTATTTTAAAGATTCTTAGTATATTTATTGTTTCCTATCCTTTGTTTTTTTGCCCTACATTTATATACTTAAAGCATTTCATAGGTCTCTTACTGTGACGTTGGTCTCAGAATCTTAAAAATAGCCACAAACATTATCTCTTGAATGAGTTTTCCTGCTGTCAATAGACTACTGTGATAAAAGTGGTCAATAAACACTCTATCGATTTTTTTTCCATCTACTGATTTATTACACTCAATCAAGGGCATATTCAACTAAACTATAAAATGAAAGTGTAGGGATCTGAGTGATAGTATGGTGGGTAAGGAGTTGGCCTTGCACATGACCAACCCAGGTTTAATACCCAGCACACATATGGTCCTTGGAGCCCAGACAGGAGTGATGTCTAAACGTAGAGCCAGGATAAGGTGTGAGCCCTGCTGAGTGTGACCCCCTCCAAAATAAAACAAAGTACAAATGTAACTTTACCTACATTTATCATGACCCATTTTAGTGTTACATTGGATTTGTTTTCTCATTAAGTAGGAAAAGTTTACTGAGACAGAGCATTGTTTCAAATAGAACACTAAAATACTGTGTTAAACATGGAAAAATAAGGTCAGGCTAATGATACGCAAGGTATATGATATGCAAGCTGTGAAGGATTTCAGTATCTGAAGAGAAGCATATTTAAAGAACTGATCTAGAAATCCTCTTCTAATA